TTGTTTTGCTTTCCCTGCTATTACGCAGCATTGTTCCCTTTATTGGTACAATAAAGCACACTCGTGATCTCCTCGCGCTTGCCTGTTACAACCGGCATTTTAGACAGCGGCCACATGTACATATTTAAGATTAGAAGGGTTTTCTCATGTGTTTAGTTGATGTTAAATGTATACCTACAGATGACTGGTAACTCCTTACGATTTCTTCATGATACCACAAGTGTAAGCCAGATCTCGCGCACTGAGTCTGACAAGCGTATATGTAAAGGTTTGTTTATTATTTAGTTGGTTTGTTAAATCTGCGCGATGTCGTGCGCTGGTGTGATTTATTCCTGGACCGGGACTGAGGAAAATGGAGAGGTTAATTATCAAGTGGCGCTGCTGGATCGACCAGATTCCGCATCCCACAGGACCGACAACTGGTACTTTAATAGTCATTTTCACAACATTTTACCCAGGAAATGCCAAATGAATCGGCAATAATTAATTTCTGAATTATCAGTCGGCGGCTGGGTTAATTATGGAGCGGGCCGGGCCAGCCGAGCGGGTTATGTAGCGTTTGAGTAGTTGTGGAAGAGTGCGGTCACTGCGGTGGCCTGGTGGAGAAATTAGAAAATTAGACAACTGTGACGAATGATGCCCATGGGAATCATCGGATAGGTGCCAACTGCCAACTTACCTTTGTGATTCCCATGCCGTGTCATGAGTCGAATCTGTTCGTCCATTTCCGTCTAATTTTCTTTGCAGTTCTCTTTGCTAGCCAAGCAAGACGTTCTGCAACACAAGCAACTACTGTAATATAGTGAGTTTTTTGTGTAGCAGATCTCCTTGTGTCATTGAAATGCCACCCTTTATTTCACATAATATGTGCAGTAGAAGGCTGGCAATTTTTTTCTTATCTCTATTTCCGGCAAATTCCAACAAGAAGAGCGTTATTTTGTAATTTACGACAGGCTGACAGAATCCGACGAACGAACGAACCACAGAGTCCGACTGTAGTACATGTCTTTCAAATTGCAAATTAAACTAACAGGTCGCCCATGCCGAGCGGGATAAGAACATGATGGAGCGGGCAAGCGGAGCGGGTTGTTGCCCTTTTTTCGAGTTTTGGCATTTTGGCACAGTCACTGCGGTGGCTCCGGTGGCGGTGGCGGTGGCCCGGTGGAGCTATATTCAAGACAATTAATTAGACAACTGAGATGAATGAAACGCATGGGAATCATCGGATAGGTGACAACTTACCTTTTTGCTTCCTTGCGAGTTTTATTCACTTCTGTTCGTCCATTTCCTTCTAATTTTCCTAATAATTTTTTTGGCCAGCCAGGTAAGCAGGTCTGCAAGACAGGCAAATATAATGTGGGCAATAATCGGTATCATTTTATATTGGTTTGGAACGGAAGGAGGAGAAGGAAAGGATGGTGAGTTGAAAACGAGTTAACAATGTGCAGATGCCGACCGGTAAAATGGAGGATTCGCATGTTGCTTGGTAGAATATCTGTTAGCTTTTATCTGTACATGTATAGCAACATGTGCGCACTTTGGTTGCGCCTGTTGCGCCCGCCTGAAGAGTACGGAGGTTGTTCATAAGCTCCCGCCGAAATAGAAGCCCATGGGCTCCAATTAAAAGCCGGGAAAAAGCAAAATTTCACATGCCTGTGTTCGTGCATACGGGAATATTACAGTTATAGCGCTGTTTAAATTAACATGTCTTTATTAATGGGCAAAAAATCGTAAAAACAATAACTGGAAATGAAGGTTTTGCCGTTGTGCATGTATGCAGCATGATCACTGGTTTTCTTATGTCATCAGTAATGTGCAGAGTATGTATGTAGGAGCCGTTACAGCCACGTCCTCAAGAAAATTTAATAGACGCAGCCCGGCACTGGCAGGACCTAATATATAAATATAACGGAATTGTACAACTCTTAGTTTTATCAATTCGCCGACTGCGATTGTCGCTGGATCGATTCAGCGGAGTAACGGAGTTTGCTGTCATTTCTTCTTTTACAGAAGTATATATACTTTTGTAAATGAAGAAATGACAACAAAACTCCGTTAAATTTCTTATATGTATAAGAAATTGGAGGAAAACTTGGAATGAAAAATTACTAAGCCAACGCTTCGTTGCGTCGAAAAGCACTGTGGACGAAGGGATACGAACCGTACAAAATCTTCCTAGTGACGATTCGGACGTCCGTTCCACCAGCATTTGATGGCGAAGAGTAGCCGGCTAATGCATATGTGATGGCAGGATGATGTTGGCGAGTGGTGGCGGGAAGAGGGAAGAAGCGGGAAGCGCGATGTCCGCGCCGGGGTAGATTCTGGAAAAGAAACCTGACAAGAATGAAATCCCGTGAGATTCATCGGATAGGTGTCAACTTACCTATCTGATGATATTCTCACGGCTTTTCAGCCGACCCTCCACATTGGTCGCGCCTCCGTGTCATCCATTTTTTGACGAGGATGTGCCCAATCATCAAGGCGACTTCTACGATTAATCCGATTAATCGTAGAAGTGGCAGTGATTATTGGAATTACTATTATTATATATTATTGTCGTTGCCGGCCGGAATCCATGTTGTCATCATTGCAATATTATAATTATGACAGTATTTATTTCGGCCGGCATGGTTAAAATGAGGACTTGTGGAATTCGGTGACTACTGCCAATGCAACTGTCGGCGAAAGTAAGGTTGTGTATAAATTATTGTACTTCGCTTGGCCCATTATTGTAATCAGTTCCGCTTTATGGATCAATATATTAATCACTTGAACGAATTGACAACATCTGTGGCGGGCGGCTGCATGAACAATTACGGCTGATTGCAATGCAGTCGTAGCAATGAGAAAATATTTCCAAACGATTTTGTTTGGCAGTCCGCATTATAAGATAATTTTATTAATTCATCAGGAACCGCTGAGCTGAAAGCTCTTCGTAAGGATATCAGCGTTTTCAGTTTACGCATTAACCTCTGTCATTTTACGCAATCCGACTACAGAATCAGAATCAGCGGATTTCCCTGGTCACCTGTTAATTTTGCGAATATGAGAAGAAATCTGGTGACCGGTCGGAGCGAAGTAGGATTATGATTATGACAATCATTATGAGCATAATTTACCGATTATGAGTAGGATTGTGAGTACGAGGACCGTTAGGAGTATTAGGTATCTACTTAAGGCCTATTTTTACTCGGGCTTGAGATCGTCACATTTCACGAAACTGAGCTATTTCGGCGACTACAGATACATTCACATCTCCGGCACAGTGTCCGTGACGGAGGTGCGAAGTATAACCACACACACGTCACCTTCCCGTAAGTTACAGTAGTTTCGTCAAGGTTACGTTCGTCAAAATCCGGCTTCGTTCGTCCAATTTTGGAAATAGAACTAGTTCTATTTTTTCAACTTCACGATCGTCAAGTTTCACATATCAAGTGCAAGTCAAGCGCAAGTCCTCCACCATCACTTTAAGCTCAGTTTTTGATGCTCGCTCCTTGTAAAATTTCCTCATGTATGTAAAACCGCCTCGGCAACCTTTTCTTTTTGAGCCGAGAACGCCGAGAACGTAACAAAAAAGCAACTCCCAAAATCAGTAGAGACGGTTGAAAGATGTTGTTTTCAATTGGAGACATTTTGGTGAAATTATGAGCAACAAGTATAGAAATATTTATTAATTTAAAAATCCGATCCGATTTGAAATTTCAAGTTTGGCGGATCTGATTCTGAAGTATAACCAGAAGGGACGGCTTTAACGACGTGTACCTGAGAGGGTGAGCCACCCACATTGGCACACTGCACAAACTGATTTTTTCAAACTTTCTTTCGTCTACAACAACTTTTTCAAAAACATTACCCGATAGCCTGGGGTATTTTGTACTTGATAAATGTATCTGAGCTTAGTAAAGGATGCCTTTCAAAATCCAGGAAGAAAAACCTGGAGCGGGGTAGTAAAACAGTGCGTTTCAAAACTGGAATGCCCTTCGCAAAACAAATTCCTACAAATTCCCCTTTACCGATCAGTACATACGAGAAGTATTAAAATGTTAAAGAATCAATTTTCTTTATGACAAGTGTAATTCGGTTTTGATCAAAGCCACGGTTGAGTTTTTCTGGGCGTCGGCTCCCAAAGCTGACCGGAAGTCCGGAAAACATCTGCCGTTCTGTAACGAATTGTCCATTCGTCCTGAATTTCACAGAATATCTTCTACAAGCCTGTCTAAATAAATATTTGTTTACATCGAAGCGAAATCGGTATCGGCGGTTTTTTGCCACGAGTTTCCCACTGCAAAAGCCAGCCGCTTCATTGAAGGTGTAAATCCCCAATTTTTTAAAACTTTTGCTTTTTTCCCTCGGGATCCTGAATAAGGTTTTCACACAACATTGTACTTCTTCATATAGCCCTTAAAATCTTCTAAAATTAGAAAATGAATGTGACCAAAAAAATGCTTGCTTCATTTAATAATCATTTCAAAACAAAAATACGAAGTGAAACGTTTTGTGTGCGTTTTTTCGCCGGTCGCGGACACTTGTGGTCACCTTATGTCACGTGTGCGCGAAATCTTCATGGAAAATTAGTTGCTTTCCGTTCACAGAGCGTAGGATTCATACCGTATTTGCATAAATTTTCACTACAAGTAGTGAAAAACACAAACCGAGGAAATGAATGTTTTGCACATTCTGTGTAGTGAAATCCTTTTACGTTATAAGCTTATAGCAGACTACTACACATATTATTATACCGACCATGCTGTGCATGCATCTTTCCTTGAGCAGATCATGGGTGGATAATAAACAGGCCTTTGGTACAAAACATTGCATTTAAATTTTCCCCTATTTTAGTTCATCATATCTCGGCAACCGGATGTTGCGCACGCAAACGGTTTTCAGAACAATGTATACAAATCATTTTGCTTTAGAATGATAAAAAGTATTACAAAAAAGTGACTCGGAATGCGGGAAAGCGAAAGTTTTAGTGTACGTATACCCTTTTTGACACCATGTACCGGGCCATTTTCCTTAATTAATTTTTCCGCTTTATAAATTCGTCCTTGGTTACATGATTTTAAGAAAGAAGATCCCCAAATCATTACCGCACGTCTGTACCATGCACCGCATACACCGGATCATAGACAAGCGATATCTAACGAAGGACACTACACTGGAATGTAATTATTATTATGAGTATCATCGTTATTATTACATTGTACACATACAGTATTGCACAGGTCACACACCACATCCACACACCATACAACAAAGACATGTGAGCAAATGTTTCAAGGGGCGTGGCGTTACAGTTGATTCACCGAACACAGGTAGGGATATACACGGGTGGTTGTTTAATGTGCGGCTAGTTGACGGTGTTGGCTTGGATGGCGTTGGGCGAGCTGCGGTCCTTGCACTCGGCGTCGAAGACAACCAGCTTCTCCTTGCTGCTGATGGGGTGCTCGATGCGGGCGCAGCACAGGCTGTCGTCCGTCAGGATGACCGGCGCCGGGCCCTTCAGGACTTGGCGCGGCCCGTAGGAGTTCTGCGAGCTGTAGGCCAGGTAGAACACGCCCACACGCAGACCGGGCGCCGGCAGCGGCTGGTTGAAACGGCGACCTTTAGAACGCACAAGCATTGTTATACATATAAAATTTTGCATATAGATATGACGACATATCCTTATATCGCGCCACGAGTTCATGAGTATTTATTCTAACTAACACTTGTTAAGTTTCATATACATTAAATTTTTTAGAGAAATACGAAATTATTTATATATCGCACCCTTTGATTATCCGTATTAATTTTGAATCTTATGCATTTTTAAGTACATCAGCTGACTGTACTTAGTAGTAAACTATTTTTTATATCGCGCGAAATTTTTATACATGTTCATTTTTAAAGGTATTTTAAATACCTACGTTCAGTGTTTGTATGGACTATATTTAATTAAGTACTTTTTTTAACTGTTCGTATGATAATTCACTTATTTAATTGGATATATTTTTATAAAAAAAAATGTGCCGAGTAATTTGCGGCTTATTTAAAAGTAATCAGCTTACACATTTCACTGCCGATGGAGATGTTGGTATCGTTCAGCACGCTGGCCAGCGAGGAGTTCTTCCCCAGGAATTTATAGCCCATATCCCGGCAGAAATCGGGGCAGTCCGCCGTCTTCTTCTTGCAGTCGGTATCGACGTTGCAGGACGGGTAGCGGCGGTAGGCCAGCGACATGAGTTTGACGCCGGCTGTGGAGACATTCTCCAGGGTGTGCAGCGTGCAGACGCAACGGGGGAACACCTTAAACATTTACGTACTAATAATTACGCATTTAAAAAATAATAATCTTACAGCAAATTCATATTAACTGCCCATACTCTGGTGGTACTAAGTACGTCTGGCTTTAAGATTGTATGTCCTGAGTGCGATTTCTAGGTTGGTTAAACTTTTGTCTCATAAAATCCAAATTAAAAAAAGCATATAATTTTTTAAATTTAAAAAAAATTTCCAGAGGCTTCAAATTAAAAAAAAATTTAAAAATTTTAATTAAAAAAATAAAAAAACTGAAATTAAAAAAGTAAAAAAATAAAAAGTTTCCAGTGGCTTGATAGATATCTCCGTTAGTTTTAATCGAGTTCGGCTACTGCAGTGCGATGATAATAATAATAATGATAATAATAATAACAATAATAATTACCACACTGCCGGCGTCCAGCCGTTTAACCTGGCGTTCCAGACTGCGCAGCGACTGCCCGGGCATCACGCCGGCCACGCTCCACGCCAGGCACAACGCCGCGCTCAGGACCAAACAAAATCGGGTAGAATCCATGATTTTTTATATATAAAGAAATTGTACGTAAAATTTTTTGAACGATGGAGTGAATGATTGTGATGAGCGCCGGTGGGAGTTTATATACAGCGTTGTCGAGGATAAACAGCGGCATGCTGGGAAATGTGTTACAGATACCGCAAGCGGCGCATTGTGTTCAGTGTCAGAGCCGCGGTGATCTTGACCAGCGCTGAGTGGCCACTCGAGCGCCGGCTTATGAGTACCGCGTAATGTACAGAGAAATAACCTTTAAGGATGCCATCATATTTCCCGGAGAAGCGACATGCACACTGGCGGATGCATAACGCGATGTACATATATACATGGTAATTATGCTGTAAAATGGATACAGCGTTGCCGGTAACGCGAGAAGCCGGCTTGACGGCTGCGCTGTTATTAGTCCTGGCCGCGGCGTAATTGCTGGCGGAAACGCCGATTGTTTCCCTTGTGCTGCGGTGCGGTATTGTACTGCTGAAGGATTTACGGGTGTACGGAGATGCGGTTACCCTGCACAATCGAGGACTACAAGGTGGAAATCGGCCAGTCGGTTCGTGGTGGGAAAATTGAGTAATAAATTCAACAAACGGTGTGCAACAGGAACACATCCGGTGGGCATGCATCGCAAGCAGTGTCTTGGAAGTTGATCAGTGAATCTGTATTTGTCGCTGTGCTAATGCGTGAAAAATTACGGGACAAGCTTATAGATGGACTACTAGCATTAAATATTTGTGTCATACATAGTTATACGCATGAATCGAAATGATATAATTATAATTATGTAATTATGCCTACACTGGATACATATACATATATAGTACATACACTGGATTATGGATACAATATATACATATATAGTGCCTACACTGGATAAAAATACATATATGAAGTAGTACATTTACACGCAAAATTTTCAGCAGTGGTGTCTGGTTAATATACCTATGGAAATCGTGAAATAAAGCCATAAATATATTAACATGCGATATATCTACTTATATACATATATGTGCATATATAAATATACCTTCATTTATCATCTATATTTATATTTATCAAATATTGCCTCTTGCGTATATGTATATGTGTGTGTACATAAGTACATGTATGTACGGCTAGATATGTGTATACTGCGATGCTACGATCATACGATATATATAGATATACGATATATACGATACGATATATATATTAAAACTCAATGTAAAATTAAATGCAGTTAATGTGTCGGCACAAGAGATCTATAACCATTCGGCCATTGTGGAATCGCTTTTAATGGAATGGATGGAATGATGGAAGCATTTGTAAAAATTCCCATGTACGGACGTCAAAAATTCTTGGGAAATTAAATCTTCGTCCTTAATATGAAGCAATAATGCTTTATCCGGAGAATCGCGAAGGTCGGCGCCGGTTTTGCTTAACATGTCGCACGTTTTCATCTGGTAACACCGGCAAGGAAAAAGTGCCTGGAGATGCGATTACGATTACGCAGGAAGTGTACTGTTAGCCCATTCCCCGGGGGAACGCCACACAACACACACAAACAGCGATTACCGGGTGTCCTTCACCAAATAAAGACGCACAAAAACAAATCCGCCGAAACCCACCGGTTAATTGTCCGTCTTGACTCGGTAAATGCGGCGCACACGCAGCCGGCGCGCGGGACAATACGCCCGGCGCTCCTTTTCACCGGCACACGTGCGCGCGTCCCCGAACAATAGCCGTTGCGAAAGGTGACCTTTGGCTGTATTCTTCCATATAAAAACGACAGCCGGTCTAATTGCCCGAAACGCCGGTATTAATCCCGATCATGGGATCGTGTGACGCCAGTAATAACATTTTCTCCATCGATTTCATAACAAGGCCGGGGCCATAAAAAGGCCGGCGTGTGCCGGGTATTACACCACGACTGTTTGCTCATTGCGTGGCGGGTTGACAATCCGGCCAATATCCTCTGATTAACTGGCGTGCCGGGGCGCAGTATTCTATTGCGTGATAACGGCAATTATAAGGCAACGTTCACTGATAAGCCGCAACGCCGTTATTGCGCTGGGCGGCCGCTTGTAAAAAATTGATTATTTTAAATTGATTGGATGGCCGTCGCGGCACGTCAGCCCCGGTACACATCGATACACCGTGCCTCTTCATAATCCCGTTTCCGGCATTGGCATTCCCCTCATCCCGCTGTTCCTCCCGATTTTTCCCGATTAAATTATCCCGTTGATCCTGTTTATCCCGGAAATATGGACGCCGGTATGTGGTTGACGGTGAGCGTCCTGCTGGTGACCTTTACCTGTGTCCCGGCCCAAAAGTTCCAGTATAGTCGCGGCTGGATGCCGGGTGGGAAGCGCGCCGACGCGGACCAGGAATTTCCGTTGCGGACACATTTCCGCCAGCCGCCACGGGCGCCGGTCAGCGGCACGGGATTCGCCGCTGTCCTGGCCGAACTGCTGCAGCGCCAGGAGGCGCTCGGCCCGCAGGATATCAAGATGGCCCTCCGCATGCACGACGAGTGAGACGATCATATATATAATTGGTGACCTTTCATACTGTTCTAATTTATTTCATGGAAATGCACAGAGTCTATTCTTGACGCTCGATTTTCTTATGTTTTCTTATGCTTTCTTATATGCGCTGTAATAGATTAGATGGCTTTTTATTAAATGTCGATGAGAAAATGAATGCCGTTGTATTAATGTATTAATATATGTTCAACGTGGAAAAAAATATATGGCTGCGCATTCGTCCGTGGTTGCTTTAATTAACACGTACTCCATCGCAATAAATGACAGTGTAAAATAACCAGCAATTTCCACAGTACGTATAAGCGCAAATTAATCCATATTTTAATCCACAGAAAGGTCATAAAATTGCGCTTAAGTATTAATAGATTCCCGATGATCCATTTGAGCCGGAAGAAATTGTTCTCTACAGCGAGAACATTAACACAACGATATGCACGAAGGAATAAAAGCAATATAAGCGCATAGACGAGTAGAAAATAAAATTCGTGCGTTATATCGACATAATTCCAACGAATAAATCGCAAATAAATACAGCGGAACCGCGCCGCTCTCGTTAATTTAACAATAATATAAATTTTATTCGCCACGTAAAAAACAATTCCTGTTTTTATTTCTGCACTATACGTGTTTCTGTAAACGTTCCACGTGTGACCATGCTGCCGAACAACTGTACTATACAGTCTGTATATTAACAAAAAATTGCATGATAAAATTGCAAAAAAATACAACAATATATTTGTTAAAATAATTAACCATAAAATTAATTAAATGTAGCAGCTGTGTATATCTATATATATAGCGCGCAGTAAAAAAAAAGCGAAGGGCCAAGTAGAAACCAGTGTACTGTACGTTATCGCCGTGATGTGCAGTTTATAAATAATTCGATTTATAAATATGCAAAAAATAATTCATATATAATTAATAGAAAATATCTACGTCACGCGTAGAAAAATCGTAGCGAGGATATTGCCGGGAAAAATGTGAGCCAGATATCTGGGGAATATTCGGCTAATTCCATTTCGTTATATGCAGCAGCAGCGGCGTGTGATTGATTGGACAGGCCAATAAATGTATATTGACGCATCATCAATATGTTATAAATATAGAGAAATCGGCGGAAAAAAATGCCGGTTAAAGGATCGGTTAAAGGTTGTTGTTGGCCACATCCGGTTGGTGTGAGAGTCGCCCGCAGGCGTTCTGCCGTTCGATTTCATCCTGCAGAAGGTAAAAACACACCGTTTTAATGTTAACCGGCGCGAATCAATGGAACAAAAGCCGATTGACGCAGCTTCCGGTTTACCGCGGCGCGCGAATTAACGATTAAATCACGGACGGTGGAGAAAACGGCTAATATCGAGGGGAAAACAGTAGAGTTTCCCGGGATGACATTTACGTCAGGATTTATCGAATTATACGTGCTGATTCGGTTCGGCGAATGACCGCGAAGAAAAGGTAGAAAATTAAATAATTGTGCGGAAAAATCAAAACATGCACAGGTAACGCCAAACCCGTTCGAAGACATACAGATAGATACAGGAAAGTCCGATTCAGTTTATTTTTATAAAAACACTAGCGCAAAAAAGTCCCGACAAGAATCGCTAAAACGTTATTTGCTTAAATTAATAATAAGTATTACTCTTTATAAAAAAATTTTAAGAAATTCAAAGCTTGAGGATGTTTTGAAAATAGAGAGAAATTCCTAATGACCTGGAAATATTCGATTTACACAAGCGTTTTATATGCCGCTGTCAAGAGAAACGAAAAAGGAAACAAAAATTATTATGAATAGAAACAAAAATTATTATGAATACTGTCAAATAAATTATATGCTGATAAGAAAACACTTTTTCAAATTTTTTTGCACATTATTCAGATAATATTTATTTATTCATATATATTTTTATTTTATATTTATACATTTCATATATATACTCGTATTTATTCATTTATATTTATATATTCAGATGCTACTTATATATTCATATATATTTTTATCTTATATTTATACATTTCATATATATACTCTTTTTAATTTATTTATTTATATCTATATATTCAGATGCTACTTATATATTCAAACATATTTTTATTTTATATTTATACATTTCATATATACACTCGTATTTATTTATTTACATTTATATATTCAGATGTTACTTATATAGAATTTTGTCCTGATATTATTCTGTACAACTGTATATACAGTAACACAGTAGCTCTACGTTTATGGAAAAATTTGACACCTTATTTATACATTTATGGATTTATTGATTAAAAATTTCAAAAGCGTGTATATTAACGCGTCTTACCTGTAATAACTGCTGGATTTGCAGGAGGCGGATCTGGCTGAAGCGTGTCGAGCAGAACGCCGCCGGCGGGTAGCGGAAGACGCCGGCCGCCCGCGAATCATTGGTAATAAGAGTGTTGGCCGCGTCCCGGTCCAGCGCGGGGTCGGCACGTTTGCCGTGACCCCAGCCGGTGCTGAAACTCAACTGCGCCTGCGTACAATGCGCCAGTAGCGCCGCCAGCAGCGCCACCACGACAAAGACGTGCATTAACAAGGGTGACCTTTCGCCGGCCATTTCTTAACAAACGATCGAACTACAGCCGGTGGAAATTAAAACCCCGTTTAATGGAAAAACGTTAAGTGATGATGAGAGCGATGGATGGGGAAACTAATCGTCAATTTCGGGTTTTATATAAGGAAGATTAATTGCCGGCTGTTATATATGCAAAACGCCGCGCACTTGATCTCCCTTCTTGAGCCGACTCGGAAGTGACCCGCCATCGCGGGAATTCCTCCGGCGCTGCTCCCTGCCAGCCGGCCGTCACTTCCGGCCAGCTGCTGCCGCCGGGAATGTGCGGAGTGCGGTGCGGGGAAGTGCCGGCATCGAAGGATCAAAAAGCGACGTCGCTATGAATTATAACCGGCATGCGGTCAGCACCAGTATGGTCCACTGCGTCATACCACTCAGCCGGTACTTTACATACGTACATTGCACGTCCACCACGTCAGCGGCGTTTGCTGGCGATTGCGTCAGAATGACCGCACCCATTGTTATAGTATATAAAAGAAGGGCCGCTAGGGAGTGACCTATGTCGCCGATCCCCGCTACTGAGGGAAGCTGTTTAATACGTAAACCATAAATAAATAAATCATTAATAAATAAATCTAAAGCATAAATGAATAAACCTCATTCTATTTGATTTTGTTTATTTATAATTCAAATTGTTTTGTACTTCATATTTGATTTATCATTCTGTTTATTTAAATATTTATATTTGTACTAATAATATTGATATAAAAAATATCCTGAACCTAGATGGCATTAATTTTCACCCGGCGCGCCTTTAAATTATATGAATTTGCATTAATCGTTCTATTGATTTTTAAACTGCTGAATGATGTAAGTAATTATCTTCATTTGTGAAAAACTCGGTACTGTATAATTATTCGTTTCCATTATGCAGACCCGGTCTCGCGTGTGCATCATATGCATTATGCAGATTAACCAACAAGCCGGCATTTCCGGGAAATATACACACATCCCAGAATACCAACAAAATCCAGGAATAAATTTCTTCTTCCAATAAATCATCCCACGGAAGTGTAAAAGGCATTGTTACAGTGAAATAAGAAAAACCTGTGCTTTCCTTCCTGTCGAAAGCACTATGGATAATTTTGGATAAATTGTGATTTTTATGTTTAAAATTTTTTTTTTATTTAATACATACGTATTTGCTGTTATTTTCACTTTTTCCGCAGTTATTATGCTGTTTTTCCTTTTTCTGCAAAATCTGACGTTTTCCCCATTTTTATTCATATGTATTTTCTACAATTTAATGATTGCTTTACGTTTTCTTATTGATTATTCTTCTTGGGTCATAAACAGGATAATTTAATTATTTCTCGCAAGCAAACATGTTTTCTACGGGGTTAAACGCGCACAAACAGCATTTCCCACATCATTCCGAGTTAATTTAACGACAGCAAAAAAAGCCGGAGAAACAGCGCCAAAAAAAATTAATTAGAAAAAAAAGCAAACACCAGAAATAAATCAATCCAAAATTTCCATTTCAGCCGACCGCCCTCAGTTGTTGGTGCGCCAGCTGCCGGCGGGCGCCGCCGACTGGCCGCCGCCTGGCCCGCCCCCGCGGCGGTCGCGCTCGAAGCCGCCGCCGCGATGATCGCGGTCCCGCTCGTTCGGGCGGCCGAATCCGCGATTATCGCCGCGCGCATCCCCGCCAAAGTTCCGCTGGAAGCCACGATCGCCGCCGCGGTCGCCCTGGAAACCGCCCTGCTCGCGGTCCTCGAAGCGGCGCTGCAAGCCGCCCTGCTCGCGGTTATCCCGGCTGAAACGGTCGCCGTCACGCGGCGCTGCGGCGCGGTCGTCCAGCGGCGGACCGTCACGCGCGGGCGGTCGGTACGCACCTACAAAAAATTAAAAAAATTAAATGGTATATAAACAATTAACAAAAATCAAGTAGATAACGGTAAATGATAATTAATAATAATAAATACTATAATAATAAATAACTGTAAATAAAATGGTTTCTATAAAACAGTAAAAATAGCAATGAAAATAAAGATTTATATTGAAGCAATAAAATACCAAAAATAATTCATTAATATGTATCACTTACGTAATTAATTCAAATAAATGAATAAATTCCCTGACGAATTAATTCAAATAAATGAGAAAAAAATGAAGCTGGGCAAATCAGTCCAACTACTTACCGGGTCCCGGCGGCGGTGGGCCGGCCGCTTCCCCGGACGGCTCGGCGCCGCGGCGAATAATCGTCGGACCGGAAGTGTAGTCGGTTTCTACACACACACACCACACAATTCATTTAAATAAAATCCAAATAAATTAATTCCAAATTTTCTTCCAATTATTCGCTTCATCACTGACCTTTGAAATGCGGCTGGGCCGGTTCCGCAGCGGCGGCCGGCGCGGGTTCACCGCGGCGGATCTCGATCACCGGCCCGTCCTGGCGACGAATCTCCAGCGTCTCCCGTCCTCCTACAAAATTATCCATAAACCGCATTTAATTACAATAATTTTATTATTTTCGCAAATTATTCAATCATTATTACCCCATAATTTCGCCGACTATTTTGTAAATATTAAATTATATTGATTTTTAAATTTTTCCCAAAAGTTTCACTTACTATTAACTTAATATTTCGCCAACTATTATTGAGAAACATTGAATTATTATTAAATGATGATGTCGCAAATTTTATTTAATTATTCTTAACGTATAATTTCGTAAATTAATGTTTAAAAATTTATAAAATTATTCTGAATTTATTATTCCGTTAATTAATATTATTTAATTAATTTCACCTGCAGGACGCCATTGATCGCGGCGTTCCTGAGCCGGCGGCTCACCCGTGGCGGGGGCGCCACCGTCGCCGCCGGTACGGCGCCACAAATTGGGCGGGGCCGCCGCTCCCGCTCCCGCCGCCGCGGCCACGCCCACCGGCTGGCGGATGTTGGGCGGGGCCTCGCGTTCCCGTTCGCGCTCACTACGCGCCATCGCCCTGCAACAACCGTCGATAAATACTCCAGTAAAAAAAATAAATGGCAATAAATCAAGAAATAAATGGCGATAAAAATAAAATAATATTAATTAAAATAATAGCGTACTGTTGCTGCGCGGCCTCGCGTTCGCGCGCCGCTTGCCGCTCCTCGATTTCCCGCTCGCGGGCCGCTTGCTTGGCGGCCTGCTCGTTCAGCTTGCGCTCGTTCTCCTCGCGCTCTTTGCGTTTGCGCTCGCGCTCCTCCTCCTCGCCTACAAATTAAGTTACACAAATAAATCAATCAATTATTTTCGCGTTCGCAAAATAAATAAGCCGAAAATACAAAAATCAAAATAAAATCAAAAATCAAAAATACATTAACCTCAACTGCTCTTGTAGAAAATAAGCAAGCTAAAAATCTCCACTAAAAAACTTCGGACACAACAGAAAAATCCTTAATTTTCCGTTAAGAAAAACATAAAAAAGGGATAAAAATCAAAATATGAAAAACAGTTAAAAATATTAAAGCACAAAACAATACAAATAAAATTCATCAACTCAGTTCCTCTTTCCGAAAATGAGCAATACGAAACCAGGAAAATTTCACAATAAAATTCAAAAAAAATCAAGAAATAATTAGCACTTAAATACAATCAATAAAAATAATAAAAGAAATTCGTAAATAAATAGAATAATAATTTAAATAATACGTACGGATGCGCTGCTCCTCCTCCTGGCGCATCCGCTCCTCCTGCTTCTGCTTCTCAATCCACTGCGTGCGGCGTTCCTCCTCGCGCTTGACGCGGCGCGCCTCCAGCCGCTCGCGTTTCTGGTTCTTGTAGAGCTGCTCCCACTCGGCCGCCTTCGTCTCGTACAGCTCCTTCTTGCGCGCCACCACCTCGTTCAGGAACGCCGTGCGCTCCTCCAGCATGCGCCGCATCCGCTCCCGCTTCATCAACATAAACTCCCGCTCTTCGCGATGAATACGCAACTAAACAAAAAAAAAATACAACCATTTTGCAGACAAATACGAATTTAATTTCATTTTTAATTCCATTTACTTTATTTACAGAAATAGTACATCATTCAACACAAAATAAAATGGTGTAGGTAAATAAGAAAATTCAAGCTTTAAAATACGCAGCTACAAATACAATCGATCCTGGAAAATTGTCTTAAATAAATGACCAATAAAAAAATATTAGACAAATAACTACAAAATAATAATACGGATTTTATTTTAATCAAATTATTAATTTTTTTAAAAAACAAATGAAAGCAAAATGATTCAGAAAAATAACAAATAAAAGAAAGATAAAGAGAAATACAAATAATGCCGATCATAAACGACGAAGAATAAAATGACAGAATTAATAAAAAAATATTTGTAAAACGACAAAAAATAATAAGAAAATATTTTCTAAAATGCCAGAAAAAATAAGAAAATATTTGCAAAAATACCCGTTCTTCCTCGGCCTCCTGCCAGGCGCTGCGGAACATCTCCGTCATCTCCAGATTGTGCTCCTTACGCAGCGGCACCTCTTCCAAATGCTTAGCGCGGATCGTATGATCGATCTTCTTCTCCTGCACCTTCAGCCGCGCCGTATTCTCGTCCTCCTCCCGCTTCAGTTCCTCCTTGTGCTTCTGCTCCAACTTCTCCAGCACCTTAATATCCATATTCTCCAAATCCTACACAACGCCAAAACAAGGTAAAAAAGATATATTAAACCGTATGAAATTTTTTTTTAAATACCATGGATGCGAAAATTGCAGTTGCACTGATGTTTTCGGAAGAAGTCCGAAAGATATCAACCCATACACTACGATTTCTCACACATTTACGCTGTCAGTCAAACAAATACTTAATAATTACAAAACAATTTTAAAATAATTCCGAAATCTTTCTTCTCAGGGTACATGATTTATTTTTGAAAGAAGACAATGATCGGAACGATTCAGCAAGAACGTTAGACAATTACTGAATTTATCTGAACGATGACAATAATTCCCAAATAATTTCAAAACAATTTCTAAAATAATTCCAAAATCTTTCCTTTCGGTGTGTATAATTCATTTTTGACAGAAAAAGGATGGGAAGGATGTAAGGAAAATTCGGGATAAGTAAGGGAATTTTAAACGAAAGATACCTCTTTGTTGATCTCCTTGAGGACGCGCAAGCCAAAAATTAATTTTAAAAATTCCCAAAAAATACCAAAATAATTCAAAAACAATTTCACAATAATTCCAAAATTTTCCTTACGGTGTGTACAATTTATTTTTTGAAGCAAAAAATACAGGAAGGATTGAATGAAAATGTGGGATAATTTTAAAGGGGATTTGTGTAAACCATAACGGACCTCTTCGTTGATCTCCTTGAGGACGCGCATGCCGAACTCGGTGCTGCGCATATTCTCGATCTTCTTGCGCAGATACTGCTGCTCCATCTCGCGCTCCTTCTGCTTGTTGCGCTGGTCCTCGCGCTGCTTGTTGTAGTTCTGCAGCCGCATGTCGTCCGCCACCGCCAGCTCGTTGTCGCGCGTCCGCTTGGCGCGCTCATCCTGCGCCGCCTATCAACGCACAAATTAAACTGGATAAAATCACTCATATTATTACAAAATAAATCGCAATAAATACAACAAATAACCCTTTTTTTAAATCTGTTAATTAAATTAATTAAAAACTGCAAATTTTCATGCTTATGAATGATTTTTAAAAAAATACAGAGTTAAATACTGAAATAAAATCCAGATAAAAATTTAAAAAATCCCGATTACCAATTCAATAATACAAAATAATAATACTTAAATAATTCAATAATACAAATACCGTACCAAAATAAAATGCAGAATAATATAGAAAAAAATGTAATATTTCGATGGCCAATAAATATAAATTATAACCGCAGTTAAACTGCAAAATAAATTGAATCCACAATAATGATTCCAGGAAAAAAAAGAGAAATGCATGAATTAAATTCAGATAATTCTAATTAATTTTTTAAAATTATTCTTCCCACATCAAAACATACCCGTTCGCGTTCCCGTTGTTCCAGGAAGCGCTGCCGATTATCGCTCTTTTGCGGGCGCTGTAGATTATTCGCATGATCCCGCTGCGCGTTCTTCCGGTACAGGCTGAACAGATTAGCCCGGATGTGGTTCTCCTCTTCCTGCAACCATCCCCGATCGAATATTACAACAAATTAAATTAAAAATAATTCCAACTGATTTTTATTGAGGATTAATCACCTGTTCGGCGTGGCTCTTGGTGACGCGGTGCGTGCGGGTCAGGGCGCTGAGCAGACTGACCAGCTGGCTGCGCACGCGGTCCGTCGGCACCTGGGCGTCGTTCAGCTCCGTGGCGGCGGTGTCCTCCGCCTCGTAGGGCGCCAGCGCCACCTCCGACCCGAAGACGAACAGCTTGGGTTTGCGGTGGTCGATGCGCACCTGCAGTCGACGGGGGAAAAATTACCTTTCTGCCGATGATGAAATTGATTTTAAATTATTATTATTATCGAGGTTATACAAAATGTAATATAAACGCCTATCTCTAAAAATGTAAACAAAAAACTCCTAAATAAACATTAAACTCCTATTTTTAAAATAAACTACAAAATAAATACAGCTAAAAAATCAAAAACCATTACAAAATAAATACAGCTAAAAAATCAAAAACCATTACAAAATAAATACAGCTAAAAATTGAAAAACCATTACAAAATAAATACAGCTAAAAAATCAAAAACCATTACAAAATAAATACAGCTAAAAATTGAAAAACCATTACAAAATAAATACAGCTAAAAAATCAAAAATCATTACAAAATAAATACAGCTACAAAATCAAAAATCATTACAAAATAAATACAGCTAAAAAATCAAAAACCATTACAAAATAAATACAGCTAAAAAATCAAAAATCATTACAAAATAAATACAGCTAAAAAATCAAAAACCATTACAAAATAAATACGGCTAAAAAAAATCAAAAACCATTACAAAATAAACACAGCTAAAAAATCAAAAACCGTACCAATAAAAAAACGTTTCAAAATAAATGAAGATTATAAAAATTTCTAAAAAAAATAAGAATGATTGCGTCATTACTCTCATTTCAGCGGACCATCATCGATTACCCGTAAAATATTTGTACAAACCAGTCATTTGCATTGACTGCAAGAGACCAGCTAGTGCTAGCCATTTCAACCGTAACCGATAACAATTTTCACCGGCATTTTTCTTAATAAGGAAAATTGTAAATTTATCAACACGTAATTTTCCCCAGTAATCTTCGGATAATATTCGTAATTATCGGGAGAAATATGTTCCCCTCCCAAGCTCACCTCGAGGTCGGTGTTGCGGGCCGTCTCAATGGCCACGCGCTCGATAGTCGATTCGTCCGTGTACGGCATCAGGCTGACCACGCGCTCCAACTCGATGGAATCGTACGCTTGCGACAGCTGCACAAAAAGACACAGCAAAAAAAATTAAATTTAATAACAATAAATAAACCCATAAATTTCAGCAGACCACACCCACCCATCACTTCATTGACCCAATAAATTTAGTAAAAATAAACACACCAATAAATTTAATCACCCCATAAATCTAATGAAAATAGAAACCATAAATTTCAGAAAACAATGAAGAAACAAAAAAAAATATACAGACTAAAAAATCAATTAATTCCTGAATTTTTAATTATTTGATTTCTGTTGTACCTGGCGGAGCTGCTTGCCGACGGCCACCTCCTCGATGGCCTTGACGTAGTGGCGCACGGCGGCCATCTCGTCCATGTTGTTGACCATGCTCAGCACGTCCGCGACGTGGCTGCCCATGTTCAGCGGGTCGAAGGCCAGCTCCAGGGAGTGGTACAGCTGCTGCAGCTCCGGACGGACGTACTGCAGGATCTGCAGCTTTTGCTGTAATACACAACACCATCCATTCAACATTCTGCCTTTTTTCCCCCAATCACTATACATACAAAATTTAGAAAAAATAAAACCAGACGTAACAAAGTAATTAGAAAATCACTGGAAAAAATAACAGTAATTAAAACCGAATATATACATTAATTCCGAATGTAAAGGCAAGTAGGAAATTAATAAGAAAAGCGCTAGCAGTAGGGAATTCATACAAATCACCGAGAAAAAGTTTTTTTTTTTTAAAATTTAGTTCCCAATTTAATCAGAAATCTTACCAAATCTTCGACGAGTTTGGCGCGTGTGGGCGGCTGCGTGTATCCCACCAGCATGGTCAGCTGTTTCATTTTACTGGCGGCATTGTCGTCGTACTCCAGCAGCGTCTCCAGCTGCGAACGCGGCGGCTGCAACGGCACCGCCAACGTGGCGAACAGCACGGCCACGGCCAACCTAAAAACGGCCAAACTCATTAAAAAAAATTACAAAAATTTACAAAAATTACAAAAAATATATAAACGTTTCAAAACAGGAAAAATCAACCAGAAAAATTTCCAACAAAGCGAAGATATCGCTACAACAGTTGGGAAAAAAACAACAAAAATATTTGTCAACAAAAATATTCACAAGCAAGTGTATTTTAAATAATACTGGGTAAACAAATTATAATAAAATTAATAATAAGCATAATAAAGTCATAATAAATAAGAAAAATGATAATAAAAATCAAAATAAATAAGAATAATCATAATAAACATTAAGAAACGATAAATTAATACGGATTTGACATACTTGCGCAGTTCCTCGGGATTCAAATCCTTGCGGAAGTTGCGGTACAACCCGAACAACTGGTGCTGCGCGGCGGCATGGAAGACGGCGTTGCCGGCGCGTAAGAAGACCAGCGCCAGTTTCTCAAAGTAGTTGGCCTTCAGGGCGGCCTTCGGGACCTTCTTCAGCATCAGCATCAGGCCGTGCACGTCCTCGATGGCGCGGAAGGCTTCCTGTACACGCAGAAAAATATTGTTAATTAAATTTCAATTTAACAGCGGAGTGGAAGGATTAAAATGAAAAAAAGGCGGAAAAACCAACCTGCCACATTTCCATGGCGATGGCGTGATCCAGCTGCACCAGCCGTGTCCGCAGATTCAGCTCCTGCGTCTCCGGATTGTTCAGGTTGACGGCGTTGGCCGTGATCACCTCGCGCTTGGAGATCTGCCCAATGTGGTTGCGCAACTACAAACGGACCAATTTATTTCAAAATCAATTTATTTTAAATTTGTATTTCAACTCTAAAATAATTAGACTATTTAATCATTTTGAAAAATTTCATTTCAAATCAAAAACAGTTGAAATATATTTTAATTTTCTATATCTAATGCTATTTTTTCAAAATATTTCTCAACTTTTAAACTTGATCAGGGTTTTCTAAATATTTTTTCTAAATTCAAGAAAGCATTAATTTTTAAAAATTCAAATTTCTCTTCAAATGTAGAGAAATCAAAGTAGAAATTAAATTTTATATATTCAATTCTATTTTTCCACTCTAACATGGTTTTATAATTTTTTTAAATCCAAGAAAAAGAATAAAAGTGGAATTAAGATTTCTTTTTATTACTTAAATTATTAACGCGTCAATTTAATTTTCAATCGAAACGTGGAGAGCTCAGGAATGATGATTTGTTTAATTCCATAAATACATGTATGATGTTGGCGGTTGAACGTACCATTTCGCAGAGTTTGCGGAGTTCGGTTTTGCGGACATATTTCAGGCAGAATTTGAAGGCCTGCGACGCGATATCGTGGTACAGTGCCTCCAGTTTGGACAGGTTGCGCAGCAGATCCAGACAGTGCCGGTAGGCTTCCCAGTTGAAGCGCACCCACGGCAGCAGCATCACGCGATCCGCCCGATCCTGTGACGTGTCCGTACTGACGACTTTCAGCAACATCCTACACAATCCAAACGGAATTTTACAATTTTCTCCGAATTTTTACATGATTATTCCTGAATTTTTATGAATTTACAATCAAAAATATTGTCGAATTTCCACTGTAATTACTGACGAGAAGAGATATTCAACATTGCAAAATTGTTGCTTTGCAGCTGAATTTAGAATAATTTTTTCACAATTTATAACTGTACAAAAAAATAAAACAAAAAGGATAGAAAAACTGAGAAAACGAAAATAAACCAGAATAAATCATTCAAAAAATATTAATGGAAAATTGAGACATTATGGTTGGGCACCCGAATTTAAAATTACTTTCCAATATTCCGAATTTTACAAAAAATACTCGGCTTATCAAAAAATAAAATCAAAGACCAAAGAAATTCGGGAAACGAAAATATTGAAAATAAATAAGAAAGGAGCTTAAACATTAAAAAATAAGTATATATTACTAAATTTTTTTATACGAACATAATTACAGAATATGGAAGAATAACCTAAGAAAAACATGGAACAGCAGAACACGTACCCTTCCGGCGACTCGGCCAGATCCAGATCGTCCACATCGACAATGGGCGCAACCGCTCCGTTCTCTGTAGCGCTGACATTGACGTTGGCCTTTTCGCGCGCCGCGTCGCACTTCATCTCGCTCAGCTTCAGATAGTAGCGGATAATGTCCTCCAGACTCTTGGGGTTGACGTTGGCCGTCAGGTTCTTGTACTGATGCAGGCCCTCCTTGGCCGTCTGTGACTGTTTGAGCTCCACGCACAGTTCGATGAACTTCTTCATAATGTCCTCGTGTGATTTCTGCCAGATGCGCTGCTTGCGGTTCTTGATGGCCTCCGTGAGGGCCTCCAGGGCCCGGATCTTCTTGCCCACATCCAGAAATTCTGCAATCAATTTTGTACATTACACCATGTCGAAGAGGGCAGAAAAAGGAAGAGATTCGCGGCACTGCGCGGCAGGAACCCACCTTCTGCTCGCTTCAGAGCGAACTCGGGTTTGTTGACAAACACCGGCATGATGACGGTTATGGGGATAATACCATACAAATAACAACTCCGACGGGTTCAGACCGATTATTATAAGTATAGAAAATTACTGAATATATTCTGGAAGATAAAGTTTTCGTAATTCTCCATGAAAAACGTGACGATCACCACAAAATTCGACATTAAATTGATTAAAAACACGTAATCAGTTCCTACGGAAAGATTTCGCAAAGCATGGCGACAGTAGTACAGGATGGGTCCGGCGCGCTGCGGTCCACATAACGCTGACTTGACGCATAGACAACCGCCCCGGGCGGACGACTGCACCGTACTGCGCTACTTTTTTCGCGTTCATTCTTGTTTCAGATTTCTCATTTCCCGTCTTTTGGTAGAGAATACTGTTTTCTTGCAGGCTACAGCTGTTTTCCAACAAAGCATTACTTTAGCGAAAAAAACAGATGATTCTTCCAATTTTCCACACATCCATTGACATTTCTCCAGAAGCACAAGTGAAATGATAATACAAGTGAAAGATAAGACCGTGTGTTACAATAATTTACAACATCCGAAAACCGGCAAGGATCGTGACGACACGCCCGGGCGAAGAAAGATGGCACACTCGTTGTGGCTAGATGGATAAACCTTCGGGTTTTGAAAGATAGTCTACATCGAGCGCGGTTTGGACTTAGATGGGTGACCACTCTGAGTTCAGGCTGCGAGTGCACGGCCCGCAAGGCCTGTGTGCGAAGTGCTTGGCTGAGGCAGCAATACCACCAAGGAGACGGGCACGGGAGATGGAGGATCACAATACCACCCTGGCTACTCAGTAACGGCTTGGACTGAAAGGCCTGTGATGTCCGCAGCACCAATCGTGCCAAATGGAAGTAGACAGGGAGATCAGTCGAAGCAGAGGATTGGCGCCTTCCCTAGAGATGTGCTTGCTGTCTACCTGCTTAGAATTCTCTTAGTCTGGTTCTGTTGATCGTCTTGCTCTGCCCGAGCCGGTTCGCGCCGATGCGCGTTAAAATAAAGCTGGCGCTCGCGTTTGCGAGCTGCTGCATACGATCTGTCTGTGGCAGTGTTATAGCCTCCATTGTAACTCTGCGTGAATGAATTACCGTACTTTGCACAGAATGTTCTGTCTGTCACCTGATTAATGCATTGCTGAACATGTAAACCGAGCCGTTTTCGAAACAACTAGCCGAATAAAGCAATAGCAAAGTACGGCTGTGTTTTTTTCTGTGTAATCGGACAGTCGACTGTCGAAATGCCATTATTGCGTTTTACTTTTCTTCATTAACTTCTTGCTGTCAAGGGTTAGGTAACTCTAAAATTTCGATGCCGGTTCTGTTCCTGCCTTTAAATTCCACCTCAAACTTGTGAAATTATCTTAATTCTTTACTGTTTTGTGGATTGACAATATCGACGTCGGAATGACAATTGGGCTTTCGCACATATTACTTGGGGGGAACTTTTGTGAACCCCAGGTAATGCGCGTATGTCGTTTCGCATCGTTAAACGGCACTCGTTTTCTCTGCTCTGTTTGCTGGCTTGCGGACTTCTTTTATAGCTTCTAACTATGCCAGGAGATCAGCCAAAAGAGCCTTGCCACATATGTGGAAAGCCCTTCACTAAAGGCGCTGGGCTCTCCAACCATGTTAAAGCCTGCGCCAAGAAAGCACCCACAAGCTCCTGGTTCCACGTCCTCTCCACCCGACCAACAACCGCTTCAATCCTTTTTGGCCGGGAAGCATGCCGTCCCAAAAGAGTGCCGAAGTCTGTCCCACGCCTGTGTGCTCAGTCCCTGACCGAAGTCCTCCGTACATGCATCAGAGAAAACACATCGGCGAGCTGGGCAGATTTGCTGTTGTTTGGATCAAGAGCCCTCTGCTTGCCCGCCACCAAAACCCTCCGCAAAGAATCCCTGTCCTCCATAATACGCAAAAATTTGTCGGATTTGTCTCGCCATCAACATCCTCCACGTCAACATGCTCCTCCACGAACTCAGCAGGGTGAGCTATCGAGCGAGCGCATGTCAGCCCTTGCCACATCGATGTTGCAGGACAACAACATCAGACGCGCCATTGGACTGGTAATGGGCGACGATTCAGTAGCGCCAGTAAATGCGGAAACCCTTAAAGAGCTGCGCAACAAGCACCCTTGCGAACCTGCGGATAGTTTGTATCCCCCTCCTCCCGACCAGTCTAACGTACCGCCCTCAGTAGCACCTGCCGAAGTGCTTCAAGCAGTCATGAGCTTCCCTTCGGGTTCTACCGGTGGATTTTCGGATCTACGCCCACAACATCTGAAAGACCTCCTAGGCGGCCCGCAAGCCGAAGAAAGCGAGTTGTGCTGTGCTCTGGCTGATTTTGTTAATCATGTTTTGCAGAGAGGCGTTCCGGAGGACATTAGACCGTTTTTCTTTGGAGCAAGGCTAATCTCCCTTGCCAAAAAAGACGGAGGAATTCGGCCAATTGCAGTTGGGGAAACGTTTCGCCGTTTAGTCTCTAAAATAGTAACCCAGCGTTGTTCTGACAAGATGAAGGAATTGTGCGGCACTGTGCAGTATGGCTGTGGCACGAAAGGCGGAGCCGAAGCAATTATTCACGGGGTCCGCTCGTACCTGGAAGCTACACACGACGGAGAAGGAGTACTGGTAAAGCTGGATTTTAAGAACGCTTTTAACCTTTTGAGACGGGACGCGTTATTGGAAGCCGTAAGACAGCATTTTCCCAATTATTACGGCTATTTCTGGCAATCTTATCGTTATGCGAGCCATTTGGTTTGTGGGGAAGAAGTTTTGTCGTCCGCCCGGGGGGTGCAGCAGGGCGATCCAAGTGGCCCCTTCGGTTACAGCCTCACATCGCTACCGCTCTTCGACGGACTAGATTGCGATCTGTTCCTGGGCTTTCTTGATGATGTTACTCTGGCCGGTACCATGGAGAAAGTGATCGCTGCGATAAAACATATTGAAGAGAAAGGGAAGAAGATGGGCCCTGAACTGAATTTCAACAAATGCGAGTTTTACCTCATCAATTCAACTGCGGATGCGGGTAAGCCTTTGTTGGAAATATGGCCAACAATGATCCAGTTAAATCCAGAAAACCTTTACCTGTTGGGCGCACCTTTAAAACCAGCCGGTTGTGCGAAATTCCTGATGGAAAAGAAAGATCACCTAAGCAAGTTTGTACAGCGGCTCACGAAGCTACCTGCACCTTACAGCCTTTTTTTTCTAAAAAATTGCCTTAGCATCCCCAAGGTTTTATATGGCCTACGCACTGCCCGATGCTATGAATTTCCAGAGCTGTTGAAAGATTATGACCAACAACTGCGGAATGGTGTGGAACAGCTGACCAACGTAAGCATAACAGAAGCCCAATGGATGCAGATGGCTTTACCAGTTCGGCGTGGTGGATTGGGAACGCGGCGCATAGAGTCACTAGCTATTTGTGCCTTTTTGGCATCGGTGCACGCTGTGCATCCTCTCGTTTCCAGATTTTACGCGCCAGCTGGTGACCATATGACACAATCGGCTGTACAGAACTGGCTTCAGATGACACACTGCTCGCTACCAGAAGATTGTGTGCGAAAGTTTCAGTACGTGTGGGATGTGCCGATGATTGACAGGGATGTATCAAAACTGATGTTATCAACGGTTGGTGATGAGCGCGCAAGAGCCGTATTGTTGGCTGCATTTAGCAGAGATTGTGGGGCCTGGCTGAAATCGCCGCCGCTGAATGCATTACCGGCGCCTTGTCTTGGAACGTTTTTACGAGATGAAGAAGTAAGAGTAGGAGTGGCATTACGTTTCGGATTGCCCGTAGTGACAGCTCATAACTGTGTGGCATGCGGCAAATTAGTGGAAACGAATGGCCATCACGGGCTTTCCTGCAATAAATCAACGAAAGGGCGATGGGCCAGACATAGAGAAATGAACAGTATTGCCAAAAACTGTTGCGAGAGTGCAGGATTCCCATGTCAACTGGAACCGACAGGCCTATCACCAAGTGCGGCGATTCGACCTGACGGCATGACGCTTATTCCAGTCCGTCAAGGAAAGTCTGTTGTATGGGATGTCACAAGTTGGTGTACAGTAGCCGATTCCCATGTCCACGGAAGTTCGAAGAAGGCAGGAAGTGTGGCTCACTTGGCAGAAAATGAGAAGCGACGGAAGTACTCTCCACTGGAAAGCAGACACCTTTTCTATCCCTTAGTTGTTGAAACGTTCGGTGTCTTTGGCCTAGCTTTAAGTGAATTTGTACATTTTATGGGCCGTAAAACTCGTGAATTAACTGGAGAAGCGCGTTCTACTGCTTTTATGAAGCAACGTTTTAGTTTGGCTGTCATTAAGGGAAATGCTACTGCTGTGTTAAGTACGTTGCCTTTTAACCCGCGGGCGGATAGAGATTTTGGTTGTTTTTTTAATGTTTAAATTTTAACTGTAAAGTAGTGTGCCCGCGCTTGCACTTTTGTTGTTATGGCGGCTATTGCCCAATAAACTAATTATATTCTTTACTGCTATGTACTAGTACTTAAAATTATTGTCCTTGCTCGACCAGACTTCAAGGCTGCCACTACCCGTAATAATAATAGTAAATACTGTAACAGCAGCCGGTTTGACTGCTGTTCTTGTGGGTTGGTTAATCCATCTTACCACGATCTGTCGGCTGTTAGTGTGGGAAAAGCTGGCACGTCGGCAACGTTGCTGACCAGAAGCAGACTACCGTTTACAGAGGTACGTGACGACGGTCATGGGAGATGCACGATCATCCCATGTCGGTTAAACAACGTAACGCAAGGTCATCGCAAAAGTTTATTAGCAAATATTCAAAGCAAGATTCAGCGAGGAAAGCAATCTGATGATCAAGAACGCATAAGTGTGGGCAAGAAAAACGGAACGAAGTGCCTAAGCACAGGGCAAAATTCGGAGCAAGCTGCAGCAAGACTAATTTCGCGATGATTCTGACCGTGAGATGCGGTCGGTAAAATGTAGGAAAATAACGATTCTGATCTTCATACCACAGGACCAATTAACAGTAGAGAAAGACAGTTATCGCTCCTACTGGCGGGTCATTCTTAATTTCTATCGCTACAACACGTAGCACAATAAAATTCAGGTGAGTGAGTGTGTTCACTGTGTTGTGCACGGTCCCTTCTCCTGTTAATTGGGACAAATTCTTCACTTGATTATCATTGTTGAGCGAAGCTCGCTTTGTAAATACTGAGAAATAAAAGCCATAAATTCAGGTACCAGAAAGAACCAGAGAGATCGCTAACAGTTAAACAAGCCAGTGTTAGCGAAGTTATCGCTGACATTAGTCGAGTGAGTGTATTCGAAACTATTTACGTAAAGATGGCACAAATAAGTCCCGGCTGGTCCGTCCATCAGGCAGATCGTCCGGCGGGGGCCGGAACACCGCTTGCCGGTCACCCGCCGGTCCGACAGCGGCCACCAGACACATGTTTCCATACAGATACTCCACCCCGGCACACGTGTCATCCGCCATCGCGTACGCCGCCCGGGTGACATTCTGCTGCGTTAATGCGGTAATCCACTGCATGGTTGCGGCATTCTCCCACGTCTTGTCATCTAGGGTTGAAAGTCCCCATTTTCAATTACTGCACACAGTGCACATTGCAAGCTATTCAAAATCACACCGGGCAGTGCGCCCAGGGGAAGGGAAAATTAAATTCGATTTTCATAATTTATTCTTCGAGTATTTTTCTGCTGTAATGAAAGAAACTTAACGATATTGGGATTTACTGAAGTGCTGTTATTTTGAACAGTTAGTTCATCGTATTTCATTCATTCGATATTCATATATAATATTTACTGTATTTCAAGTTTCTTCACCTCAAAATAAACTAACGGTTTCAGAAAACTGCTGCAAATTAAAATTGATTCCAGATCGATTATACTGTACCTCAAAATCAGACTGCGGACATTTGAAAGGGAAACTTTAATTCTTTTAAACTATTACAGTAGTTAAATATTTGTAGACGGAGAAACTGATTACCTTAAAGCTTAAATACCGGCTTAATAACAATGCAGCGGAATAAATGCTGAAAATGACGATATACGAGTATCACCGAGCACTGATTTTAATCTTTTGTTTAGTTCACTGACTACAACAGAATATATAAATATATGTTTTAAAACTGCATTTTTTATTATCGAATCCCCTATCACATCATTATAAACAAGAGGCCAACACGGTTTGAATTCAAACCATACCGTTGTCCGGAACGCTTCCGTGGGGCCACGGCAGGACAATCGCCCCGTTTTCCGCAGCCATCTGTTCCAGCAGGCTGCGATCGTCCAGGCCACTGTAATAATCGATCTTGATAACATGATCCGTCAACACGGCCCCGTCGTCCGGATAATACTGATCGCCCGGCCTGGTGTGGATCTTGAGGCGGACGGGCAGCGACAGCGCCGCGCACACTCGCTGCACCGCGGCGTCACGGCCGCGCAGCTGCTCCATAATCGATTCCAATGCCGTCTTCCGATTTCCGGCATCCTGCGGCGGATAGCGGTGCTGCAGTCCGAAACCCAAAAGTCCCCCCGTCGGTAGGAAATTCGGATTGGCCAACAGCCGGGTCAGGGTGTCGCGGAAGAACGCCTCGGTGTCGACGGCGGTCTGGCTGAGCGGACAGTCGGGGATGAGCTCCGTGGAGGTGGAGGGCGGCAGGGAGAGGATATAGGTGAAAGTAACGCGGTAGCCGCTCTCCACCGGAAGGACTTCGTGCTGGACGTCGGTGTCGCAGGCTAGGAAGGCGATGGCGGGCTGATTCACCGCGGACAGCGCCTGCGCCGAGTCGAAGCGCCACTCTTGGTCGCCGCAGCGCAGCACGGAAGTGCCGCCCGCGTGGCTGGTGGGGAAGACGACGACCAGGGAGCCGAAACTGTCGGCCATCAGCGGTGAATCCCCATGAGGATACCCGCAGTCGCTTTGACCTAAAACACGGAAGATTTACCCATCTTTCAAAGGTAAAAATTATAAAAAAATATTTGATATTTACAACCCATTCAAGAATATTTAGATAATTTGTTTTTAATTGATAGAAAAATTATCTAATTAGTTCTGCACACGAAATATCTTTAGGTATTTATGATTAAATTATTTGAAAATTCTGCTTCAGTCAACATTATTAACGATAATATAAATGGCAAAAAGCAGTCGGCGAAGGCTTACTGTAGACATTCATTTTGCATAGTTGCGCTGTGATGGTCTGGTTGCGCTGCTGTTCCGGCAGCAGGTCCATGCTAATACGCCGCAGCAGTCCCGCTCGCTCCACGTCCAATTTACTGGCGAAGGCGTCCACGCCCAGCTGGCCCGTTGTGCGGGAAGACACGTCCAGGATGTTGTCGGCGAGCCGTCCGATGGAGGCGGGATCACAGGCGCGGGCCAGCTGCGCCAGCTCGGCGGCGGCCGGCTTGTGCAGGGAAATCCGCCTGCCCAGTCGGAAGAAACAACATGGCGCATTGTAATCGACCCGCATGTCGATGCATACGCAAGAGAAACACTCCCAGTCTCGCACTATTTTTGCTGCCTGAGTCGCCGCAGGACCCTGGAGAGTAATCTGTGTTTCTGTGGAAATCACTTTCCTGTCTAACCTACTGGAGGTTTCTCAGAAACCACTCAGTTGGACATTGCAGACAAAGGAAGTGCCGGGACTTCCGGTGGTTGACGCAGTTGCCACCGCTCGGTGTGGCAGCGTACTGTGTAATTTTATTGAGAAAATTCCCTTCTTTTTGATTGCTGTGACAAACTCTGACTTTTCCTGCACTTTTTGTATTAAAAATTGAAGAATAAATTACAAGGAAGTTTTGCACAGTGGTAAATACGTCGTATGAACCAACACGTCTGCCTGCACGACGCACAAGAAAAATGAGACGAAAATCAAAAATGGAGGTGAAAATAGTGCGAGCGTTAAAGGATCGCTGATCGCAAAATGTGTTGTACCTGGCGATATTATCCAGTCCAGGTTTTCCATAATACAGCGTAAACGCCTCGTCCGGCAGACGGCAAACACCAAAGGAGACGCGCGAGCCCGTCACGACGGAGGCTCTTAGAGACGCGATGAGCTGCTCGCATTCGCCAACACTTCTGCTGGCAGTTGCTGCATTGAGTGCATTCCGCTCGCTTGCAGACGCAGTCGTCGCGGTTGACTCGGTGAAGGTGTTAGCAGCATTTCTCCCAGCTCGAGGCTTCCCAGTTGCGGCACGACGACAAAATGGTTGGGCCGTGTGGATCAATCTCCCGAAATTTAGCAACTCTGATTTTGCTGGCATGTTTCATACGACTGTATGTATTTAACTGCGATTTAAAACATTTTATTATTTTAACAACTTTCCAACCGTATTATGGCGAAACAACTACCCGGGGCGGCTGTATGTGCGACTGATACAATATAGATATTTCTCTGTTCACTGCTTTCTTAAACAGCTGCCTTGAACCGAGATTCACCGTATGTGCCGTGTTTTTATCGATAGCATCCGACCGTGGCTCCCATCCTGCACTACTGTCGACATGCTTTTGCGAAAATCCCACAGGAAATTAATTTATTTTTCACGTTTTTATATTTTGTCACTGCGATTTATTTTCGTTTCCACCTAGCACATTCTAAAAATTGATACGCTGCAATCTGTTGTGCATGGTGTTGATGGTGTAAAGCAGCGTGTTTGAACACGATCGGAGCCGTCATGCTGCAGGGCCTCGCGCTGCGATACGCCAGCAGGCTGCAGGCCTGCGTCGCCCGTGTGCACCCCGTCAGGACGTCCGCGCGGCCGTTTGCGCTGTTCTCCTCGCGATTTGCGGAGTCCCATGGGCACGGGACGGGGCAGGGCAGTCAGCACGAACATCAGACCGGCGGCCACGATGATCACCACCACGACCACCACCACGACGATCCCTACGCCAGCTGGTACGAGGATCCGCCCAGCAACCTCGTCTTCCGCTCCTCCCGCCTCAAAATACCCTTCTACATCGGCAAACCCCCGGAGTAAGTGTCGCTAAAAAATAATACAATTACACCTAAAAATAATACAATTTAATCCAGTTTTTGTTTTTATTGCCTATCATGACTTTCTGGGGAAATTTTCAGTATTTTTAATTTAAAAAATGGTTTTAATTAATTTTGCGTTCGTTGGTTTTGCTGTTACGTCGTGAAGGCTGGCTCTACACCAGTCTGCTTTCACACCTTGCAGGTGCATTTATAAATTAAATAGTTTCTTGTTACTTTTCTTAATATTTGTCATACACGTAGTGAAGAGAAAGTCATGTGTTGCGTGCAGTTGTGATGAAAATAAAAAGGGAAAGACCGAAAGATTAAGAATTTTCGCAAGCTGGCAAGATAAAACTGGCAGTGCACTGCCACACTGGGCGGTCGCAACTGCTTCAAGTACCGGAAGTCCCTGAATTTCTTTCATTTGCCATTGTTGGCGTAGAGATTTTCGTGTAAAATAAATTGTGGATGATGGAAGAGTGATTTCTACAAACATTCAGCTTACTTTACAGATAATCGCTTATGTGTCTTGGGAGCTGTAAGTTTTGAAACGAGCCGAGGCGCACCCTGCCGATATCGTACTGAAAATACATAGTGTATGCAGTTCCTGTAATTTTGAAAGTTTATTACATTGCTCTGTGCTTTTCAGGATGAGCTACCGTGTGCCCTGCAACACGGACCACTGGCAGATGCACTGGCAGGGCTGGATGATCGGCGTGCTGATGTGGTGGTCCATTTTGTATGGATTCTTCTCCGAACCGGAGCATCTTTTTGTATGGGACTATCACTCCAATATGGCATCAAATTTTTAATTTATTCCGTACCGACATATGACTTTATTCAGCTGTGTTTTAAATTAATATTCGGAATATTTTAGATGTATTACAGCTTTTAAAATTAAAAAAAACCATACAGATTACCGAAAAGGATAATAAAATGATAAAAATCACCGGAAAAAAATGTAAAAATATTACCGAAAAAAAATAATTTAAAACAACAGGTGGCGAATCGAGGGTTTATTGTTGCGTTGCAGGGCCACTATCACCAACCGGATCGTCGGCAGTGGACGGACGAGGAGCTGGGCATTCCGCCGCTGGACCAGTTCCCGCTGGATCCGCCGCCCTTCCGCGCGGAGCCCTTCGTTCCGTCACGATAAAAACGGGCTAAAGTAGAACGGGCTGTGTTTTCTGTAGATTATGCTATGCAGGTTTTGTCGTCTCGTCGGATAACGATGCACTGGATTCGTGTCTGTTATAGCTGTTTTCTTTTTGCTGGATTATGACGAATTATATCGCGGAATGCGGCGGGAAAATTCAGTAGATTATTTCGCAAGTTGCATAGTGTTTATTATTCATTGAATAGAAATTTCCATTCAAACAAGTACTCGCATAGCTTGCATTTCGTGCATCCGAAATTCCGAATGTAGTAAATGTATAAAGACAATGAAGACTGACAATCGATCACTGCCGATCAGTCGATTAAATTACTGGCATTCACCGATGCAGATATATTATTTATTTGTCAACAGTGTGCTGAAAAGAGTGTGCTGTCCATTTATGCATTTTGATATGGAACGCGCCCAACGGCAAAAAAACAACACAAAAATCAGTAGTTTAATCGGAAAGGCGCTCTACTCGGCCAGGATTTACTGCGGAAAGGCAACGCGCGGGTTCCATCCAGGATTTCTCGGCGGCTTCCTATTATTTTGTCCACCTATCATTTCGTCCACCATTCATTTCGTCCACCATCCATTTTGTCCACCACTCATTTTTCAGATGATAATATCATTCTTAACACTCAACTGACAAGCAAGTTAGATTTACATAGAAGTATACGTACTTGCAGATGCAAGGAATTAGATGCGCGCTACATTATGTGCATAAGTCGAACTCATCATTCTGTTATTTCTTGCCTACTGTCCTTATAACCCGCTCAATTTCGAGATGCATATACAGCTGCGCAGTACTGGGTACGTTATCAGTATTACGTGCAAATATGCCAAATAACTGCAACGTATATTATTGTTGTAGCAATGGCATACAAACTGAAATCACAGTAATGAATACTAATGATATAGATGTAAGAACTACGTTTGTATACATTCTCATACAACGTGTTATTTATCGGATTGCTACGCGCATCTTCGGTTTATTAGAATTATTTCGCACTAGCTTTGTCTTATAGAAAATAAAAATACCGTAATCTTAGAATTGTATAGTGGACAAAATGAATGGTGGACAAAATGAATGGTGGACGAAATGAATGATGGACAAAATGAATGGTGGACAAAATGAATAGACACGTTTCTCGGCTCAACCATCACCAGCATGACAGCGTCATGAAATCCCAAACTTCTCCTTCCCAACGGCCAACGCCGATATAATGCTCGCAAGTCGCAACACGGCGCATAACGCACCAATCTGAAAACGGGACACCAGTTAAAATTGGCCAATATATTTACCGTTATTACGTATTAGCGGTATTACATATATGATATAAGGCCAAATTCACTGACGTCGGTGTGAAGACGACAGGACTGTTTAATTATTCAACTGAGCAGCTGATCAAAACCTTTACAGAATAACCTTTACAGCTGATTACAACCTTTCCAATCACAGTACTACGTAACACGATCCTGCTAAAAGCAGAGCCTCAAAAATTTGGTAAAAAAATATTAAAAATAACTCAATAATTTATAAACTAATTAAAAATCAAATAAATACAGTTTAGTTAACTTAAATAGTAAACTGGTTACTGTCTACTGGCAATAAAATTATCAAATAAAAAATATATTAAGAAATATGAATATGAAAAAAACTGGCTAAAATAAGTGAACCTGTCAAATAAAATAACCAATTTTTCAAAAAAAAAAACGTACCTTCAAGGAGCGACTGGACTGTACACTTCCTTCTGCAATGAACCCTTGAACGGTGCGATCTTCCTATTTGGTGGAGTTGGCCCGGATGGCGGTGAGGACGATGATGATGAAGAAGGGCGCCATGATCTCCGGGTAGGAATAGTGCACGGTCTGCTCCAGCTTCTGGCAGACGAGCGTGTAAAACACGGCCACGGCGGCCAGCATCAGCATAGTCAGACCGGAGCGGTGCAGCGCCTTCTTCGTCTCCCCCACCAGCACGCTGCGGATCAGCACGATCATGACGAAGTAGGCGTTGACGGCCAGCCCGACGAACAGCGGGAGGAAGGTGCGCCACCAGGTCAGCGCCAGCGCCGCCGTCAGCCACGCCGAGAAGCTGTCGAGTTTCACGCAGAGGAGAATGGTGAAGCAGCATAAGCAGAGGATGTGCCACAGCATCTCTGCTGGGGACATGCCCGTCCACACGCACGCCTCCTTGATGGTGAAGAACATGGCTAAAATATTCTCCCTTCGGAGGACAAAATTAGGATGACTCTCGGGGAGAAAAACAACACGAGAAGAGAAAGGAGATTTTAGCATCGAATTTTCCGTTTCGACATGTTTAAACATGCATGAACAAATTCAAATGGACGCCAATTAAGTACACTTTCCAATAGCAGGAATACCATTTCCATTACCAGCTGGTTTGGGCTTTTACTGGAATTACAGGCACGTGTGTCGTGCGACTGCGCAATGCACCGGAATTGGAAAACCATCAGAATGGAATTCATTTTCCATTACCAGCGATACGCTTTCCACTGGAATTCCCATCACACAGCCACGTGCAGCCCGCATCGATACCGATGTTGATATCGTGACGTCATCTGATTAGTGCAGCCCAACTTTGTGATAAGGTACGGCGGCTGTACCGCCTTACTTCCCTGTTCCACCGCTTTTACCACAAACGACAGTATACAGATTTCTCTCGCCGATGCGCCGTAAAGCCAAGTTGATTTCCCCGATCTTTTCAAGGCGTTCGACTCATTGCATTCCCCGAAAAAACAAACTTGCCACTGTTGTCAAACTGTTATACGCTTGTCCAGGTTTCTGCGATATTCTCCAGGCTAATCGTCGTGCGCACGCGATCCTGAATGTGGAATTCTGCACTTCCCGCACGCTCAGCAATAATCACTCCGTTTTGAAGCGCATCTGGTTGTGTGAGAATGGATTGGAAGTGAAGTGACGACGGAATCGTGATTCATCTGGGATCCTTCCGCGTTCTCCTGTGCCCGTGGTATGCTGGAATGTTTACCCAGCCCAGCAGGGACCCTGGCGCAGTTTTACCCCTGTTTTCGTTTCGTTTTGCAGGACCAATAATTCCCGATTGCTGTGATAGTGCGCAGCTGTTTTGCGCGGCGTTGATGTGAGTAGCGAGTACGCAGACATTAGGGACCAGTTTACTGAGTTTAGTTTCCAACAGTTTTGGGTCGTCGCTTGAAATGATTTGCGATATCATTGATCTGAAATGAAATTTCGATTGGCAAAAATTAATTTATATTTAAGGAATATTTTATCTGTTTTGGAACAAAAAAATGAATGTAGTTTGTATCGTTTTTTTTCGCAGTTATAAATTCTGATGATTTATTTACTTTTACTTATTTCACATTTTCGCTGTAATTTATGAAACTCGTATAGTCGTATTTAGCCAGTTTGCCAGCTTCTCCAATAGTATAAATTAAATAAGAATTTTGAAAAATTAAATATTTTCGTTTCTAACCGTTTCAGTTCCTCGCAACCCGATTTGTTTTGAAGTAATTAGGAACGAATTTGATTTGAACTGCAATTTTCAGAGTTCATTTGTTTGAGTTTCTTTCTTGTTACGAGTCCTAACGAATAAAAATTTGGGGTTAGTGTTGAAAGCGTTTGAAATAAAATTTACTGGAAATCAAATGAAATTTAAAATTAATAATTTTCCAATATTATGGTCGAAATTTTTGGAAATAAATTTAAAAAATTTGAAATTTAATCTGGTAATAGATTTTAAAAATCCTAAATTAAATCTGGAAATAAATTTTAAAAATCCGAAATTTAATCTGGTAATAGATTTTAAAAATCCAAAATTAAATCTGGAAATAAATTTTAAAAATCCGGAATCAAATCTGAAATAAACTTTAAAAATCCGAAATTAAAACTGGCAGTAGAATCTGAAAAAGAGATGATTAATTAGCGAATATTTCTATGCCGTTTTCTGTCAGTAGCATCCATGGGCAACACCGCCAGCGATCGTAAGAAGGAGCTGCTGGTCTCCCAGCTGCAGTCGCAGCACCACCAGACCCGCCGCGAATCCCTGCAATCCGCGCCCGGCACCCCGCCGGCCACCAGCCGCCACAAGAAGGCCCTGGTCATCCAGCAGTCGGCCGAGGACTCGGACATCGGGCTGACCACCTCGGGGGGCGATGAGGGCGGGGGCGGGGGCTCGGCGGCCAGCAGTGTGGGGGAGCGGTCGTCGTTGGGGGCCGCCGCGGCCGCCGCCCGTCTGCGGCCGCGCGCCACCACCATCAGCCATCCGGCCTCGGAGACGCCGGAGCAGACGCACCTGCCCACGGTGTTCCGCTGGAAGGGCCAGGCCAAGCAGGTTTATATCGCCGGCAGCTTCAACAACTGGAAGACCAAGATCCCGCTGACCAAGAGCCAGAATGATTTCGTCACCATCCTGGATCTGCCGGAGGGACAGCATGAGTACAAATTCTTTGTCGACGGTAAAAAAAAAGCGGAAAATAATCACCTAATACATACATTTCGATGCATTATCTTTTTTATACTGATCTTTTTTATACTGATCTTTTTCTCGTAAATTTTTCGATAAAAAACCGCGTATCTTTCGCGACAAAAAAACCAGCTAGATATTAATGGCTATATTTTATTTTGAATTTTTTCCCGAATAATTGGCCACTTGTGATAATTTTCTGCAAAATTTCCCTCAATTTTTTGTAGTACATATAGTTATTACATAGTTTTCATAATGTGTGAAGAAGAATTTTCTCGAAACAGGGTTGCAATATTTGTTTACGAATTTTCCCTGTTTCAAAATTTGTTTTCACAGTTTTCTTGAATTCTGGTAATAATAATAATTTCCTGAATTCCTCATTTTCATAATGTATTTCTTTATTTTCTTGGCGTTCTTGATAGTACTAATTATTTAAGGATTTTCTCACAGGCATGGTAAATTACCTGGTAAAAATAAACTCGCAATTTTGTGAAAATTTCATAACGAAAATCGTTGATAGTTTTTCGTAATTTGATATTTTATTTCATTATAGTTATACTGCATGATAATTGATAATTTGTTTGATAATAATAATTTCGGTAATTTACAGCACATCATAATGTAAGGATTTATTTCATTTTCATACTATATTTATTTGTTGGATTTCCTCGGATTTCATAAATCATAGTCCAGTTCATAATCTGCAATAATGTTCGCGGTTTCATAGTAAATGTAATGCATTATTTTCGCCGTTGTTTATTTGAAATCCTTCCCTAATTCTCTGTGTTTGGTTGTTCCCGGTATTTATAGGCCAGTGGGTGTTGGATCCGGAGACGAAGCACAAGGACGCGGACGCCGGCGGCGCCAAGAACAACGTCGTGGAGGTGTCGCGCTCCGACTTCGAGGTGTTCGACGCGCTGGCCATGGACGGGGAGAAGTCCTCGGCGACGACGTACAGCAGCTCCCCGCCGGGCAGCTACACGCAGGAGATCCCCAACAAGAAGCCCTACGAGTCCAGCACGGGACCTCCAGTCCTCCCGCCGCACCTCATGCAGGTCATCCTCAACCGCGACATCCCGGTGACGTATGAGCCGACGTTGTTGCCGGAGCCCAATCACGTCATGCTGAACCATCTGTACGCGCTGAGCATCAAGGACGGGGTCATGGTGCTGTCGGCCACGCATCGCTACCGCAAAAAGTACGTCACCACGCTCATGTACAAACCGATTTGAAGAGGAAGGGATTGTGATGCGGATGTGTACATGGATGTACAGGTTAGATGGTGCGGTAACGCCCAATAATGTTCGACGGTTTATTTGGGGATTTGTATTGCTGCGTACGGTATGGACGCCTTGTTTTTTCTTGTAATCATGGTTGCGGCTGACGAATTTTAATAGCAGGCGATGTGGCCGCCGGTCCGGGCGGGCGCGCTGCATGACAGGCAGCGGAAAATGGTTTTCTTGTAACTTCCAGTTCCAAATAAATTCAATAACCACCGGATCGGTGTGGCGTTTTGCGGTGATAAGTCTTATTCCACAGTTTAGTTGTCGGTGAAAATAATGTTATAAATTATAGAAAAATCGGAACGAATAGTGGCACGGATGGCCTGTCGACACCGAATTAAACGACAAATAAAAAGAGAAATCTTTTTATCAGTAAGACGAAGCGGTCTGAATAATAAAAATTATAAGAGCGATTTGTTTAGCTAGAAAGATACCAAACAAATAAATCAGTAATAAAAGAAATTTGCTGTCATTTCACAATTAAAACAAAGCTGGGACATTGAAAACGAATCCGGTGTAAAATGATTACAGAGGCGATTCGTTTCTTCAGAAAAATAGCATACCAAAAAAATAATTCACTACTAATGCAAAGTAAATAGTAGGAATAAATCGAAATCGAAATGAATCGACCGAAAAACTGAAAAAATTGCAATTCAAAGAATATTTCCATTGAAAATAAATAATAATCTGCTGTCGGTGTAATGATGGAAAACTAAATAACAAAAATAAATCGTTTAATGAAAAAATCGGTAGATATTGCAATATCTTTTTACAGTTGCGATTTTTGTTGAATTTTGTAGTGGTATGGATACATTGGATAGTGTAATAAATAGGTGTTAGAAAGCCGTTGAGAAGCTGACAAAACACTCGGGAAAAACAAAGCCCATGGAGGATCTGCTGGAGTGGCTGAACATCGTGAACAATGGCCACTCAGCGCTTTTTCTTAACAACTACCGTTAACACCGCCGCGTCAGCACCGACAGCTGACAATTTAATTTCTCAAGAAAATGGCCAACGAAAAATTCGCTATTAACTGCCGGCAAACGGCCCTCCACATAAATTATGCGCAATCGGTGTCCGTGTTGGCCCAACCGATTTTCAAACTGATCATCCATTAACAGTCAATTCACTGTGATTTGCATTCGTCACTCCGGCTGCCAAGTGGCCGCATGTTAATTGTTGCAACTTGCACACACGGTGACACAATCGCCGCATTTTCTCGCCACTGATTCCACTTCCGGCGGCGCCGTGCCAGCCCGGACTATACAAGCCGCATCGGCACTGACCAGTGCAAAACACCATTCATTTTTCAGTGTAAATTACCGGCACTCACATTTTTGTTTGTCGTGTTTGATTTTTATTCGGTAAAAAAATGTTGGATTTATTTTTCTGGTGTGTATCGGTGATGCCGGTCGTGTGGGGCTACGGCGCCCTGCAGGGGAGCTACGCGCGCGCCAATAACGCTTTATCGCAGGTAGGGGTGACCTTCAGACAGGTTTGCACCGGTTTAAAGCCAACTTGATTTTCTTAGGCAATTTTAAATGGAATAAAAATTTTTTAAAATTTAGTTTCGATTATTTTAATTGGTATTTTATTAAACCGGCATTTTAATGTAATTTGACCCATTTCTCCACTTAAAGTTTTTTAAATAACAATATAGCAATATTTTATTTTATAACAATATGTTACTTTAATATGTTAAAAGCTGCAAATTATTTCTTTCCGAAATTTTTTAAAATTCTCCAAGCCGGATTTTATTTCGAAATGATAGGGAATAATAGTTTTGAATTTACTCGAAAAACTGAATCACGAAATTTCTTTTTCGATTATTTTTTGTTAAAAATTGTGAAGAAAGAAGTTAAATGATATATTACTTGCTACTCAACTGGTATATTAATATATTATACTAGTTTACACTATACTTGCGTTCAGCAGGCAACTGCTAACGAAGATGGAATTCTGCAGTGTTTTGTAGTGTAGTGACACTTGTGGCTCGGGTGCTGTGATAAACGTGGTTAAACAGTGACTTCTAATACAATTTCGATTAATTAAGTTGTTTACAATATACCAAATTTACAATATCTGAATTTAGTACTTTTTTAAAATTAATAATGTTTCGGTTGGTATCGGTATTTTCATTTTAAATCAGCAAGTACAGAAAGGTATTTAATCGGTTTCTTTAACAGAAATTATATGCAATAATTATATCATCATTTTCCAAAAAGTTTCGTTGTAAACCGTTTCAAATGGAAGTTCAGTTTGACTGTGAAATAAGTTAACCTGTCACGTTTAAAATTGTGTTTTCAAATGTAATCCCAGGGGAACAACCCGGGCAACTATCAGTTCCTGTCGCTGAGCGCCGCCGGCAACCGGCAGTACAACAACAACCCCAACGCCTTCGTCCCGAGCGGTCAGCCGCCCATCCGCAACGGCAACTTCAACGCCATCCTCAACAACCTCAAACCCAACCAGCCCAACAACAACCAGCCGGGACGCCCGGTCTTCCCGCCGCCCCTGGCGGGCGGCCAGCCCGGCGCCCCGCCCTCCCAACCGGCGGCCCTCACTGGCTTCGGCCAACCGACGCCCGACAACACCGGCAGTAAGGGACTGCAGCAGCCGCAGTCGGGCATCGTCCCGCCCAAGGCCATGTAAGCCGTGACCTTTATATATATATCTTATCATATCTTATCGCAAATAGTATTTTTGTTATACACTGTTATACATGCCTGCATATATTGGGGTATATTTTAGTTTCGCTATCAATTTCTACCTTGCTTGGCTGGCAGTGCGACCTTTATATACGTGTATAATTTTTATACACGTACTTATGAAAACAGTTTTTTCGTTATTTGTTTTTGTTTATACTGGAAAATATTTTCAATATTATTATCCGTTCAAGTTTTACTTTACAGTGACCTGTATATATAGTTTCTGTTGTTGTACAAGAATATTTTAGAATATAGAGAATATTTTCTTGTTGCTTCTATATATATTATATATATATATATATATATATATATATGTATATATATATATATATATATATATATATATATATATATATATATATATATATATATATATATATATATATATATATATATATATATATATATATATATATATTGGGAAATATTTTTGTTATTAGTTATTCCTGTTCCACCATTTTATGACCTTTATGTAAACTTTTATATATATGTACGTAGAATTTAAAAGTTTTTATTAGTTGTTTTTATATGTACTAGGAAATATGTTTAATTTATTGTCAGTTCGCGTTCCACTATTTGGTGACCTTTATATATACTTTTGTAAGTAAATGGATTTTTTTATTGTTATTGTTTATTTTTGCATGGACTGGAAAATCTTTTTATTATGTTTTTATTTTTCTTCGTGGTTAGTTGTGAGTGTTATATCGGGACGTTGGTGGGTAACGCCAGCCGCGATCTAATGGACCTCGTGCTGCCGTTCGGGACGTCGCGCACCCTGACAACGCCGCGGACGGACACCACCTGCCGCGAGCTGGAGAGCCAGTGTGTGCAGCACTGCCGCATCCAGCAGGAATCGTGTTTGCCGCAGGGACTGCGCACCGTCGTCCCGGGACAGTCGCCCAATATCTCCTACGGCAGCTACGCGTGCAAAACCGTGTAAGTGCACACATTTCGTCATAACCGCAATTTATCCGCACGGTCTTTGAGGATGCCGATACTATGGCGTGTCTTCCGCTTTTAATCTTTTTTTTATATTTAATTTTTTTTGTTTTTTTAAAAACTTTCCCCTATTCGCTTTTACCTACAACAATTTACAGTAATAATGTATATTAATAATATTTATATCGGTTATACCGATGTGCAAATAAGTAGATATTCAGGGAAATGCTATGGTTGTGTGCGCTGTTCAGCGGGAAGCTGCTGAAAACGATGGAGTTTTGTAGGGCGTTGTAGTGTAATGGCTCTTGCTACCAGCCGCAGGTACAGCCGCTACGTGGTCAAATAGTGAATTTTGTGAGTTCTCGTACATTCTGATTACATAAATTTTTTAAGTTCCTAAATTCAGTAATTTTTTACTTAATATTTTTTTGTGAGTTCTAATACAGTTCTGATTATATAAATTTTTTCAATATCTACATTCAGTAAATCAACAGTATAAATTCTATTTTTATTTTGCTTTATTTATATCACTTTTTTGTTTTTATTTTCGCTTTTCAACTGTTTTTCGCTTTTATTGCTTGATTCATGTTTAATTCTTCAGTTGGTTCTATTTTTCCCTTTCTTTTTCGTCCTGCTTTCATTTTTTTTGAAATTTTTTTATGCGCGAAATGTAATTTTTTATGCGTAAAAGGTATAATTATGTAAAGGTTAAGTTATAACAAATTACACGGTAATCGTTAGTTGATACCTATAAAGGTCATGCTCAATGCAGGACGAAGGAGGACGTCCGGCGTCCGGCCGGCATCTTCTACTCGATGGAGGCGCTCTTCTGCAAGGACGAGGGCTTCATTAGCAGCCTGAGCGACATGTACTGCTGCATGGAGTAAGTACCGGCTCTCCCCCGACACCTTCCCGTAAAGGTCACGGTCTTATTCCTTTTAGCGTCGACCACCCCTTCCTGGAAGGCGAGAAGCTGCGCCTCTTCAGTCCCAACTGCACCGCCACCTTCAACACCTCCGCCACCGCGCCGACCGCCCCCGGAGGCGGGTCCACCTTCAGCACGAAGGCTCTGACCACCAGCAACGTCACCACCGAGGCGCCCATGGTCATCGGCACCATGAATGCCTCGGCGGTGAATCAATCCACCACCGCCTTCGTCTTCACCCTCCCGAGCACCCCGGCCTTCGGAAACGAGACCGGGACGTGGACCACCACCTCCGGGGTTCCTGGAACAGTGTCCGGAAGTGGAGCACCGACCTGGGCGGCGGACACCACCACCTGGTCGCAGTTTTCCACCTCCGGGCCTAATTTTTCCACTTCCGGTTGGGAAACCACCACCGGGCCACAGTTGTCGACCTCCGGGAATAATTTTCCCACTTCCGGTTGGGAGACGACTACCTGGTCACAATTTCCGACTTCCGGATCGAATTTTGCGACTTCCGGGTCCGGGATCTCCACCTGGCCGCCGTTCCCCAGCTCCGCGGGCATTCTAACCACTTCCGGTTGGGAGACGACCACCTGGGCGTCCAACAACGCCACTTCCGGCGCCCCGCTAGCCCCCGGGTCGGATACTTTCGTCACCACCCCGCTTTCGACCCCGGCGGCCATGTTTTCGGACGCCGGGAGCTCCGGCCCGGTCCTGACGTGGACCTCCGACGGCGCGTCCAGTTCCGGGTTCGACGAGACCACCACGTTTGCCTCCCCGACGGCCAACGTCCAGCTGTCCCTCACCAACGGGCCCATCTCCATGAACATCAACATCTCCGCGCCGCTGAATACCACCGACGCCTGGACCACCGGAAGTCCCGCCTGGACCACCGGAAACCCGGGGTTCTCGAACTGGGAGACCACCACGAGCTTCCCCAACGCCGGATTCCAGACTTCCGGGAACGCTGGCTTCCAGCCCGACACCACCACCGCCTTCCCATTGTGGACCTCCGCGGCGCCTTGGACGTCGACCAGCGGATCTTGGGGGGACACCACGACCTTCGGGAACTTCCAAAATAACTGGGGGACGTCCGCGTTCCCTGTAAACAGCGACTGGACCACCGCCACGGGCGGTGTTGCTTTCAACCCGGAAACCACGACCTTTCCCAGTAACACCGGAAGCGGAAGTGGGAACTTCGAAACCACGACAACGGGAAATTGGGGAGTGGCGACCGGAAGTGGTAATAACTGGGAAACCACAACGTGGGCGACGGTAGCCAGTAACCAGGGCTCCGGAAACGGGAACTGGGAGACGACGACGTGGCCAACCGGAACCGGAAGTGGCGGTTTTAACGCGGAAACGACCACGTGGACGACTTCCGGGGGCGGTTGGACCAACGCCAATCAGGACCTCTCGGGCAGCATGTCCGGCGGGTTCAACCAAAACTCGGGCGGGGGCACTTTCGACACGACCACCTCCAGTTTTATTGCGCCACAGTCTTTTAATTGAACACCTGTCTTTTCAGTGGTTTTGTGATGTAGTTGGGTTTTTGTGTGTCATAATTAGAAAAAAATCAAAACAATACGAAAACGCGAAAAAATATAATAAATCGAATTTTATTGGCACTTCCGGTCGCACTTACATCGAGCTCACGCGGTTAACCCTCCAGCGGGCGGTACCCGACGGAGTGCGGGTTTCCTTTTGAAAATCGGGATTTCCCGATGAAAAAAATCAATTAAGAAAGGGAATTTTTTGTAAGCTTGTGCTGACCATAGGTCAGCCGTGGTGACTAGGGTGTTTGCCAACGCCAATGCCCACGGACAGTCTACAGCATAAAAACGTTTAATTTTGTAATACTTAGACGAACGGAAATTACCTAAAAGCAATAACTGTACCAAATAGAACAAAAAAAGCACTTTAAAACAAGAGTATAGTAGTGGTCAACAAGGTGACCACTGGTCAGCAAAAAATTAAAAACTTCCAGATTCCGTTACCATGTATTTTGACCACTATTACAGATAGAATATAGGAAATAAAAATGCTAACAATTTTTCTCTCCCAAAACTTTCATTATACTCTCATAATTATGAGACTGCACGAAGCATTATTCTGCATTTCTGGCACGCATAGCCGCCTTTATACTGCCGCGCTTGCATTTTTCTTGGTGTGGCCGCAAGTGCCAGTGTCTAAAATGCGGCGCGGATAGTCCAGCTGCAGTGGTCATTGGCGTAAACTGAGAGTTAGTGGTCACTAGCACTTTTTCGAACGCATTAGCGACCGGAAGAAACTAGTTAGGCTGCCGCAAAGGTCAAAATCACCAACGTCACGTGCACGTACAGTGTACAGTTACTGTAGTTTTCAACCGCCCGAGACAGATCAAAACTCATCTTTTCTGCAAAGCTGCGCGCTCTCGCATGTCCAAACGATCCATCAATATGTAGAAACGCGGTAAAGCGCACGGTGTTGTACCGCCATTTTACAACTATTGTTATTGCAGTGACGGTAGATTTACAATCAGGACTACCGTGTTCGGTTTCCCTAAGCGTTCTGTTTTCCTGAAGCAGCCAAATTTAGAGGCGATTTTGGTATTCGCCGACCGCCCGTGGTGTTGATACGCGAAAGCGTTTTTCACAAGCTTCCGATCAACAGAATCGCGTGACGCATGTTTTGCGTACGAACCGACAGTACTTAACTTGATCTGCCTACGTGATATAGAGAAGCAGTCGAAATTGCACCCGCCCGTGTATCTGAGACACTTCATGGGCAATGGTGTTGGCACGCAACACAAGTTTTTGACGGACTGTGGTCTTCCACTGTTCAACTAACAGAACCCGTGTTAGTCAATTTTCGATAGAACGTTGTTAATTGTACCTTGTTGATTTATCTGCGGTTTAATTATTCATCCACTAATTAGTTAATTAGCAAGACGTACGAGAGCTTGGAAAGTCCGAAATTAGCCATTTTCGGGCAACGGTCATTTGTGATTGGCTTGAGATGCAAGTTTGAATTATGTTTTTACTGCTACTTTAAGGTCTCTAATTGCTAATTATGCTAATTAATATTCATTAACTGTTCGCAATCACTGGGGAAAAAATTCAGAAAACCATGTTGCGCCCTGACGCCAATGCCCGTCAACGGGTTAATACTCAAACACAAATATACACTGAAAAAGGTCACGGAGACCCTCGGACATCGAAATCTCGGCTTCGGAGGTGGCTTTGAATACTTCCAGAGGCACAGACCCTCCGTAATAGACTTCCGGGGGCGGAGGCCCTCCGTAATGACCTCCGGGCTCAGCACTTGCAATTGCAGGTCCCGGAGGGTGCGGCGACCGAGCTGGCGTTGACGGCGGGGTTCTCGGCGCGAGGTTCCGCTGCCTGGTTAGACGCGGAGGCCGCCGCCGAGCTCCCGAGGCTCCGGCGTCGGCGACCGCTGGACTGGACGCGGAGGCGGCCGCCGGTTGGCTGGACGCCGCTCCCGCTGCGCTGGTAGCGTTCCCGGAGGCTCCGGCCTCCGCAGCCGGTGGGCTGGACGCCGAGGCGTTGGAGGCTCCACCTCCGAGGTTCTCCGGGATGGGGGCGCCGGCGACGGAGGCGTTCTTGGTGATGGGCGAGATTAGGGTGTTGTTGGAAAGGTCATGGGCTAGGGAGGGCTCCACGGGCGAGTGCTGGCTGCGGACGGTGAGGACGACGCAGCCGGCGAGGAAAATCAAGGACCAGTGCATTTTGTAGCGGATTTATATATACGCGAAAATATATATACGGGAAAATTTATATAAGGCGGATTTAAGTTGTTGTAGTGTAGAGAATGCCGGTAGTTTTATATATAAGAGTTTGCCGCGGAAATGCCGGCGGCCGGTCGCATTATCCGGGGTTCCTTATTGTCCGCCCCGGTGTTCTTGGCAATGCGGTGTTGTCGTTTCACATCAGGGTGTTGGCGGGCCGAAACACGCCGTACAAATGCCAGTGGTAATTTTTAAATCAACATTTAATAAATCTACTTGCATAATTCGTCGTTGACACGCCGCTGCATCGCTGCAACGGTGAAAATGCGCCCGCCGGCTGTTGTTTCTAGGCCGGCAAATTTATTTCGGACGACATTATGCCGGCTTCGATTCAACATTATGAGCCAATAAAATCAACAGCGCGTTGTTAATTAAATGGCCGGCATTACTAGGTGCGAAACGGCGAATCACAACGGCCAGCGTTACGCAATTTTATTGCAGCAGTTTTATATACAGAGTACAAATGACAAATGGCACACATCGTTTCCGACCCAGGATATTACACATCCCACTGATCACAGTAATCCGCCGCATCATCACAAAGAATCAACGGTAAAAATGTCGAATAATCCGAGAATTTATTACACTTTTGTCGAAGTTAATTTAGCAGAAACGTTTTTTTAAATAGATTCCACTGTGCAGTATTTACTCGTTTGTAGATGTGCAAAGGTCATCCAACACCGGCGCCGGTGGCCGCCCCGAACAGCTCACCTGCAAATGAACGAATTATCATCACAATTCAATGACCTCTTAAAACGCAATAATATGGTCGATGATATTACGTATTATTGTACAATTAATAAAATATTATTATTATAAATAATATCAAAAATATGTGCGTGGCCTCCGCCGTTTATTCCACATACAGGTGTCAGCGGCGGTTGGATCCGGGAGGTCATCATTGCCGGTCAACAAAGGATCAACTGCAAAAAGCGATACATACATACAGTACAAAATGTAATAATAATAATTGTTTAAATGCTTGTTAATTTATTTAGATTTAACTACATTCATGTATTATTAAGTTGATATTGTACTGTTAACAACATACTTATTACATCGTGCGAATTGAATGGGCATTTATTAGTATTATTAATAGCATCATATATATGTACTAGATTTTTTATATACGAGTATATACAAGTAACATATTTTTATTTTATATAGCGATGTAACGTACTTTTTATTTTTGTTTACTGTATATAAGTCCTTTTTTTCATGTTAATATTTTATTTTATATCGTATTTGTGCAACTATTGTCGTAAACAGCATGTTGTTACTTCCGGCTGATATACAGCTTTGTGGCTATGTCTGACGTACCGCAGGAGACGGTGGTGTTGACCGGCGCAACGGTGGTCGTCCCGCCGCTAACATGCGGCCGCGGCGTACAGCCGTACAGCTCGTTGATGCGCTGAATGTCCAGCTCGCTCAAGGCCAGCGCCGGCGCGATGAGCAGCGTGGTCACATTGACGGTGGTGGCGTTGATGGGCTGCACGATGGTGATGACGGGCAGGGTCAAGTTGAGGGCGAAGGTGGCGCTGCTGTAGTGCATCACCGAGTGCACGTCGTACGGGATGATGCTGACGAACTGCCGCGCGTACTTGCCGAACTGCTCGCGGTCTAAACAGAACAAAATATATCGTATATAAATATTTAATAAAAATAATTATTAAAATTAAAGAATATAATGGATTGATCAATAAATAATACAATTTTGTCAACGTACACAGTGGCTCGACGTTGTCCAGGTCGATTTTGATGTAGGTGTCGCGGTCGAGGCGAGTGTGCTCGTGTACAAAACCTGGTGCATATATAAATATCTATATATACACTAAAGGTCATGCATGGGATCCGCCTACCTAATGCGTGTAAGAGCTCGTGTTCTGTAAAAAATTAATCAGAGGAACTTAGTGATGAGATGTACGTACTATTAAAGGGAATATGTTTCCGGTTCGCATAAATGCGACCTGATAATTATCAAATTCCTTTACCGACAATAGTCCCGTTGAGGCAGCTCTGGCCGTTTTTATTAAGGATCTGCAGCGACAGGAGCTGCTTGCCGCCTTGGCGTCCCACGAACGACCAACACCTTCATATATCAATGATGCAAAGGTCACTGTTATAAATTCCATCATTGCGTATACACATATACACGTACAGCATAAACACATATCTATACACATAGGTACGTATACGCACATTATATCTTCCATGTATATAGATATACGCATACATACCATATGCACATACACCCATATACTTGCACATATATGCACATATTTACGTATATACACATATATACATACACGCACATATATATGCATTAATATTCGTACATATATATACACACAAACATATATATCGCATAATATATACATATATATACACATATACAGATATATACACATACATAATATAGTATATACATATATGTATACATAATATACACATAAACACACATATTTGCGCATAAATGCAAACATACTGCAGGATCATACACACATACATTTGTATAATTCTAGCATATGTGCAAGGTCGTACATAAATGCAATATAAGTGCCTATATTGTATTGGCTATACATGCCACCATCGTGGCCTTTTTGTTAAAAAGGAGGTAGTTTTTGCGTACCCGGTGTGGCTAACAATGGCCAGGTAGTCGCGCTCGTTGGTGCGCGGGAAGAAGCGCACGCAGGTGCGCGCCGTAATGTTACACATACGCGCGGTTATGTAGTCCATCTGCTCTTGCGCTACAACGCCGAAGCCAATACAATTTAACCACACCGGCCCTTGAGCGGACGCGCCTACTGAACAACTGCACCGGAAATGCGCGTTTTACAGTGCTACCACCTACAGAAGGTCTTGTTGTCGATGGTGTAAGGGACGCCACCCGCCCACAATCCTTTATTCCCGCAAATCTACAGGTGGCAAGACGAAAGGTCACGGCCAGTTAATGTCATTGAACTTGGATATAAATACCTTTATTTACATCTGATATTGATATGATTTAATTTAATATTTTAATTTAATTGCATTTACTGACGTGGCGTATCCCGAGGAGATCCTTGGTGGAGGGCGTGCGCATGTCGCCCTCCACCAGCTGGCCCGATTGCTGTAAATCCGCGTTGACGAAGACGTCCTTAATGGGCGCGTATCCGATCACTGCATGTACCAATTTATTTTACACCGCAGCACAACGTTGTGATGCATTATAAATAAACGTTATCCCATACTGGATGACGCTTACCGCGGTTAAAAGAGAGATCGAAGGGCAGTTCCAGTGGACAGCCGACATAATCGCGCAGACCTTCCGGCAGCTGCGCACAGGAAACTATATATATACAACCCAAAGGTCATCCTGTTTATATATTTTTGTTCAATTTTGCTACTGTATATATTTTTTTATTTTTGTTCAAGGCGCGTACAAAGAATAATTAATTTTTAATCAAGTATTTGATAATTTGGTGGATCTGTACTACAAATAATAATTACTTAAACGTCATAAAAGAAATAAAATAATTTTAATTAACTGTATATTTGAGAAAGTTTAATTGAAAATTAAAATAAAATATAACAATAAATTTCCCTTTTTAGGTACGTTGATTGTATTCGTACACATGTAGATCTGGCGTTCCTTCTCGGTGCGGGCGGACCGGCTGCCACTGCAGGCGCCAGGTACGGAGGCGGCACTGGACGAGCTCTGGAAGTTCTCGTTGACCGCCGTCAGCTGCGTATCGCTACTGCTAACGCTGGCCGTACTTTTCGCCGTAATATCGTTGATTTTCCTATACAAAAAAATAAAATTAATGAAGTTGAAATTAAAAAACTTAAACTAATAATCTAGAGTATAGACGCAATGTAGCTGCATTGTGTAGTAAATCACGTACGTGAATGCAGCAGATTGTGTGACGGATTGGAGGTTATTCGCAGGGGGCGGGGCGCCGCTCAAAGCGCGTCCCTGATTGGCGGCCGCCGCGGTGGCGGACAGCGTGGAGATCGGCGGGACGTTGAGATCATCGTAATAAGCACCTGCGATGCCCTGGCCGGCGCCGGCGCCCCAGCCCAGCGCCGAACCCGCCGGCAGCCAGGCCGAGTAGTTCGGCGGGTAATAGGCGAACCAGGGAGGATACAGCTGGCCGCGGCATACACCGTTCCAGGGAACAGCAATGCCTACAAGTTAGATAAACCGTCTTTCTAAGCTGTGGATTATACGAGTACATGGTATTGTACATACGACTGACATTTCCTCACATTCTGTAGCTAAATGATTTGTATACATGGGCGTGAAAACCGTTTGTGCGCGCAACTTCCGGTTGGGTGAAAATTACACTCCAAAAGTCAGGTGCATCAACAGTCTTATTGCGGGCTAACTCCTTCAAATCATGCACGGAAATACGTTTAAGTAAGAAGATCGCTTTCACCCCGAACCGAGATTCCAGTATTTGGTTTTATTGTAACATAAATATTATTGAAACATTTAAGCTGTATTCTCCTTTAGTTTTAAAATGCGCTTTAAATTTAATCAAATTAAACGTATTTTAAAATTTAAAAAAAACCGGTAGAATTCGAATTCGGATGTGATGGTTTGAATGGTTTCACGCCAGGTTATACAAATTATCTCGCTTATACAGTATTTCCCCGCGAAAGCGAAACTTCCCATGCACACTTCATTATGCACAAATCTGGTACCATGTACGTATACTTTATTTCCGGTTACACAGTCGGTACACGTCGTGCATAAACTTACCGAGGAACAGCGATAAAAAGCGGAATAAAAAGCCGGTTACACCCATATTCGATGCGGTGTACATGACATATATGCAGAGTACAACGGTTGTCGTACGGGCTCACTTCCGCCGGATGCACGCAGGCATTTCGCAGCGTTATCACATTCCAGTCAGGGAGAAGCTCGGCGCATTCATTACGGATAACGTATCCAGCCAATTATAGCAATTTACGCGTAATTAAAAATTAATAATAAAATTAAAGTACGTAATGAAAATACACATATCGCTGTTGTAATACAGTAGTATCGGTATATTCCCCAAATTTTCGAAATAACCGGCAGTTTAAATTTATTAGGATAATTTTGTTGTTGCGCAGATCGGGTGCAGCGATTAGAAACCTAAACGCTCACGTTCTTCTGCATCACGAATAAGTGCATTTTGGCCGCCGGCTGGTTTCCGTATACAATATTATATACTGTACATATATATAAAAGTGTCATATATGCGAAAAGTGTAACACTGGTCAAGAAGGTGCAATCAAATCGCAATTGTCATTTATTTACAAGCAGCATCTTTCGCTTCCTCGAATGTATGAAATAGTCACGGAGAAAGTGAAGATGGTCAGCAGCATCGTGGCTGATTATAAAAGCAGCGAGCAGCCACTTATTGCCTTCGTTGGCCTCGTTGCGCCGCGACAATTGCTCCTCGAACTCTGTTACTCCACTCAGTCCACTGTATATTACACAGCGCAGACCTTCCACGTACAACCGTAAACAACCACAGCATTACTTTTACCGTTAAATTTTCTTATTGGCAATTGGCATTTTTTGTTGCTTACGCTTTCCTAGGTTTTTATTGCGCACCGAATATCCTCGAGTAATTAAAAGCAAAATTCGGTACCGCAGTCAAAAATATAAGCAGTCATTTACAAATATTGTGTCTGACAGTTTCTTATGTACTCTTATGTTTTCTTAGGTTTTCTTACGTTCTAGTCTTACGTTTTTTATTGCACACCGAATGTCTTCGTCTAATTAAAATGGCCCGGTACATAGCGTCAAAAATGGGATACATACACTAAAACTTTCGCTTTCGCGCACTCCGAATCGGATTTTTGCAATACTTCTTGTCATTCTAGACTGAATGATTTGTGTATACATTGTTCTGAGAAACGTTTTCGCGCGCAACATCCGGTTGCCGAGATATGGGCGAAAAGTTTAAATGCATTGATGTGTACCAAAAGTTTGGTTATTATCCAATCTTATGGAAACTTTGCTGTAAAAGACACATGCCCATGAAGTCGAAAGTGAACCAACTTCAGATTCAAAGCATATTTTTCGATTTTTGAATTTCAAAAATCTTAATATTAATTTTAAAATTAAGTTCCGATAGATTTTCAAAACAGAGCCAGAATAAATTATTTATACGCATCACAGAAATATTTCGCAGGCAGCAGGACTTTAATTTTCTCAACCACAGGCATCCAATAATATTGTGAAAACATTGACTATGCAGTAACATAAACCATTCGATACTGTCAGCGCAAAGTTGCCGGCCGGAAATGAGGATTAAATACAGTTATTAACTGCGATTAATTGCAGTACGTACTTCCTGATACACTTCGTACATATACAAGTATCGTACTAAAAATTGAAAAAAAACAAGCACTAGACATTTCTCGTACCGAACAGGAACGAACTAGCATCCGACAATAAAAAAATTAGCGAATAATAAAAAAAAATAACTGCGACTGGCTGAAAATTCCAAACCAGTTAACAGTTATTAACCGTAATAATTAAGTATTGTTATGCTGCTGTACATGCTTCCACTGAACCGCTTTCGTGGCCGGCGCAGAACACATTCACTGGCGTCCAACGAATTACAAGGAATAATTAAATACGCTTTTATACGCTTTAAACGCTTTATACGCTATATAAATGGGCGTATAATTATAATATTTTATACAGAAATTCTTTGACGCTCGCGAGTTGTGAAACATTACCGTCTCCGTGTTCTGGATTATAAAATTTTCATATATTATAATTATCATATTACAATTATAATCACAAATTGGAGGAAATTAAATCAGCAGCTGATATATATGTCAGTGCCGGTATAAATATCCAACAACGCTGAAGCGAGAAGCAGTTTCCGTTGGCGTACTCTGTATATATTCGATGCGTTATTTGGTAGATGCAGCGCGGATACGGTCAGCACAGACCTGTTCCCACAAGGCGTGTAACTGCGCCACTACGACATCTTTCTTCGGCTGCAAATTAAAAAGGCAACAATAAAACATTTATATCACAACTGATTAAGTCACCGTATTCAATTTTACAAACCACATTTAAGCGAGATAATTTGCAGATTATACGTACAACGCAGCCATAATTATATATGAAAGGTCACCTTTCAGTATATATGTGTATTAATATGCTGGATTCAAAAATGATTATTTTCTGAATTTCCTAATGAAAAATTGACGAGTAAAGTACAGTATTATAATTATTGGCATTTTATTACGTACAAAAACTTAACTTATAATATAACTTATTACGTACAACACTCTGTAGGTTAACTTACAAATAAATCATTCGCAAAATAAAATATTCGTTAACCGGCACCATCATTAAATTTATTAGAAGCAAAATTTGAAAAGAAGAAATAAAGTAATACAGTTTCAAAGTAAAAAAATGGAAATAAAAATAAATACACGTATAAAAGCAACAATTACGTACCGGTAAAAGCAGCATCCGGGTGAGGTGATCGCGCAGCAGCGCACACGCCCGGGCCAGCTCGTTCTCCCCGTTATCCCAGGCGTCGGCCGCGCGGTCCGGTACGTGCATCGTCCCGGAATGGGTCATCCAGGGATCGTGCTCGGCAGCGGACAGGATGTGACCGCTCAGCACCATCTCGTCGTTCAACTTCGACCCGAAACCCTCCCCGTTCTGCCGTTTACTCATCGGACTCAATGCCAGCCCCCCGGAGCGGGCGCTGCGCTCCTTCACCAAGATACGCGTACGCCAGCCCGGCGTAAAGGTCAACTGCGAACGACTGCACTCCGTTAGGAGCAGGAGACACACGACGACACTAGCCGCCAGCGCTTTTATCAAAAACTCCGCGGTGGTCATTGTAATTATGGGAAAAGGTCACCGGAAGTTCGGGTCTTATAAAAAGGAAGAGCGAAAAGATGGAATATGGAAACGCTCTTCTGTTTGAAAATCTCGATGATTTTTATCTGCAGAGTGCTCGCTTTTTATATAAGCGAGGAATGTTCAACGCACGAACAGCGGGACGGGAGATTGGCCTGGAATAAAAATAGCCACGGCTGTAATTTAACGCGAAACATGCGCAACTGGCAGCTTAATATTAATGCGGACAATTAAGGCAAACGGTGGATTGATCCCGTTGTGTCGTTTGCCTAATGTGTTGGGGCGCGCGTTGTCGTCGTTTGATTAGTGGTATGACGAGCCGTTGGTCTGGATATGACGCGGCTGCTCTCTGGGCGCTGTTCGTCATTGGTCGGCCATTTTGAAAGTGACGTGCATGCCACTGAATGGGCATTGGGCAGCGTGGACAAAGAGCGATACGGGTGTACAGAGCGACCGCCCATGTGCGACAGATACTTGATTAACCTAACAAACGGACGACGGTCATGCGACGGCGGTAGGACCAGCGACGCATACCAGTTGCAGTTTTCCAAAATGCTTCTGAACATGAAAAAACATGTTTTTGGTTTCTTGAAAGTTTGAAACGTTTCAGTTTCTAAACTTTTTCATCAGTTTTATTTTGTCTTTTCTATAACATTTTTTATGCTTTGAATAAATTGGGTTTCGGATTTTGCGGAATTGAGGTAGCGAGAGGAGAGCTGGAATGAACGTTGTGGCTGATTACGTTGTTGAACGTCGCATCTTCGCGTTGGACGTTGCGAATGTTTCTCGTTGGTTCGCTGTTTTTTTGTGGACGATATAGATTTGTGCATGCGTGGCTATCTGGGATAATGTGCTAGGAATCTTTCTGGATTGATCTGAGTAAACGGCACCGCAGGTGGGTGATGAGGAAGTCCGTTAGCGCGGAGACTTAGCAGTCTTAGCTGGTTCTTGAAACATGCTTAAACATGTTTTGACTCTGCTTGTTAAAGCAGTTTGCAGGGTACCCAGTTCAGGAGTTTGCAGTTTTTTACCTTTTCGCACGCGAGTTTCTTGTTGGGTTCATGGTTTTAAGATGAGCCAGGAAGATGGTAGTCATTTTTGTCAGTCAGTCTATTTTTGCATAACATACTCGTTTTTTGAAATCATTCTTTACAGTATGTATACGAGTACAGATACTACGTTGACACGTTGTATTCATCAGCGTGTTTGATTTGAGGAAGTTATGGTTCCTTCAGTTTTCTGTTAATTTATTTCTAAATTTTTTAAATGAAGTAGTGTAGAGAGAGACGCAGAAAAAATTTTTTGTGTGGCGAAAAACGGAAGAGAGGCATTTTGTGAAGCTTGCCAAATAAAACGGGCATTACGCTGCCGCATCGGGCGGTGGCAACTGCGTCAAGCGCCGGAAGTCCTCACATTCCCCTCATTTGACATGCTCAGCTGCGAGGTTGTCGTGCGACACGAATGGTGTAAGGGAGGAAAGTGATTTCCGCAGGAATTCATTCTGCATTGAAGGAAATCGCGTTTGTGCGTGAGGAACTGTGCGTCTTGGCAGTCAAAATATTTCGAGTCCAGGCGCATATACTGGTCGGGAAACATTTTTCACAACCATTCTGAGAACGAGCTGGTTTTTTTTTGGTTTTTAAACACGTTTTATTAATTTATTACTACTGGGCTGTTTTCCTTTCGGGAGTAATTAAACTGTGAATTTACTGCGAAATATATGTGAGTTTTTTAAATAATTATAAGGAAGTGAAAAAGCTCCTCAGTTAAGTTTGCTGTTATAAGAATTGCAAAATTATTACTGTACCTTTGAGAAATAAAAGCAAACAAACAAACTTTGAATAAACAGCGAACAGAACAGCTGGAAGCCGTATTAGTGCTGCTAGTAATAAAATAATTATATTAATATTATAAGAACCGTTTCGAATTTTTGAAATTTCAGTAGGAGTCGACGAGAAATGTCAATCAGTCCCTTCCTTACTGACGTTAATGTTGTTTTGGTAATTTAAAATAAATATTAAACTAATAAACTGAGAAGTACATAGTTTTTCCGCTTAATGACAATTTTTGTGGAATTAATCGCAGCGTTTTGATTGTTAGTTGGTAACTTGATGGATAAAAATATTTATTAAGATCGTCGAGGTAAAAATTGAGTACCTGCGTGATTTGTTGAATTTCTCGATAAAGCGGCGTTGAGCGCGTGGCCATGGCGGAAGTTCACGCGCCAGCGTAATTGTCCACATACTGCGCGTGCGCCGTGAAAAAGACAGAAAAGTGAAGAGTTACGAAAACACGACAGTTTTATTGGCCTGACATAGGAAAAACCGGCCGAACCGTGCCACTACGAAACACCCTCGGGCCTTTTTCTGTCCATCAGCGCGCACAATTGACCAGCACAGCGCTGTTTTGTTAGGTGGCGAATACAACTGAACAATCCGTCTAATTAAGAGGAATTCTCTTGCGCAAGGAATGCCGGTTGCCACGTCGCCGCTGGCCGAGAGCTTCCGCTCGGACATCACCTCGCCGGGGACGGGCGGCACGCAGACGCCCAACAGCATGCACTCCGTACACGAGGAGGGGTTCGGGGGACCGCCGGCCCCGCGCCGGTAAGTGGTTGCGTGATTTGATCGTTGGTGGTGGTTGTGGGGAGGGTGGCGGGCATGAAAGGGCGCTTCGTTAGCCGCCCGCACGGGTGGTCCGCTAATCGCGCCAAATAACGTGTAAACACCGCGTCAAGCGCCGCTTGATTGATGGTAGCCGCGATTTAGTTGGGTTGCGCATTTTATTGGCGATTATTCTGGGAGAAAGGCAAGGTTGAATTTATTCTGGATTTTTTTGTCGGATTGCGCATTTTGTTGGCGATTTTTCTGGGAGAAAGGCACGGTTGAATTTATTCGGGATTTTTTTTGTGGGTGAAGTTAAGGACAAACGCGCCGGTTTGATTTTTTTTCGGGATTTTCTTTCGAGGAATTTTAATGGGATTTTTTTTCCGGGTTATTCGTTTTATTTTGCTGTTTTTTTTCCCCGGTGGATTTTAGCAGTATCGCGTTCTCTGATTTTTCGCTGTTTTGTTTCCGGTGAGATATTAGTATTATTATTTATTCGCGTGTTCTGATGCTGTTTGGTAATTTTTTTGGAGAATTTCGCGCGTTCTGAATTTATTCCGTATTTTTTTTGGAGATTTTGTTCGCTTTGATTTTATTTAGTATTTGTTTTTCGGGTGATATTTCGGGAGAATTCGAGCGTTCTGATTTAATTTAATATTTTTTTCTGAGTGGAATTTTTTTTGGAAGATTCACGCGTTTAACTTTAGTTGTTATTTTATTCCTTGTGAAATTTTGGAAGATTTTGCGCTTTGATTTCTTACCGGTATTTTTATTCCGGGAAATCGAGTGTTTTTAAAAAATTAATTTGCCGGAAAATTCGTTGTATTTTTTTGCATCGCGGGATATCTGTTTTGCGGGTGAATTTCGTTCGGTATCGGTTTGAGTTTCGTTTTATTCGTTAGTATTTTTCCGGTTGAGATTTTCCGAAGAAATCACTCGCCCCGATTTTATCCCGTTTTTTCGGGGAATTCTCGGTTTAAATTTTTCATCGCGGGATTTATTGTCTACAAATTGGCGCTGATTTTCCGGGAGAAAGACAGTGCGTAGGCGCTGCCCACTCCCGTTTTGTTCCGAGCGGAAACCGAGGAAAAGGACTGTGTGACTGTATCGAGAGAGAGTAGCGCCGTCATACATAAACCGACCAATGAGCGCATTCTGCCGCTGTGTTATGCGCATATACAAGCGCGGGGTTCATTGGAAAATGTGGCGTTTGTGTTAGTGTAAAATATCTCTGCGCAGCCTACTTTCCAACCAACATCAAGCTGACGCTGTTGGCCGGTCGTGTGTGTGTTCCCTTTTTCCAGTTTGCGCTGGGATGCAGTTAGAGACGAGAGAGAGTTGAAAGAGAGAACAGAGCGGAGGGCAGCCGAGCGGAACATGATCGTGCGCAAGAGATGCGTCGAATGCAGTAGCATCCAGTTGAGAATTTGCGGGGAGAGACGAGAGAGAGCAGCCAGTATCTTTTATTCTGTCGTCCGGCGCATCGGCTTCATTGACAAGCAGTAGCCGGAGTATCGCTTGTTTATATATACAAATACAGGCGTGTGCGTGTGCCGCTGTTCTACAATTTCTCGCGAAAATTCGCCATTTATTAACGGTATAAATAGCGGTGTGCGTGTGCCACTGTTCTACGGTTTTCTGGTGAATGCGCCGTTTATTTTATATATAAACAGGGCGTCGTGTGCCACTGTTCTACGGTTTATCCGGAAAATTCGCATTTTATTTGGCGCGCGTATTCTACGTATGTGCCACTGTTCTACAGTTTGTCCAGATATTCGCAAATTTTATTTATATAAACAGGGCGTGTGCGTGCCACTGTTCTACGATTTATCTACGAAAATTCGACGTTCATATATACAAACAGGGCGTTCTGTGCCACTGTTCTACACTTTCTTCGGAAAATTCGCGGGTTTTTATAATAAACAAGGCGCGCGTGTGCCACTGTTCTACGAATTTTCGGGAAATTCGCAGTTTATTTGGCATATTCTCCGTGTGTGCCACTGTTCTACGATTTCTACCCGGAAAATTGTCGAATTGATTTTGTTTGGCGCGCGTATATGATAAAACACTGGGTTGGGCGCGTCGTGGCCGGGGGTGACTCGCGATGCGTTTGGAATTGTCGGCACTGCTCGGCCGCTCCTCTATGACTGACGACCACCCGCCGCCCCCGTCGCCCCCCTCCCGCCCCTCACCTCCTCCGCCACCGCCACCACCTCCAAACTGGACGACCTCAACCGCACCTCCGTGGCGCGCGTCCTCTCCGCCACCCTCATGCCCACCGCCCTCGAGCCGGCCCCCTACGAGGAGGGGCCCGGCGAGCCCACCTTCTATAAACCGCCCCCGCCCGACCAGCCGCCACACCCGGGGGTCTATGACCCGGACCTCCTGGGCTTCCCCTACGAGGCCGGCGGCCCGCCGCAGTACCACCACCCCGCCCCCATGATGGGCCCGCCGCCGTCCCCGGGGGGCTCCTTCCCCGGGGGCGGGCAGGGGGGCTTTCATCCCGGGATGGTGCCGGCGCACCATCTCCCGCCCGGTGTTAACCAGACTGCGGTCTTTACTAGGCGTCCCGGACCGCCGCCGCCGCCCGGACACCATGGCGGCCCCTTGCCGCCGCCCGGGATGCCCATGGGACCGCCCTCGAACGGCGGCCCGCCCCTCATGGGGGTCATGGGATTTGGGATGGCGCTGGAGTCCCGCGTGCACCTCCTCAATAAACGCCTGCTACAGAGACCGGAGGTAGGTCGGCACGGAATTTATTTATGGATTAATTTGTATTTTCCAAACGAATTATTTTACCAATTATCAAAACTGTTATTTCGAATTAATTGGTAATTTTGGATTTAATTTCAGGATTAAATTACCGTCACAGAATTTACTCGTTAAATATTGATATTGATTCTTGTAAAGGATTATTTTTTTAATTATTTTGCTGCTTAAACATTTTTATAGTATTTGGTGATTTGAAAAATTGTTATTGGTTTTGTCAAAATTTGCGGATTAATTCGGAATTTAAAAATGCGTATTTTGTTTGTAAATGTGAAAATTTTGGCTTATCCGGCAATTTAAAAATAATCATCGATTTAAAATTATGTTGTTCGTTTCAGTGGGAAAATGGCTAATTAACCGGTAATTTGCAGTTAATTGCGTGTATTAAATTACCGTCTGGCGGCGGCCGTGTAGACATGAATGTTTCGACGGTTATTGATTGCGAAAATGTCCCGATAGGTAGTTGACGATATTGCCAATAATAATTATCGGATTTTCTATTGATTGGCGCAGCGGCGACGAAGCTGAAGTCAAGCTGTCAAAAGCGTTCAGATTTTCTTCTAATCTTCACCAGAAAATCCACCCTATTTTTTAAAAATCGATTTTATATTTTTGAACAGCTTAAAATTTATTTAGCGCTTTTAATTTCGAAAAATCTGAATTAAAAAAATGAGGAATAATCGTAGTGTCATTCCCCCTTTTTTAAAAAATTAATTTTATTATTTTTGAACAGTTGAAAATTTATCTAACGCTTTTAATTTTGAAAAATCTGATTTTTAAAAAAAATTAATTTTATTATAAACTTATTTAGCGCTTGTAATTTCGAAAAATCTGGTTAAAAAAATGATGAATAATCGTCCTGTCAATGGGAATTTGTTTGATTTTTATTACACAGATTAGAGAAAAGCTGAGTGAAGACTATACGTGTTTGTGGATAGTAGGGCAAATTTAACGGATACGAAAATAGCCGGGTGTTTAGTGTGCCAAATGTGCGCGATTGCCGGGCGGTTAAAAATAAACGGCCGCGCTTGGGTTATTTTAGTGTGTTGGCGGGGATGTTTTATTGTTGTTGTGTTGCAGCAACCGGATAATATCTGGTGGGATCAGTTTGCCAGTGAATTCTTCGAGGATGACGCGCGCATGGTCATCCGACTGGAGCCGCCCAGCGAGCAGGATCCCGCCGCGCAGCCCAAACAGTACTGTGAGTGACCGATCAAAAACAATTATTTTTATTGTGGAAAAATTATTTTTAAATTAATTACGGATTTTCTCCTGTAATGAATTTATCGCGTAATTTTTATTAATTTATTTTTGAAGTAATTTATCGTTTTTCGAGAATGCGGTGACGTGACCGCTTATAAAATAGTTTTTGGGAAAATTATTTCTTAATTTATTACGATTTTTCGTGCAAAATTAAGCTGAGTCATTTTTATTAATTTATTTATGAATTAATTTATCGCTTTTCGAAAATACGGCGAAGTGACCGCTTAGAAAATAATTTTAGAAAATAATTTTGAATTAATCACTGATTCTGTGTCGAATAGAATGAAAGATTAGTAATTTTTCTGAAATAATTTAATCTGATACTGTAAAAATGTACTGTAAATGACCTCTGCGAAAATAAATCTGGAAAAGCATTTTTTAAATTATTTGTGCTTTTTAATCGAGAAAAATAAATTTTATTGATTTTCTGGAAATAATTGATCGTTTTTCGAGAATGTATACCTAAATCACTCCGAAAATAAATATGGAAAGTTATTTTCGGATTAATTGCGGGCTTTTTTTATTGAACAGAATACAACCTGATAATTTTCTGAATTAATGTATGGTTTTTTTGGGATAAATTGCGCGGTAGCCGTGGATTTAAGGAAGGCTGATTTCGGTGGAAAATGCCGGCTGGAGGTGTAATGTAATTTGTGCAAGTGAATTGCCAGTGCAGCGGCGGTTTGGCGGGGTGGTCCGGCGTCAGGCGATAATGATGGGTGATGTGTTTGTTTGGCGCGGGCAACGTCGCATCGATCTACAGATTCTAGACGTTATAGATTTTCCTCCACCGCGCTGGCCATTGCGCAGCGCGCCAGCCTCTCACCGCGCTATAAAAACCATCAAAAACGCTGTGATTATTTTTGTTTGGAATTAATTTTCGGCTTTCCATTTTTTTAAAATTATTTTGTAGCTTCGGTTTATTTTTTAATATTTTTTAAAATTATTCTCCTATTTGCTAATGTTTGAGTAATTTTTAAATTATTTTTTAGCCTCGGTTTATTTTTTAATACTTTTTTAAAAATTATTCTCCTATTTGTTAATGTTTGAATATTTTTTAAAATTATTTTTTAGCCTCGGTTTATTTTTTAATATTTTTTAAAATTATATTCTCCTATTTGGTGATGTTTGAGTATTTTTTAAAATTATTTTTGATTACTTATTATAGCTTTAATTTTTTTTGGTTTGGAAGGCTTTGATTTAAATATATGTATTGTTAAAAATTATTTTTTGACTAGGATTATTATTGAATATTTTTTTAAATTATTTATTGACTTCGCTTATGTTGGAATAAATATTTTTTAAAATTATTTGTTGGCTTTGGTATTTTTTGTTTATCTTTTGTTATTTTTGTTTAAATCAGTTTTCGGCTTTGCGGATTTTTAAATATTTTTGCTGGGGAATATTTTGGAATATTTTTTAAATATTTTTCGGCTTTAATAATCTTTTTTCGACACGCATTCATTCTCAAGAATATTGTTTTACCGGTGAGCGGCGCGAATATTCGCAAATTGGGTCAGTTTGTGTGGGACGGGGAGAGCGCGAGGTGCGAGAGGGTTTTTTCTTCACCAAAATTGTACGGGACTGTGTGTTGTGTTGGTTTTGGGTTAACGGGAGAGCGGATCGATACGCGCGCTCGCCGGCCGCATATTCCGCGCGCATGACGCCCCGCTCTGACATTGCCTCGCTCTGCGTGTTGATATTACCCGTTTAGGGCTTTTTTATCGGCTTGTTAACTTTTTCCCCGAATAAACACCCGCGCTACCGCTGACGTCAGGCCCGGTGATACAGAATATGCTTTCCGGTGGCCTTACCTTGGGGAATCGGTGCCGGTTGTGTCGTTTACACCGTAGAATTGCAACGGAAATGCGCCGGTATTCCTGTAATTAATTTAATTGATTTTTTCCACATTTTTCTTGAATTTTTTTTATAATTTTTGTGAGGGCTTTGATTGGGTGAATTGCTAGTGGAAATCAATGTGCGCAGTGCGATCAGTATTTACAGATACCTGTGTTGAAAAGATTTGTAAAATATCAAAAAAATTAAGATAAGCGGCGGATCCGAATAAATACCGATTTAAAAAGAAGGGTTAAATAACTGTAGAAAAATTAGCAGTGTACCTTTGACTTAACGATTAACATTTCATTAAAATAATTTCTCTGTATACCTATAACAGAAAAAATTATTCGGAAAATCCATTTTGGAAATTTATTAGATCATTTCAAAATTACACCGGTTTAAAATAAAATAAAGGTAATTTTTAGAATTATTATATAAATAATTTTATGCGGAAAAATTATCAGAAAAAAATGTCTTTTTAATAAAATTCAGTGGAATAATTTTCAAAATTGGATTTTTCATTTCTGGAATTTTATTTTCATTTCAAATCATCTGAAAAGCAGGCGAAAATTGCTGGCCTATGATGCCGAAAAAAATTTTTGAAAAATACGATATACTTTTGAAAATACTTTTGAAAAAAAATAATTATATATAACCGGAAAAATATTTTGGAAAAAAATTTTCAAAATTTGATTTTTTTAATTCTCAAAATTTCCTTTTAATTTCGTATCTTTTGAAAAACGGAGGAAAATCGTTGGGCGATAAAGCCGGGTGCATAACAAATATCCGCGGCAGCTGGTCATCGCCCGGCTGGCGCTGCTCCCGACCGGAAACGGCGAAAATTCCAGCGCAGTGGGCAGCTGTGTTATGTGACTGTTGACGTGGCCGTCCCGTTGCCTGTCGCCGGCGCCACCTTTGACCCGGGCTGGTCTGCCTATTCCTGCTTAAAGGCCGCTTCCCCGCGCCGGGGAAAACAAGCAGGAATCCGCTGTTTTGCCAAGCCGGTATTGATTCGGCGCGCTGTGTGCTGTGTATATCGGTTTAGCCCGGATCTCCTCGATCGATCGATGCGGGGGATACAGCGCTTTTATTCCCCCATTCCCGATCGATTTGCCGAGTGTTGCGGCCCGGATTACGAAGCCGTTGGCTTTGTTCGTCGTCGTATATTTTTATTTTTGACGACATTGTCCGCGGCGGGCTGCGGTGTGTGCTTGGCTGACGTTGAATTAAAAATACGTAGCGATTTTCCCGTGAAAATTAGTAACGCATTTTTCTGGATTTAATTAACCTCGTTACCTGAAAAATCGGATGAGATTTTTATTCATTTTTCAGTGGTAGTGTCATGGAAAAATTCCTTGGTATTTATTGTTAAATTGCCGGTAAATTGTTTCGCTGTAAAATGGAAGGATTTTGAACATTTTAGGTAGTGTCTAATTCTGCCGGCTGTTGGCAACGCGACGTAATATAAAATAAATTAAAATCGCTGGAGAATAGTACAATAAAGATTATTCAAGTAAATAAAAGGAATAATACGTTTTCTTGTTAGGTTACAAAAAAAATTTATTAAAAATTGAAGATGCAAATGCCTGCGTGAATTTTTGTGTGAATATTTGTAGCGCGGAAATGAGGCTCCCGAAATTGTACAGCTGTTGGTTGTTTTAAAAAGCTTGAAAAACGATTTTCGTCCTGCGATCCATTTATTCGTTCGATTTATTGGCTCTACAGTTGCATATAAATGGTAGTGCTTGTACACATTAAAAATGAGAAAAACACAGAATGTATCCAATCAAAAATCCAGTTTAATTCCTTGTAAAAATTCCCGTGATTTACTTTGACCTTTTTAAGGGATTAGGCCCGTAGATAGCACCAAATTTGTATACATCCACGGCAACTTTCGCTGTCGCGCACTCCCAAACACTTTTTTGCATTGCTTTACGATATTCGATAAAGAACCGTTTATATTTGGAATTCATTTTAAAATTTGAAAAAAATGGTAGAAAGTTGGTTCAGTACCAAAACGCTCTTGATAGTAGTGTGTGTTTTCGTGCAAAATTTGAAGAGTATCGGTTCATAATGAGACTTTTGATACAACCTCCGCGCGTTTAAACTTTCGGAATTATATTTCGCTAATATCTCCCGAACCGGAATAATCGGATGTTGCACGCACAAACGGCTTTTTCGCCTATGTACACGAATGCTTTGGCTACAAAGTACCATAAAGCAATGCAAAAAAGTGTTTAGGAGTGCGCGACAGCGAAAGTCCCCGTGTATGTACCCGAGTTGGGTACTATGTACCGGGCCGAGTCCCTTAATCCCGTATTTGGTAATTTATTAATCACAATTAATTTCGTGATAATTTTAATACGGGAGGAAATGGTGTGGTTGAACCGCCGGCGCGGCGGTAAAAGGGCATTGTTTCGGGAGTGTATTAATTTCATTGAACGGTGCCTGTCGGGTTGCGCGATCCGGTTTCCGGGCCGCGCGCGTCCCGTTTTCCTCCCGTTTTGCCTGCACTACCTCCATTTGGACTCATTTCCCGTTTCCGCCGGCAGCCGGGCCTGACAGGTTACCCTGCTCGCGTTGGATAATTAACACCGGTGTGTGCCGGTACGAGCGAGTGATTGACAGAAACGCCGCCCGTCTACTGTTTCAACGGCGAACGGGGATTAATGGCAACGGGCCAAGTAGAGCAGGGGAGCGCTGCCGGCTGTTGTTGCCAGGGAAGCCGGTGAGAGCGGCCGCTGCGGAATTAGCTTGTTGTTTTGCGCGCAAAAGCCGGATTAGGATCGGCGCGGAATGTGTAGGGCTGCAGGTTGAGAGAGAGACGGGAAGTGAGAGAGAGAGAGAAAAAAGGAGAAACAAATAGCGGAATGCAGCGCCCGGGGGATTACTCCCGTTCCCTTTTAATACGGCCTAGATGCGCGGCCGCGCGGAGATATTATCTCGGGCGCGGTGTATAAATGTTGTTACATTTTTATTTTTTATTCTTTCCATTTGTTACTATTTTTATTTATTTTTTACTGTATTTTTTTAATCATTATTGAGTATTATTATTTTTTATTTATTTTTACTATATTATTTTTTATTTTTATCATTTATTACGATTTTTTATTTATTTATTATTTCAAACGAAAAGAAATTTAGGGATTTCCGGTGCTTGACGCAGGTGCCACCGCCCGGTGCGGCAGCGTAGTGGCAATTTTATTTCGACAATTTACGAAAACTCCCATTCTTTTGCTTTTTTGTTTTCGTCAAAAAAATGAACTCTCTCGACACTTCTTTTACTAAAAAAATAGGACTAGATTATAGGTAAAACTAGAAATAAATTCCGACGCTATTCGAACGGAAAATAGGCCTAATGCCTAAGAAATTTTTGAAATTTTCCTTTCTGTGAAAAACTAACCGGCAAATGCAGTAAAATGTGGAATAATGAAGGATTGTATTGTAGCGATCGGGCGCAGTATCATTCCGCGTTTCTTCCGCACTTTCTTCGACAACGGCGTCGTGGAGCTGCAGTACGAGCTGAAGTTGCCGCGTGAGTCGCAGCTGAGCCCCAACCTGCTGGTGCTGGACTGCGACAACGCCGTGCAGACCACCACGCACGTCAAACCCTCCTTCGGCAAGGTCAGGCCGAAACATTCCCCGAAAAACTGACGTGGCCGGAATTTTTTTATATTTTATCCTGGTTGCAGGTGACGACGGATGGCCGGTTGATCCTGCACATCGTGGTAAGCATCTTTTATTCTATTAATAAAATAACATAAATAAGTACAAGATACGGCAGACAAATTACCGAAAACCCGGCTGAATTAATTAAGTAGATAGACGTTAAATAATTAGATTTTAAAAAAATAAAATAGGTAGATAAATTACCTATTTTATAATTACAAGAAAAAAATTACAAAAAAATTGGCTGAATAAATTTAATAGATAAATAAGCCCCACATCGGGTTAAAATAAAAAGCATTCTACTTTTAATAAATTCCTAAATAAACGAGTTGGGTTGATTAAATTTTAAAAAAAAGTCTAAACAGTCAACAAAATATGTGAGTTTCATTTCGACAACAAGCAGAATAATAAAATACAATAAATAAATTAACAAATCTGGATAAATTAAATGGATGAATCGACGCCGAAATTACACTGAAATAAACCGTGAAAAATAAATTACATAAACAGAGTAATAAATTATTGTTAATTAAATGAACAAAATAGGTGACGTAGCAGGAAAAGTAGAAGAGTCTCATTCCGACAGCATCGCGGTAAGAAAATACGATACATAAATTAACAGAAATTCGGATAAAATAAATAAGTAAAGAAATAAAGCAAATTAATTGGAATACACATGAATGTGCGTAATTTCGTAGGAGGAGACGCTGCGGTTCCGTGCGTGGATCTTCAGTATCCGGGCGCACATGGAGTTGATCCAGCGGCAGGTGCTGCTCATGCAGCTGGAGCAGGCGCACAGCGGCCTGCCGCCCCCCGGCCCGGCCGGCCCCGGCGGCCCCCTGGAGCCCTTCACCAAGAATCTCACGCTCTCCGGCCTCCCCAACGCCATCATCCACTTCCTCAGGGTCAGTATTGCTTTTTTATATTTTTAATTTATTTATTGGAATTTTATCTTCAATTTCAAAATTTTTAATCAATTTCTCAAGCATTTTATACAGTTGTGCTGGGTATTTTGTGAATAATCATATGCAATTTTTATTCGGCGATTTTATTTTAATTTTTCAGGGTCAGTCGCACATCTTTTTAAATTTTTTTAATTTTTTTGCAGTTTTATCTTCAATTTCCAAATTTTTAATCCATTTTTCAGGCATTTTATACAGTTGTGCTGGGTATTTTGGGAATAATCTATGCAGTTTTTTTTTCGGCGATTTTATTTTTATTTACTCAGACTCAGTCGCACATCTTTTTAATTTTATTTAATTTTTTTGCAATTTTATCTTCAATTTCCAAATTTTTAATCCATTTTTCAGGCATTTTATACAGTTGTGCTGGGTATTTTGGGAATAATCATATGCAGTTTTTTTTCGGCGATTTTATTTTTATTTACTCAGACTCAGTCGCACATCTTTTTAATTTTATTTAATTTTTTTGTAATTTTGTCTTCAATTCTCAAATTTTTAATCAATTTTTCAGGCATTTTATACAGTTGTGCTGGGTATTTTGGGAATAATCATATGCAGTTTTTTTTCAGCGATTTTATTTTAATTTCACAGGGTCAGTCGCACATCTTTTGTATTTTTTTCAATTTTTATTTTCGATTTTTAATTTTTTATTTAATGTTTCCAAGCATTTATACAAGGTAGTCTGCAAATAATCACATGCGATTTTTATTTTGGCATAAAACGGTGTCAGTCATCCGCGAGCGATTAAAAATGCTGCTCACCGGCGCCGAAAAATGCCAGCCAGTGTAATGTCGGTGAAAGGGTCGTTAATTCGCTGGCCCGCTGTGAAATGGCGGTTTTATGGTCGGACGATTAAACGCCGGCTTGGCGCGCATATTTGGCAGTAAACGGCGGACAAAACAACGAAATTAACTGGAAATAATACTGCGTACTGATATATCCTTGTTTTCAACAGTTATTTGTAATCTCTTTATATAATTATTTACCATAGTTATTATTTTTTTATAATTATAAAATTTATTTTATATTTTAAATATTCATTTTTTATTTATCTATGATTCGGGCATTTAATTGGGTGATTTTCTCCCCTAAAATTAATTGAACAATAATTTTAAAAAATCCTTTCTTATGTTGAATAATTTTAAAAAAATCTTTTCTTATGTTGAATAATTTTTAAAACTCTTTTCTTATTTTAAATAATTTCTAAAAATCTTTTTTTATTGTGAATAAATACGGTGATTTGTTTGGATAGTTGTGCGAGATCCTGGAGCCGATGCAGGAGGTGATGTCGCGGCACAAGGCCTTCCGCGAGATGCCGCCGGCCGACTGCCTGACGCACCTGCTGTACAGCAAATGGCAGAACGTCACGCAGCCGCAAGGTGAGGGTGGTGGCCCGCGTGACAGCGGTGTGTTTTTTATTTTCATTTTGCGTTTGCGTGCCGTGACCCGTCGTCAATGTGCTCGTGTACAGGCATGCTCAAAAACCATCCCCTGGCCGCCCAGCATGCGCCGGCCTCGCTGCCTGACTCCAGTAAGCCCTTAACAGTTTTTTCCCTATTTTTTATGTATATTCTTAATTTTTTATATTTGTCTTTAATTTTTATATTGACATGTTATGCATATATTTTAATTTTTTAATGTCCTATTGGGTTTATTTTCTGTTTATATACTTACTCATATTTTTATGTATACATTTTTATGTATTCATATATTTTTATGTATATATTTACATTTTTTCCACGTGTGCCTGTATTTTTATTTAAATATTTTCCTAAATTTGCAGTTTTTTTTAATTAAATTTATTCCATATATTTTTTGTATTTATTATTTTGTTCTAATTTTTGTACTAATATTTTTTTTATATATTTTAAATTTTTTATGCAGTTATTGTGTATTGTTTTTTGTATATATTTCTGTACGATGTGGTGACCTTTGAAATGACGCTGGGTTGCTTGGCAGCGGACGGCGCCAAAGCCAGTAATAAGCGGCGGAAACGCAAGACCTCGGCGTCCTCCAGCACCGGAGGCCGCGCCGGCGCCGGCACCCCCCTCAGCGCCCAGAACGGGCCCAGCGCCGCGGCCCCCGCCGCCCCCGGGGTGGTGCCCATGCCGCCCTCCAGCAAGAAGAGCAAGGCGGGACAGGCTGCCGCCGCCGCGGCGGCGGCAGCGGCCGCGGTGGCGCACTGTATGCCCCTCGCGTCGCAGGTCAGTGCAGCACATTAATGCCAGGAATAATTCCGTCAATAATTCGACTGTTCGATGTACAAGTAATTTCAATTATTGCAGAGTTAATTTCAGTAATTCCAGGGCTAATTTCAAAACGTAATTGGCGTTATTAATTCAAATAATTTCCAAAAATTAGAATAATTATTTCGGTAATCGGGAATAATACATTTGCATAATTATGTAATCGGGAATAATACATTTGCATTTTCGGAATAATTATTTTGGTAATCAGGAATAATGCACTTGCATTAGTTAAAATATTCTCAATAATATTACGATAAAAAATAGCAATAACTCCAGTGCAGTGAATAATTATTCAAAATTAGTAATACTAAAATTTTGACAAAATAGTACAAATAATTGTAATAATTAACTACGAGTAGGAAATAATTTTAATAATCTGAAATTTGAAGAATCATCCGAATTGTAAAGAATAATATTGTCAACTTCGGATTAAGTCATTTAAAATAAATTCCGGTAACTAGTACCAAAAAAAATGTTTAGTTAGATTAAGCAGTTATAATTCTGCAGTAATTATGTACTACTAATCTCAGTTAATAGTCATAATAATTCCAGTAATTCCATTTCCGGTAGATTTTATTCCGGTAGATTTTATATTTTTTTTTTTGCGGTTAATCGACGGAAAAATTTAAAATAATTTTTTTAATAACCGTTTTTATTAAGAATAATAATAATGATTATTAATAATTTTTTCCTCGTTAACCGGCGCATTTTTTCCGTCGCAGGACGTGATGATCGTCGGGGAGCCGACACTGATGGGCGGGGATTTCGGGGACGAGGACGAGCGGCTGATCTCGCGTCTAGAGAACAACCAGTACGACCCGGCGCTGGCCGCCCAACTGGGCCCGCCCCCGCCGCCCCTCCCGGGGATCCGGGCGCGCAGCAGCAGCCAGGAGGAAGGGGGCCTGCCGCCCCCCGCGGGGCCGGGGCCCCAACGCACCCCCTCCACCATCCAGCACACCTCCGACGCCGCCCACTTCACGGCGCCGTCGCCGCGCGGCCGCCCGCCCAGCGCGGGGGCGTGGCCGGGAGGGGCGGGGTCAGGGGCCCCGCCCAACCGCCCCAGTTCCACGGCCTCCAGCGGCAACGGCAGCGAGAAGCGCTCGCCCAATCATTAAGCAGCGAATTTATGTTTCGGACGGACGCAGTATTATGTGTGTTGGGATGAAAATTTGAAAATAGGCCGCGTTAATTTTGTATTTTTCTTGGGTTTTATTTTCGGGTCGATTGTCGGTGGCGGTGGTGTTTATTAATGAGGGCAGCGTTGCGCGGATGTGCGCCGAAAAATGGGCGGTTGTAATAATTGTGTACATATTTAATTCTGCTAGACTGGCCAGCCGATATAACAATAAAATTGCAAACAAAATTCAAACAATTTTAAAACAGGAATAGAGCAATATAGAATATTTGTTATTATTCTATTTATAGTGGTAAATAAAAAAATGTACTGATAAAAAATAAATCAATAATAAACAAAAATAATAATAAATGGGCGGTCGTAATAATTGTGTACAATAATGTACATACTGTATCATTATCATATAATTCTGGCAACTGACCAGCAAAATTAATAATGAAACTGCAAACAAAATCCAAAAAAACGGCACGGTAAAGAGAAAGGTTGAAAAAACAGTAAAACATTCGTCATTCTGTCTGTATTACTGAACAGAAACTGACGACAAAAACATTAATTATCAGTATAAGATTGTGCCAATACACATTTGCCAAATAGGAATAGCAATAGAAGTAATTTCTTATACCAGGCCTACGCCCTACAGATTACTAATACAGTAAACCGATTTTCAAGTAATCCAACTACGTGCAGCACGAATAAAATCTGGATGCTGTTCTTGTCCAGACAAAATTAATGTTACTACCGGTAGGTACAACCCGTTGATGTTTTCGCTGTTAGAAGAGACACGATCGAGCGCTCATAACATTTATTAGTTTTTATTTTGCAAATGCAGTTCCCATCAAAATTTCAGTCATGACGTGAGAAACCTTTAATAAGTATCATGTCACCAAGTGCAAACTTAGTACTAGAAAACATTTACAAAAGTAACACCTGCTCTATGCTATCCTGATCGGGGATCGTACCCATTACACAGAATCAATTAGTCAAAGACTAATTTCTCTCCAGAAAACTGAAGGCGCAACACACAAACCATCAGTTGGGAAGCAAAGAACATTTCTATGCAGGTACAGAACATTTCTCTGTACTCGTATTATAACCCGTTAGTAAATTAAAGCCGTTAGCCGTACATTATATCTGTACATGGAATGTTACGATTAATATCTACGAGTATTACTAGTATAAGTACTTATTTATATTATCCTAATTGTAACAGTTGATAAATAATCGATACTGATCATGACAAATCAACGATCTTTCGAGCTAGTGCGTCGCGTAAGTGGACGTTGGAAGTTGGACGTGATGATAAAGCGAGATAAACATTTGCTGCGATTGGAATCAGTCGGCAGGAAACAGCGTCTAGTGTTGAAACCGCAAGTTTCTGTATCGACAACGTTATTTGCGAAGGCCGATTGTTTCACCAGTTGACAGTGCACTGCTGGAATAACCACTTAACAGTAGTGTTTATTGATAGTTTTGTGGTGATCGATCACAAGCTTCTTCGAAGGCATTTAAGCTAATCATCCTTTCTGTGATTATACGATTATTCGCAATGAAAGCCGTCGTGGTGCTGCTACTGGTGAGCTGCATAGGCTGGACGCTCGCCGCTCGTTCGGATGGTAGGTCTTATATAACGAGTCGTAACGACCGTCTTAAGATCAGCGGAAATCAGTAGCTTGGCGCACATCGCGGTAACATGGAAACAAGCGGGCGCGCGCAGAACAGGATAAAGTGGCGAAGTATCGTGACATCACACCAGACTACATGTTCCGTGCAGTTGGCATCGAAACACTCGGACCTTTGGAATCAGACGCCTCTCGCATGGTCGCCGAACTCGGGCAGATGATACGCGGGATACGGGCGATCGCGTATTAGCGACAGCGATTCAGCATCGAAATCCAACGCGCGAATGCAGCGCCAGCATCGGCTAATTTAGATGAAGTGTTCGGTATAATGAGGCCGTCTATTTCTGCTGTCGGCTGAGGCTGTGGAATTCGTACATGTTTTCTATGCTAGAAAAACTGTGACCTTTGTATACCGCCAATTAATAAAAATTGCATCGGTAGGCGTGCCGCGGTGTTATCAGTGCCGGAGCGCCGTGGACCGGGACTGTCCGCCGGACGGCCCGGTGCAGGCCAAATGGGCCCGTGAATGCGATCCAGGTGTGGTGGGATGCACGAAAATCACCGCCGAGAACGGTCAGTACTGAAGACTTGGGCCTTGTCCGGAATTCGCAGCGAATCTCGTTGCGATACAGCAACTCCACCTCGCGAGGTGGCTTCACGCGTACCGTATCTGTAGGCGAGGCCACTGCATACAGCCACCTCGTGCGGTTGAGCAACCATACCAAAGCTAGATTCGCTTCGAATTCGGGACGAGGCCTTGAAGTATTCCGATTCATGTACTTATAATAATTCAGGGTATAGCTTTAATTGGGTTATTCACATTTAATTTAATTTAATTTAATTTAATTTGAGTCAGTGCAGGTAGCCCATATCCGGCTAGGATGACATCTAGCCTGGGATTTTAAACCTGGCTGGCGAGACGCTAATTAGAAAACATCAATGAGTGGGAAACTGACCTGAAGACTCCATACACATACACCAAAACAGCGATACATCATACACCAAAAAGCGATTCATTAAAACAGATTAACAGAATTTAGTTGTGTACAGAGCGGTTCTAAAACAGCTAAGTGTAGGTAAATTAACATAGGTTACAAGCAAAATTACGCAGTTCATCACTTCAACACATAATACACTTCGTCCAGTCTCTTACCGATACAAAACGTTTCGTGAGCACAAGAGCGTTACCTCGCATTAAAGCAACACTGATTCTCTCCTCTCACACACTTTAATATAATTCATAATGAATATAACGCTAGCAGCGGGCAGACTATTAATTTTAGTACTTGTATCTACCATCTGTACGGATCTGTGCAGCTGCATCACAGCTGATTGGCTGGCTTTAAGTATGTACGCGCAGTGCATTGACATTAAATTAATCATTTTAATGTGAATGCACTGCGCGTACTTATTGACCGTATCGGTACCGTGTACGAATACGCGATGGGCCAATCAAATGAGCGTACGTGGTCTGTATTGTACGAAGCAGTGGACGGTATTCTTTATGATAAGTCTGATACGGTGATACCTACAGTAATTCGTATTGCTTTGAATTATCTGAGAAACAAGTCAATTGAATGTTGATTGGATCCGTGTCGGTCTGTTTACAGGCGATGTGGAGCGCGTCTGCGGCAATCCGCAGCATCTGAAGATGCCGGGGACCGCGCGGCGAGCCGGCGTCGGCTTCGTGACCTACTGCACCGGGGCCGAGCTGTGCAACGCTTGACATGCGCCATACGGGGCCGGACCGTGGAAATGGATAACGCTAGCCATGTTCTTTGTCGATTTAATCACCTGATTTTGCGATATAAAGCAACCCACTGAATAAAGCCACAACTAACGGTCATGATTGTGTGGTTCGTGACTCTTTTCGTGACGCTGTGTACTCAACGAGAAGAAGTATATATACCGACAAAAACAACTGCGACTAGCGCGGCAGTTCTCTGACCTTCGGTTTTGCTGTCCGAATTTGCGGGCCGACGTATTGCTGATGAACACACCGTGCTGACCGTCACATTCGTTACCGACCATTTGTTTTTCTTCAGTTTTACTGCTGTCTCACTTCTTGCTGTAAGCCATTCTGCAAAGCTCCTTGAAACTCAACAACGCCATAAATTATGATTACCATGAACATTAGTTGACACCATGAATGAATTAGGTTCAAATTTACCGGAAATTGAGTGTGAATGGTAGCATGAAGTCCAGCAAGACGCTGCATTTCCGTATAATGTAGAGCATATTAAGCGTGTCAGTTTTTATACTATGTAGTTGAACAGCACAGCGCTGGCCCTAGGAACTGAAATCCTTAGAGAGAGGTTTAGAGGAGCCTCAGCGTACCGATGCTATTCAGCACAGATGTCTGCTACATTCCTCAGAGCCAAATTATCAGGTATACCGTCTTCAAATCAGAACACTCTTGTTTATCTGAGCACTGTATTTCCGGTATTCTCCAAAACTTATTGTCCGGTAGCTTTCGCAAAGTAGTAGATATACACAGATTACAAATGCACAAGTAAACCATATCGACAGTCACTGCAAATATACGCACACTAAGCCAATTCTCCTCCGATGGTAAACCAACAATTTGACATCACTTATAAAAAGCAATTTTTCTTAAATTTGAGTGAATTTTTCTTTTGAACACGTACGAAAGTGGCATATTCCGAAAAAGGAAACTTCAATCCTCACAGCCAGGTGAAAGAAAGCCTTAAGACGAATACCCGTTGGAAATCGTGCCTTAAGGCAACCTTAAAGACGGTCTTAATGACACAACACAGTGTACCACAATGCAACCAAATAAAAAAAACAGCAAAGTTTCATTGACTACCACAGCAGTGGACCTACTTACGAGACCGCGCCGCTGACTGGCGAATCAGAGACGACTGGTACGTAAAAGTGCGGCACCATTTCGCATATTACTCGGCATTTGCTCCTTACAGAACTGACAACCTTATAATTCTTCGAAGAGTAAACAACCGTACTCCAGCTTCACGATTTATACTGCGTTACAGATATGGCCTAGCCAATATCAATGATGTATTTCTAACGCTGATTGAATGTCAGCGTGATCCAAATGTTCGCTGAAATGTGCCGACAACGAAAGGAATGCACCTGTTAATTCGGCCTCAGCGGATGTTCCATGAACAACGGCAAGAACGACTGAACGAAGATATGCTTGATCCAGACTATAATACTATGATGTAAAAGCTTTGATAATATGTACTTCTTGTACTGTACTAGTATGGAGCTCTGGTGCAACCGTGCAATTACTACGTATTTCTGTGAGCCATGAATATGCTGCGTATTCTTGTAGTTTGTTTTCGCTACGGTGTATGTTCGCGGAACTGTTACTATTTGCGCCTTTCTGTCATTTCTCATTTACTTGATCCAGTTCGACCTGATTTAAGTAATTATTGATGTCCAAAGTCAGTTTTAACTAGTCGTGGTTGACTGTTGCACTAGAGTAAGGGTGGTCACTATAGTCACTCAGCGGCATAAGGCTCGGCGAAAGCAGGGAAGATGAAATGTCGTGCGCACTGCCGTTGGGCTCATCATGTTAAGAGCAATTTCCAAGTTGAAAACCTCCTCGATGCCTTTTTAACTGGTAACTCCTGTACTCCTTGTTTGCTTTGCGATGCGCGCGCCATTTTTATTCTCCGTACCATGTAGTACACAGAATGATCTCCTACAACGCTTGCAGTGAAATGATACAGCTACAGGGTCATCTGAATAATATGACACGCAGCGGATGCGACTGCGAAAAACGTGACACTTTTTCCATCCCGCTACGCACTACAACGCTCCGTCCTTCGCGTACTGCCGTAGCTTTTCTGTTGTGCGCGAGCGATCCTGCCATTGATTTACACATAAATGTTGACGCTGACGGATGTGATATTTCCCAGACTGAATTATACACACAACTCAATACACGTAAATTTATAGAATTGTTTGACTTTGTACTTCGCGAGCAAGTTGTGAAAGCATAAGCTGTAAGTGCCACTCAGGTCTGTGCACTCCAGTACATACAGAATATACGACGTAAAAAGTAACAAATCACACGATACTTAAGGCGCAACCAAGTACATACTTAAGATGCAACCAAGTACAAGAAACAGCAAAGTTTCGTACAGCGTCGATGTCCTGGCCTACGGCCAGGTCATCGACGCTGTACCAGTATAAAAACTGACAAGTTTCGTACAGCGTCACTGTCCTGGCCTACGGTAAATGATACAGCTGCGGTGTGTGACGCTAACCGCCGCATCGCCCGAAAGCTGTGGACCTTCGTATTCGGCCAATCGTTTCGCAGCAACTCCGACAACGTCAGGTAGGCCCTGGTGTTAAGAATGGTGCTAAATCGATCTTACATGTCGCAAGATATTTTCTCCTATGCTGCTGCTATGACGTAAAGGTTTTTTGGAGAATGGATTTCGCTTACGCATCTGACTGCGCTTTCAGAAAACCTCTGCTAACGAAAGCAGCGGAAGAAAAATAGTTAGACTGCTGCTGACCGACGAAAAGTGTGTCCGTCAATATCCGCAGCAGGGACCATGTCACCATAGTGATTATTATCGAAAGGTCAAGTCTCTTTTCGTGGACATCTAGCTAGCTTTAGGATTTAAAGCTTCCCTTTGGATTTGCTGGGTTAGGCTTTCACTGGACATCCATTTAAGTAATCCACAGAAGGATCAACGGCGTCCTTCTCGATATCAGTAGGTTTTTGTGGAGGTACTTACCATAAGTGCCGTAGCGGAAAGTTTCACCCGAGTTCTGACGGCGACTGTCATAGGATTAGTCAAGAAAACTTACGATTAACCGGTGCAGTTGCGTAGCAATATGATAGCGTAGCAATGTGTCCAAGTTCTCAACACAAACAACCTTTTACCTAATAACCTGTGCTTATCTACATAAGTTTTGCTTCTGCTTGACCCCTTTGTATAGTCCGTCATTTCTCATAATTTTGCAACTGTCGCATTACAGTATCTGCTCAGTTGATATCCCGCACATAAATTTACTAATTACTGCCGCCAGGCGTACTGTTACGTACATAGGCATCACGTATCAACAACTGGGATTTGGGAATGAAGACCAGTTATTATTCCCTCGCGCCACAATCCATCGTGCTGGTGTTGTGGGCGTGGCTGCTATCCCCGGAGCGCCGGTATGCCTGTCCGACGAGTGTGCAGCGCGAATGCGCCGATCCCGGATGCCAGTACACCATCACGCAACGTACGACCGATTTGTTGTTTTCTTAATGTTGCAAATTTCTTATGTGTGGAGCGGCGCGCTCGCGCTTGCACCGTTTATTAATCCGATGACCGTGAAGCCTAGATTTACTTTTTACTAGGCAACCGCCATCAAATTGACGTTAAGCGCAAACGCGGGCACACCATTTTACAGTTAAAATTTAAACATTAAAAAAACAACCAAATTCTTTATTCTTTCTAGAATAAAAAGGTACCGTACGGTCCGTACTTGACACCGTTGTAGCATTTCCCTTCATGACAGCCAAACTAAAACGTTGCTTAAGAAAAGCAGTAGACCGCGTTTGTCCAGTCGGTTATCATTTAGTGAACTATTGATCATCTGTGCAGACTCCGTAAATAAATTGTAGTCGAGCAGCTCGTCCACGAGGCGACACGCAATTCCCCGCCGACACCCATTCGCCTGCCGTTTGACCGCGTCCCGCCCATCGAGCGGCTGACCGTGGAACGGCAAATCGTGCGTATTGAATCGGGTCAGCAGGCCCTTTTCGACTGCCCGCTGTACAACATCCCGGTTACGACATGCAGCACGACGTGCACTCCCTGCGCCCCATCCCGCACATGCCCGGTTTGATGATGGCCACCATGTCGCTCTCCGTCCGCTACTTCCCCTGGAGCGCCACCGGCAGTCTGGTTGAGTGCGCGCAGGCGTGTGGTCGCCTGCAGGAGACGCCCACCACGCTGCGCGACAACTTCTGCACCTATAGCTACCAGATATTCCAGTTGGTGGTGCTGCCGACGGCCGGCCAGCTGTTTATCCACCCGCTGGCCAACGCCACGGTCCAGCGCCTCTCTGACGCCAGCTTCGAATGCGCGGCCAACACCTTGCCTAACCAGCCGGTGGCCTTCATCTGGCGCTTCAACGGCCACGTCATCAGCGCCCCGGCTGATCATCCCCTTTTCGCGCTGGCTCGCACCCGCCTGCTGCGTCGTCAGGAGCAGCCGCGGCTGGCGGCGCAGCGTTTCCCGCTCTTCGGCATCTCTTCAGCGGAGCAGTTCGTCTTCAGCGTCACCGCCAATATCTCGACCAACACGGCCAGCAGCACGCTGACCATCAGCCAGGTGGATCTCCACACGTCGGCACGCGTGGAGTGCTGGGTGCGGCCCAACGCCGACGCTGATACGTGGCGCGTGCAGGCTGCTTATCTGCACGTCTACAAAATCACGAGTACCGGGTAGGAAATGGCAATGCCCGACGTGTATCCCGTTGCGACTGCGTTCAGCATATAACAGCCAACTCAGAACTGTTCAGCTTTATTCTCAGGATTACGCTACCGGCATCATTTTTGCAACTTTTGCCGGTAGTCATTAAATTGGATCTCCAAACGATTTTTACCAGTTTCAAGGTAACCGCGTCAACACCTTGGCCATTGATTTCCCTCATAAACTCAACTTGCACGTACGTTATTTTATCGCAGATAGTCCACGGACAATGATCCACTGCCGCTGGAACAAAATGGACATCACCGATGACCCGGTGTAGAGAAAACGAGAAAAGTGCAACACCTACGAAAACAGTCACAGATAATCTTTCCAATCCATTCGCATAACGTCTTCCACCGCTGATCGCGGCTGAGATGCCGCTATCCAGCGCGTACATCCCCTCTTATTCCATACAATATCACCGCCAATTACGCGACTTTTCATTTACAAGGGCGTCCCAGTACTATATTCGGATGACCACCCTACAAATTCGACGGAACGCATCGGCATTAGAGATGTCAAAAACCGAACCGAATCGTTTGTAACCGCGGTTAAACCGGTTCGGTTTGGTTCCTCGTTATTTTGACCGCTACTTTTGTGCTCCAACCGAACCGTTGTAATCGGTTAGGGTTAATCGCCCGGGGTGCCCAATACCTGATAATGGCTTTTACATTTTACTATAGCAGAAGAAATGCTGCGTCAGTTTCTGTAAATTTTGTTCTCTGTACTTTGCCACGCCCATTATTTTGGCGCCCCCATGGCGTTAAACATGCTCAAAGTTCGTCGTAACTACTTCTGTTGTCACATGAATGAGTAAAACAAATAACCATCCTCAATCGAAAGCAAAAACTTTTAAAAACCCTACCATGGCGTTTAAGCATTAAGGAGCTGGGGTGGGGTGTGCCGCTGGTTCACTCGCCACGAAATGAATCTGCTGACCCGGCGCAGCGGGATTAACCGGCACACCGGGCGGATAATTGTAACCCGGCTGTACATACACCACGTGCGGGGCTTGACAATTGTTAAAGGGTTTCGGTATTCTGCACATGTTGATCCCCGCTGTGATCGCTTGACCCAAACTGCAAATCCACATAAGACAGTGCAGTCCCACGAAGCTCCCGTTAAACGCTTGGCCGTTGGGGATACGGCGGCACGCTGCCGCATTATACTCGTAATCAGCATGCCAGCTGTTACACAGATCCCCGTAATAATAGTTAAAGGCAATATAACTGTTCAGGTTGATGCCCAGAACGACAACCAAGAACGCAGTCAAGATGGTCGTCAGGATGCTCAGCACCATGCTGGTGATGAGAAGACATCGGCGCGAACGCGGTGTTTGTCCAGCGGATAAACGGCGACCGGCGGCGATTCCGCAGGATCCGGTTATGGTGCTGAACACGCCGATGTATAATCCGGAAGCGAAGAAACTGAAGGAGAATGCGTAATCAATCGCATTGATGCTGACATCTGTAAAATGTGTTTTGAGATGTTGAACTTTCAACCAAAGCTCTTCGCAACTGATTTTACACTGACGTTCAGGCGCCTTATTAGCGACACATCAAAGTGAATTCAAAAATGCAAAACGCACAAACACAAAACCACAACAAGATTAGGCAGTCAAAACACAATTATGCAATCATCAAAACTAAATTATATAAGCACTTGACATCATCGGAATGATGTCATAGCAACGTACCGCCACCAACCAACGAGATTTCCTAAATGTTTAAAAAAATTTCGAAAAACTAATTTTTACTTACTGATAATGTCGGTGATAAGCATAGCTACTCCAAACAGCACCTGGAGTATGCCAAACGTCAGAAGCGGTTTACGATTATGTAGAGCGATTTGGCTGCGGTCTGGAGCCATTCTTGATTCGGTGCTTTCAAAGTTATGATTGCAGTCTGTAAACAGTATACACTGACAGCAATGGTTGCAAGAGAATCGTGAGACACTGGTTTCGCTACCAAGATTGTGCTTTATATACTTGTCCTTGTAAACCAGTTAATCTTGGCTTATCAGTTGTACGGTATGGTATCATGCGACATTACCTTTGATAATGATGTGCCTTTTATTGTCGGACAACGTCGGTTATTTGATTACGTTGGCTCTCTTACCGCACGCCTCGTTGTTACTTCTGACAATACAGTAACAGTTAACGTTAGTCCGTTAACCGTTTTCGCGTTGACGCCAGCTAGTCATTGACTGGGTTTACGTGCATAACTTACGATTAGTAGGTATCTACGGCATTTATTTCTCGGGTTTTCACCGCTATGACTCATAAAATTAATCTTAATTAGGAGAATTCGGTTGTGATCAGTTTACACAACTATGCCACACGTTACTGCAGTAATGTAATGAAAGTTGAATTTACGAAACCTAACTTTTCTGTAGCTGCAAATATAAATAGCCTGACTTAAAAGTTGAAACGAATAATTTTCCTTACCGGTATACTATCGGTGTCGTCAAGCGTGTCATGCTGTAGTAACGACTAATGTGTACATATAGGTATTATTATTATTATCCGATACTAATAACTACTAATGAGCAACAAGTACATTTAAAGTACAGTGCAAATAATGAATTACAGATGTAGAGGCTTACCGCCGATCGTAATATGCGCTTGTGCAACTGCTTTCGAGTTCTTTAATTTCACTTCGGTGTTTTCCTGTAAATTTATTGACGATCTGCATACGTTATGGATTAATTTTCATGAGTGAAGTTCTTTAGTAATACAGAGCGTAGAAAGTAGAAACGATTACTTCTGAAAGCTCCGTTGGGTTTAGAAATTACATAGTGAGTGACCGAGTGAAGGAAACATTCAGTCCATCCGGCAGTGTTGCGCTTTTGGCCGAAGACAGTAAACGTCATAAGTACAGATACGCGTTTGTGGAAGAAATTGGATATCTTCTTTATCCCCTGGCGGTCGAGACCTTTGGACTTTTGGTCCGGCATTTGCGTAGATTATTCGTTTTGTTGGCAGAAGGATTCGCGACGCGACAGGGGAGCCTCGTTCTACCGCATTTTTAAAGCAGAGATTTAGCCTAGCTGTTGTAAAAGGAAACGCTGCTGCTGTTTTGGGCACTTTGGGTATGCGTTCTAAAATGACTGACAGCGCCAACGATTTTGGTTGTTTTTTTAATGTTTAAATGTAAATCATTTTGCGTAGTATTCTGCGTATGCACTTTTTATTGTGTTGATGGCTTTTGCCCAATAAAAACAGAAAATATAGATATTCATATCTACGGTATATTATACATAACAATAACTGTCATGTTATACATGATCAAAATACAGGAGTTATATGAAAAAAATCCAAGGAATGCTTTGTATAGTAATTATTGTGATATACTGGTATGCAGGAATGCAGCTGTACATATGAAGATCAGTGTTGGAACTAGTGGGCATTGGACACTAGTCACGCTCTAAGTAGCGGTCAGCAAAGTGTAGCACTGTAGAACTTGATCGCTGTTGTAATGCTGTATTCACGTTTTTATTGTTCAGACTGTACTTTACTATCCGCTTGTCGTTTTGCTAGTTGGATAACTGGATTAGTCTGGTTTAAATTAACCAACAAAGTATTTAAGTTAAGTGACCGGGTACATGTACCGGCACCTGTTAATTTGGTGCCAACCGAAATATGTGTACGTATCCGCTTCGTAACCGTAAGTTACGCATATGTACATACAGATGCAATACTGATGCTTGCATACCGATGCAGTACTAGTGCTTATTAATCGTAATTTTAATACGGCAGAAGTGTTGGTAGGATTCAGATTTACAGTATGTAAATAAGTACGTAGCTGCGATCATGTGACTTCCTATTACTGTATTATATTAAATTCTTATGTGCCTAATTAGCATGTACGGTACATTGTACAAGTAGTACTCACACTTCGTGCGTTGCAGCTCTTCACAGACACACCGGACTCGGTAACCAGACCACACCTGCGAACAAACAACAGTCGCATTCGCTGTGCATGAGTGAGCATCTGCATATTCAGGTATGTGACCTATTGTAGCAATAACGATCCAGTCATCTCCGCAACGCATATTCATAGAAGTACTGTGCGAACCTCGTACAATAATATAATGGCGAATCCCGCTTCGTCAACCTGGTCGTGGTGGAAAATATTTAGTGAATAATATTCGATAATCGATAATCGAATTTACGCCTGCATCCATTGTACAATACAGAGTATAATATAGTAGTATAGAATACATTATACAGTATATAGATATAATTTACGAATACTTCCTTCATTAATATTAACAAAACTGCTCTTCAAGTAGGCCCAATTAGCGTGAGACACAACCTAATACGTGCAGAACTTATACACCTGCACACTACATGCCTTTATACACATCCGGTCGCCCCTGCAAGCTGCGCCTTTTCTTGTGCATGAAAGATTAATATAAAAGGAAAAATGCCTGATGCCGGATGTTATCCGGCAGTGACTTGCCGTCAGTATTTCCGAATTATCATGGTGTGCACTGTGCAGCACTGTTTTTTTTTTTATTTTCAGGAAGTGAGAACTTTGTTTCCCGGCCCGGAAGTTGTGTCGCCCCATGCCATTTGAACTATTACAGTATGTACTTGTAGGTTTATACTTTATGCAGATATGGTTACTGCAAAAACTTCTAAAGTACTGACTAAACCCTATCGACCAGCAATTAGGATTAACGTGTAGATTTAACGTTAACGGATTCTTGTACAAAATGCAGGTGGATGCGGTTATAGCTGATAGTTGGTGTCACTGATTGTCAGTTGTGGCAGACTTAAATACTACAACGAAATTAATGTGCCATGGAGCATATTATACAGGTAGTACATTTAGTCCTTAACTTTTCAGCACTCTTAACACCCCCTAACCCTTTATCCACGGCCTTCACCGCCAATCAACTGCCGAATGCCCAGGATGCGTTATCCGTTCTTCCACCTAGAAAGGTCACGGAAGGGGAACTAAACTGCAGCCGGTACGGGACACTTTCCCATCCCAAGGACTGTAACGCCACCGAGGTTCTCCTGCCACCGTTTGCCAATACGCCAACCGAAGATACGGATCTGATCGGCGACGACACCAATCTTCTTCTGACCATATTATTTACTGGATTACCGATTGCTGCTCTCCTTCTTGGCGCCGGCAGGTTGGTGGCTAATTGGCCTGCCAAAGGGATTCATGATCAAGGTACGCTGATATATAGTAGACCATCCCGTTCATGATCATTTTGTCTCTTTAACAATAAACAATGATTTGGAGTGTCATTTGTATGAAGCAACAGTATCGATTATCTAGATATAGGTAATTGCTCTGTGTAACTCAATAGTCAATACATAATTGCTTTTGCAAAATACAATGCAATATCAATAATAGCATCAGTACCACCCTACGAGTGCAGTTACGGTTATCGCCTCGTGTTAACAATTTAAAAGTTCTATACCGGTCGGCGGTCGGTCACGCCAAGTTGTCACCAAAAGTTTTTAAAGTCCTGGAAACTGCAGATCAATTCCGCAACCATTATTTAATTTTTTTATGAGTGCCGTTGAGTATTTTGTATCGTTTGAACTTTAAATTCCCAGCATACGAGCGTTTATCGAAATGTGGCAAGCGCAAATCTCACTTATTTTGCCATCGCGAAAACCGCTGTTTTTGGCTGTTGCTTTATATGCTTTTCTTACCAGTCGTCGAAATTGACAGTATGTCTGAGATGTTACGGATACTCCGGTTCCATCGAAAAGTGTTTAGGGTCATCTGTACCTTGCGTTTTCTAATGACTGTTTGAAGTTCAAAAGGTCACAGGAAAATTATAAAAAAGTTTTCCCGCTGGGACCGTTAGGATTTCTGGTTTTTTAACACGGCAGCGTGCGCGCTATATTTTTATCGCCTTTAATTGACAATCCTTGCGGACAATATTATTTAACATACTTTCCAAAGTATCTAGTTTGTTTGCCAGCCGTGTTTTGGTGGGATGTATGGGGGTTTAAGCAATGCTTGCAGTGAACTTTCAGACCGGGGTGAGATTTCGGAAACCGGGCAATTTCCAAAAAAAATTTGTTTTGTTCAGTTTTAGGAATAGATTCCGTTGGCAATCATTTCAAACAATGATCCAAGTATTTCTTAACCTGTTTCTTTGATGCTTACTGACAGCTTTGACACGTGCGTGGTCTGAGGTAATCAGAATTAGATTTTGGCGTTATTCGTGGACCGGAAATCCAATACCGATGCGATTTCGCCCCTGTGTGTTATAATTTCAGCTGTGTGACGTTTGAATGCTCTTCTAGTGACCGGCAGCGTTAACTGGGAAGTGTCCAGTATTCCCGCAGACGGTTTTTGATTATTTTCATGTACAGGTTCTGTATAGCTAAACGATTTGCTGCAGTCACAAGACGTATTATTGTGTTGCTGACCGGCGGTCATTTCGACGGCCACTAACATTATGCTCGAAGATAGCCCATTAGAAACTGTCTAGGTTAAAATGTTTGTTAGCCAAAAATACTTTATATTACATATTAGAACTGTAATAAACAAAATTAAATTTGTCACGCGTACCAGTCCGCCCGTTGTTGTCAGATTGATACCATCCTGCTGTAGCATACCTATGGCTAGCAAAATTCTGAAAAAAATTTGATCTCTTAATTGAATTATTTTATCGACGATTCCTACTTTTCATGGTCTAATTCGAACGGGGTCGGGTATCGGGAAGTCCTGGGTTAACCTGATTGATACCATTCTCAGTCGCAGAAAACCCTTTCTTAATTTTCGGACAAATTCTTGATACCAGTCAAAGAGCGACCACTATGATTGTATAGATTTCACTTTCGTGTTGGTTTGTAACGGCATTTTTGGAACTACCGGATGGCTGAACAAAATGACGGGCTCCGTTTTTAGTTGCTTCTGGCAAACCGCTTGCCCCACCGTAAACTACTTAGACTTATTAAACAGACAGTTTTAGTGGCTACTAGAAACAACAAAACGCTGTAAAAAAATTCAACCGTGCTTGGGTTAAATGGTTCCAATCAAAGTCATGTCAAAATATACGGTGTGTTTTGGTCAGCTCGCAAAACTTAGAATATCGTGGCATTTCTTTTCCGTACGGACTTTATTGACATTCTTCAGTGTTTTGTCTAGAGAACTACATCTTCTTTCACTAGTAAAATTCTCTGGATCTGCTGCATGCGATGGACGAGTTATTCGCCAGCGCGCTGTTTGACTTTCCCAAAAAATGCCGATTTTTGATTTGATTCGTTTAAGCGGTTTTGGTGAAAATCTTCGGCTGCATGACAGGTTGCAGCAAAAAACGCCGGTTTCAATTTTTCATGTAACTAACACATTGTCCTTGCAGAAATAAAATTTAACCATACAAGATTTGCAAACATTGGTCAGAAATTTGCTTCCAAAAACGCTGCTTGCGGATTTCACGAGAATTAATCGTGCGGACTTGCATTTCTTGTCTATATTGGCCAAACACGGTTGTTGGAATCTTCCTGCTCCCAACAACAACAAAACTAAAAACAAACCCTGTATGCGAAAATTAGTAACGTGAACTACATGAATATCGTTAATTGAACAGGTGCAAATTTTTGTTTACAAAAGGATAACATCAAATTTTCGTTTCCTGGCCAACCGTCAAACCCACCTAGTCTTCCAAAACAATTCCTGAAAAGTCAAATCTTTGCTTATTGCCGGTTACATTTAACTAACTTTCATTTGCTGAAAACGTTGCTCTTTCAAATGAGACTAAAACGATGTCAGTCAGGCTACGGATGGACCCAGCGCACTCGGATAAAACAGACCACCATTTTATTCAGCCACCCGGTAAAGGTCATTCATGGATTTCAGTAAACGCAGCATTCAGTGCTGTACAAGAAACCAACAACGAGACTGGAGTAATTCGGCTCTTTTTAATTTGGAAAGAGGAAGAAACTTTGGTGACAACTTGGCGGGACCACCCGGTAGTACCAAGACTACCAACCAGACCTGGGCAGTTAATTTTAACTATTTAACTTAACGCGAGTTTTTTTCGAGTTAACGAGTTATAACTTAACTTTGAAGCTTAACTCGCCAGGACGAAAACTTAACTCTAGCGCAACTCAAAAATAATATAGCGCAACTCGAGTTTAACGTAACTCTGCGGGTTTCGGTTGAAAGCAAAAATGAAACTAAAATATAGAAAATATCAGAAAAAAGGCATTTTAACCGTGGATCGCATAAACTGCCATAATTACAAAAGTATGTGTACAAAATTTCTCGAGCCGACGTACACTACGACCGCCCAAGGCTTTGTCTAGATGAATATGCATCGGGAGTCCATGCTGACAGGGAGTGTGGTCGTACAATTTGAGCTCAATTAACAGCGTGCAGAGAACGTAATTTTTGCGCAGCAAAATTTTGCCAACGCGAGGACAAATCATGTTCCGCCCCAAAATAACACGGGAATTGATCGTCTGTGCGTCTTCGCTACCTGCACATTAGGGAAGCGTAATAACGCGGTCAACACTGTCAAACAGCTACACTAACTTCGGTAGCCATGTGAAGCGAAATGATAGTAAAAGTTCATCGTTGCCGGCGCTCGGCCCTAAAAAGCCAGGGTCAAAAGTGGGAGGAATTTTGAGAGGGAGGAGTTTTGTGTGGTTAAAAGAGGAGAAATTTTGTCAGATAAGGACTTTTCTTATGTTTGATTTTTTTCTTGAGGGAGAGAGAAAATAATAAGAACAAAAAAACACAAGAATGTTTTCTTGTGTTTCATTCTTTGTTTCTTTCTTATTCTTTCTTATGTTTCATTTATATTTTATCTTCTTCCCTCAAGAAAATGCGTCTCTTGCTCTCTCCCTCAGGAGAAACATGAAAAACAAACATAAGAAAATGCATGAACTTTCCAAATCAGTTTTAAGAAAAAAATTAATAATGGTCTGTCTCAAATCTGGTGAAAGTGATATCGGCATGCATAAAAGACTACTTGAAATTGATTAATAAAATTATGATTTTTTTTTAATTAGAAGTTAACTCCAGTTAACTCTAGTTATTGCGGCTGACTTAACTCGTAGCGTAACTCGAGAGCTGCGATTAACTCTTAACTCTAACTATGAGCCGAAATCTCATAACTGCCCAGGTCTGGACTAACAACCTATACATGAATGACGATGACCTACTCAGCTAGATGGTTAGGGAAAGGCAGGGCCGATTTTGACGCGGCCAAGTGCGTTAGAATCGACGCTGCGGCGGTCGATTTGTCTAATCGAGAAAAATCATCGAATTTAAAGTAGTGCTTAATGGTTAAAGTAATGTACATAAGTAATGACAGTCAGAAGTAATGCTATTGATTTAATCCACAAGCTATCATCACAGGAAAACAACTGTACGATAGACTCAAATATGTAGTAAATAAAGAAAAAATTTATCAAGCACTCGTTCAAAACGTGCTTCGCTTTACTAGCGGTCGATTACATCCGCGCTCAAGACGTTAACAAATCCCCGCGGAGTGCACGCAATTCCAAATGTGATCCGGCGGATCTCAGTCCATTATTCCTGGTTGCAGGGATCTTTGTGCTGTTTATAATCGCGGCCACGGTCGTTGGAGTTATTGCCACCCAACCTAATAAACAGCTGTATTTCACGAGGGCAAGTAAGTACTAACACCTGCCGTAGTAAGCAATCAAAGCCACTGTACCTGCTTCAATAAGTCAAAACCACGTAATTCGTCGGTTTCTTAGATTTCTTAGCTTCTCTTTGGTTTTCTGGGTTTTTTTTCGTCTTCGTAGACTTCTTAGAAAGTATGTGCTGAAAAATTATTAAGTACGAGTAACCCTAAAGAAATTCAGTTAGCGTAATTCTAAGGATTTTGAGTTTTCTTAGGTTTCTTAGTTTTCAAGCTTCCTAAAGAGCATTCACCGAAAATCAGTACTGTTCTCTGTGCTCGCAAACGAATTATTTGTATCTAAATTAACGCATGCCTTTCTGATCCTTGTTGAGCAGTGAGAATTTTTGCCGGCAAGCCAACGAAAGTTCTCCGAATGAGCGGCTCGGACAGTCTCGTCTATCTGTACCGGTCTGTGAATTCCAGCACCCGCATGGTTATGTCTTGGCATCTGCTGACGGCAATGTTCGTGTTGGCATTCCAGTCTGTTGTTTAGCTGGCGGGTTGCCTACGTACGTATGGTGGCTTTAATATTGACATGGACTTATTCTAATGTCATAATGTTTTTTAGTCTACATACTGTAATAATATCTATATGCTTATGCATTCTTGTCACCTTGTTTCTTACAATTTATGCACCATTGCGCCCGCTGGGTTTGTAGCTGGGATAAGTACATAACGTATGTGTCTCTGTTGGTACTTAATGCATGCCAAGATTTTGTTTATTCCTCTGCGTATGTACGTGGTTTGACGTTTGAACTGGTACTAGGAATGATGGTAGCGACTAGCGTTTGCGTCCCTCGATGTTCGTCAACAGATTTCTGATAACTTGAAAGACTGTGAACGGAGTCGTCAGTGGTCACCTTTAAAAACTATTAAAATTTATTAATTCGCAAAAAGAAACTGTGAATTAAAATTGAAACAAGTAATTAATACGCAAGAAGTTCAAAATTTGAAATGCAATCAATACTTTCATAAAAGAAAGTTAATGATTATTACGTATGTACTGTACGTTCTCATTACAAACTTGTTAAGTGTTTTTTTTAGACTTTTTTAATTATTCTAAGCCAGTTTAAACATCCAAAACACACACAAGCGTTACACAGCATCAAAAGACAGCGGAAACATGCGGCCGAATCACAGAGAACATTTGATCTAAATTAGCCGAGGCTGGTGTCGTTCCCAGGATGGATGCCGCATTTCCACGTTGAATTTCGATGCTGAACCTCTGGCCTACTCCGTCGCGCGTATCTCGCCCGTTTCCTTTCCTAAGTGTTATTGGTTGCGCTAATAAAACAGTCACGCACATACTACTATTTCCACTAATAAAACATATGCTTTAATAGTACCAATAAATAGTCATATTCCAATGGACTGGTCGCTGTTGCGTAGTGACAGTGTCCTTGACGAATCAAATTGTCATTTACGGGATAATGATCATTATAAGGATTACGTTGTATACTTATGCGACAACAGCCAGTGGTAGTCTCTCAAAGGGCGACGCCGTGCACCCACAAGAACAACGATGTTGTCTGTATAAATATCAAAGTTCGTATTATGCTTCGCTTGTGAAGATATATTCTTATTTATTTTTTTATTATATTATGAACGTTATCGGCACAGACGTTATACGCAATTTCTGACATAGTGTAGTGGTATACACTTTATTAGACTTTTTGTCGTTAACCACCGGAAATGGACACTACAAACTGTCAGCTTGAGCCACGACTGCCACAATCATGGGCATTTCTGCTGTGTGTCAGTGTCTGGCAGTTATCGGCGAGCTGCCGGCGTGCCACTGCCTGTCCGACGATGGTGCAGCGAGAATGCGCAGACCCCGCATGCGCATACTCCATCATAAAGCGTACGCACACGACAAATCCACTGCATGCACTATGTAAGGCGCACTGTATCAACACCATGTGTTGCATCCCATTGCAGTCCAGCAACTTGTCCAGGAGGCGGCCCATAATGCCACGACGACCTCCACCATCCGGCTGCCCTTTGACCGCGCTCCGCCCGTCGAACCCCTGACCGTGGAACGCCAAGTGGTCCGCATTGACGCGGGGGAGCCGGCCGTCTTCCACTGCCCATTGTACAACGTCACCAGCCTGACCCACCTCCCGGACATGGTGTGGTACCACAACAGCAAGGTGCTGCGCATGCAACTGACCAATCAAGCGCCCACAGACTTGGCTGGCGCTCCCTACACCATGATGCAAACCGTGCACTCCCTGCGCCCCATCCCGCACATGCCCGGTTTAACTATGGCCACCATGTCCCTCTCCGTCCGCCACTTCCCTGGAGCGCCACCGGCCAGATCCGGTGCGCGCAGGGCTGCGGTCCCCTGGACGAGACGCCCACCACGCTACGCGGCCGCTTCTGCACCTACAGCTACCAGATATTCCAGTTAGTGGTGCTGCCGACGGCTGGCGAGCTCTTTATTCACCGGCTGGCCAACGCCACGGTCCAGCGCTTCTCTGACGCCCGTTTTGAGTGCGCGGCCAACACCTGCCTAACCAGCCGGTGGCCTTTATCTGGCGCTTCAACGGCCACATCATCAGCGCCCCGACTGACCATCCCCTCTCTGCGCTGGCCCGCAGCCGCCTGCTGCGGCGTCAGGAGCAGCCGCAGCTAGTGGCGCAGCGTTTCCCGCTCTTCGGGTCTCTTCCGCGGAGCAGTTCGCCTTCAGCGTCACCGCCAATATTTCCACCAACACGGCCAACAGCACGCTGACCATCAGCCAGGTGGACCTCCACACGTCGGCGCGGGTGGAGTGCTGGGTGCGGCCCAACGCCGACGCCGATACGTGGCGCGTGCAGACCGCCTATCTGCACGTCTCCAGGGTCACCAGCGCCGCGTAGAACATACCCGACGTTTATTCTGTTGTGACTGCGTTCAGCAAATAACAGCCAACTCAGAACTGACCCGGAGTCCCGGACCACCGGTTTATGCGCCACGAAACCGGAACTCCGCAGGTTTTTATTTGATGCCATTTAACCCCGTCATTCCATTTACCAGTTATAACCGCAATTTTACAATATTGTAGATAATCAGTGGACTGTCGCCGTTTGGAAACAAAATAACCATTTGCCGACGACCGGTGTAGAGAAAACCAGAAAAGCAACATCAACGCTCACAGATAATCAATCCCATTTCCCTGGGCGCGTTCATCGCAGATCCCGGCGGAGATGGCGCAGCGCCGTCTGCACCCGTTCATCCGGGGACGCTCCCGCCACCGCCTCGCACACGCCGAGGACGTCCAGCACTTTGGCGTAACTACACGAAGCATGCGATCAACATCATCCCGAAAACACGCGATTTCTTATTATTATTCAGATGATCCCGACTTACTCCTTGACTTCCTGTCCGCCGCCGCCCACCAGCGTCCCGACGGCCACCATCCAGCGATACCGCGCCTCATCCTCCACCACCAACCCCGGGACCTTGCCCAGCTCCGTCGCGGCGAACAGCAGCTGCAGCATCTCCTCGGCGTTCTTCTGCCGCCCGAGGAGGACAGCGTAGTTCAAGATAACGCTGGCGCGCGCCGTCTGCACGTTCTTCTCCACACCGGACGTCGATTCCGCCACGGCGGAGAGCAGCGCCTTCCGCTGATCCGTCACGAAGGCCAGCCCGGTGGCGCCGGCCACGAAGAGGTTGCAGACGATGCGCAGGGATAACTGCTGGTTGGCGCTGGACCGCGGAGAACGGATCAATGGGAGGAGGAAGTCCAGGAAGAAGCCGCACCGTTCCGCGCCGCAAAAGTACTCGCTGACGGCCGGTTGGCGGATGGCTAGGCGCAGCAGGTCCAGGGCGGGGAACATCACACCTGCGACAGTAAGAAAATAAATTGTCTGAGGAGCGTTCTACAAACAAAATTTCCACAGAATTATTTCCTAATTTGTTTTCATTTTTTTCTGAATTCTTTTCCAATTTGCTGACTTCTTTCCATTTTTTTTAAAATTCCTTTTTCATTTTTCTAATTATTAATTAATTATTACTGGTAATGTTTCTTTATAAAAACTGGAAAAATTCCGACTAATACAATATTACGTATTAATATGAATTATTTCCTAATTTGTTTTCATTTTATCAAATTTCTTTCCCAATTTGCTGACTGATTTTCATTTTTTTAACATTCATTTTTCATTTTTAAATTCATTTCCATTTTCTTCGAATTTTTTTCTCAATTTGATAATTTATTTCTATTTTTTTTTTAATTTCTTCAAAACCGATTTTCCCAATTTACTTCCATTCGTTTTGATTTCTTTGTCATTTTTTATCATTTGTTTTCCTTATTTTAATTTCTTTTCGTTATTAATTCTTAATTCTTTCTGATTATTTCTGCTCGATTTCGGTTAACAAAAAAAACCCCATTGAATTAATTATTAGTTATATTTCTTTCTAAAAAACAGAAAAATTCCCATTAATAATGAATAACATTATTACGTATTACGATATTAAATCATATTTAAATGCGATAAAAAATATTAATTGCAATAAACAGTACGTAATTCAGGCAAAACTAAATATCTATTTGCTTTTAATGGCCTGGAAAATTTATTCCACACACTTTAAAGGATAACTTTGAAAAAATTTTCCCAAAAATATTCCCAGGAATTGGGCAAATATTTGTGAATACTTTTCTAGGATAAATTTGTCAGACTTAAGAAAACTTGAGGGAATGTTTTAGGAAAATTCGCCAACGGATACGTACCTTCGGGAAGGTCGAGCGTTTTGCCGAGGAAGTTGAGCAGGTCGGCGGAGGGCCGAATGGGCGACACGTCCTTCTGCATGTACGGCATCAACTGGGCGCCCGCGTCCTCCGGCCACTCCATGCCCTCGTTCTCGAACGTCTCCCGCAGTTTCTCTACAAAGTTATACAAAAATAATCAAAAATCCTTTTTTTTCCTTCATTTTTTCTTCGGTACTGACAATCCTTCATCATTTTTTATACAGGCAAAAATTCTTAGGTTTCCCTTAGTCAAAATGTTTTCCTATTTTGGTGGTTAGTAAAAATGAAATGGTGTCATTTTCCCCCGTAGATAAATGATCAAATAATCGAATAAATTCTTCTTCCATTTATTAATTAACGAACATGTTTATCCCACTTGCATTGTTTAATAAATAGACTCACACCACTGTTCTACGTAATCAACCAACAAAATGAGCGAATAAAAAGGAGCAATTTGCGCTGGCTTACTGAGCAGCCCGTCGACATTTCCCGCGTGAAATCCAACAAACTCCTTCACCGGATACAGATCATTAACTGCCGGGGTCGCCGGCTGAGCGCCCCGCGAGCCCAGCGCCGTGGAGTAGCTGGATGCGCCGGTGAAGGGATCGAAATTCACTCCGCCACCACCACTAAAACGTCACACATTCAAAACACTTTAATTTCATTGCAAAATCAAAAGGTCAGAAGTTAAATTTAATGCCAATTTAGTTAACTGTTACTTAATTAATTATTCAAATTTGAATAATGACTGAGAAAGCGATCAAATTAACTGCCGGCTGAATAAAAATATAAACTGAAAAAAACTGGCAAAAATATTCGGAAAATAAATTGACAAAAAAATTGATAAAATAAAAAAACAAATATAAAACATGAACTGACAAAAATAAATAAATGAAATAAATTGACAAAACTAGAAACAACATTCTGGAAATAAACTGACAAAACAGACAGATAAATTTTCAAAAAATAAGCTGACAAAATAAATAAACGAAATAAACGGACAAAACTGGAAACGATATTCTGAAAGTAAATTGGCAAAATTCATTTTCTTAATTGTGAAATTTGATCATACCCGCCACCAGCCGCCGGGCGGGAGGGAACCGCTGCCTCCGCGCCGTTCCCCCGCGCTCCCGCCGGCATGTAGCGGCCGGCGCCGGTGAAGGGATCCTGATACTGGCTGCTGACGGCCTGCACGCTGGCCTCCGCCCCCGGGGCGTTCTTTAAAATAAACTTGGCCACCGTCTCCAAATACCCCGGCGGCAGTTCGTTGTCATCCAGGAATTTCTGCGCCACCGTCCACGGATCATCCGATAAATTGTACGGGAGTTTCACCGGCGGTTTACTCTCGTCGAAATCCACCGTGAACACGTAATCGTACTCCTGCAAACGGCAATTAAATCCAATAAATTAATTTTCCTTTATTTTTTAAATTTAATTATCGCTGTACGGGAGATTTATATTTAATTAATTTAACTTAAAAATCACAATTACTGTAATTTTGAATTCATACTTCTATAAATCTACAACAGCATCGACAACTTAACCTAATTTAATTATTACCTAATTTGATTGTTATTATTGAACTCATTTTTCATTTTTTTAATTATTTCCAATCGGAATTAATTTAGTATTATTATTATTTATTAAAATCTGCAGCAGCAACGCGCGTTTAATCCAAATTACGAGTAATTTCTAATAATTGATTTCACGATCAGTTTAATTATTTTTAAAAAATGATTATTTTAAATTATAATAAATAAATTCGTTTAATTTAACGTTTTTATGAATTTGCAGCAACATGACAAATTTAATCTGATAAATTTCCGATTAATTAATGCTAGTTAAACGAGGAATAGCCACTTTATAATACTGAAATTAATTTAATTTTTAATTCGACCTAATGGAAGTAAATAGTTATTTAATTCCACTATTTAATTAACACTCACGCGTCCGTTGTGGATGGTCTTCTCGGCGGCGGCCTTATCCCCAGCCGACCCGATGACATCGCCCACTTTCTGCCACTGCTGCTGGCCGGCGCTCCAGTTGTACACTTCGACGCTGGTGCCGCGCCGGATGATCTTCGTTTGGCCGTCCTTCACGCCCGGCGCCAGCAGCGCCGTCTCCGTCGGCAGATCCTCGTTCTTGATCCCCTCCAGCACCTCCTTCGAGGCGAACGCCGTCGCCGCCAATTCCTCCTCGTAGTGCTTCGCCTCGTCGGCGCCGGCGTACCGGTGGGCGTCGCGCGTGAAGATACGAATTTTACTATCACTACAATCAACGACGACAATATTTATTTACGATTATATTTCATTTATTTTTATTCTTATTGAAAATACGCATTTTTCCATCAGTGTTTTTTAGGAGGACAAAATTTATTGATTCTCTACCTCGCTTATTTTATTGAGGATGTGATTGTTACTCTAAAGCAAAAAATTATAGAGGAAAATATTTATTTATTATTTTTAATAAATTTGTACTGAGCTGAAAATCACGAATTTTCACCGACATTAGAAAATTATGTAGGAAACTAAACATACTATTTTCATGTATTCTGATTTATTGGAAAACACGCATTTACGAGGGTACCTAATCAAGTAATGTCGTTCGCATATAACTTACGAAAAGAAAAATATGAAATCATTTTTAAAAAATAGGGCATTCATAACTGTATCAGTAGGCTGATGGCCGAGTCAATGCCCCCTCTCGGTGGCAGTCAGCATGAGTCAGCGTGCCATTCACTCGGGTGAAAATTTGATTCATTATTAAAATGGCGCATGACGAAACATGGGTTTCGCTATCATGTACGCAAATTTTTTAAAAAACTCAATGCAACCGAATGCCATTCGGAAATGCAATTGCTGTTTGGAGGTCAGTGTCCTTCATTGCGCACAGTGGAGCGATGGTTCTGGCGGTTCCGTGCGGACAAATTTGATCTCGACGATGATCGGCGATCGGGAAGACCAGTTTCAGCGAGGACTCGGAAAAGATTGCCACCGTTAAGCGCCTGGTTGAGAAGGATCCCATATATCTATTAGAGATAGTGGACGAAACCGGGATTAACGAGGCCAGTGTGGACTGCATTTTGCGTGTTGATCTGAATTTGCGCAAAGTAGTGTCGCGTTGGGTACCTCATTTGCTGACTTCTGCCCAGAAGCGTTCGCGTGTGAATTTGGCCAAGTTAATGCTAGAAGATTTATCATCCAAGCGTCAGTATGAAATCTACACTGAAGATGAAAGTTGGTTTGCATACTACGAACCAAAGCGGAAGCAACAGAATAAAACTTGGATCACCAAAGGAAGCGGAAGACCGACAATTGTCAAGCGATCCCGAAGTACCCGGAAAGTTATGTACGCCTTTGTATCGGGCAGGAACGGAATCATTCACAAACGAGCTCTACCTCCTAAAACTACAGTGAATTCTGCGTGGTACTGTGAAAATGTACTTGAACCTTTCTTTGAGAAAATGCGAGAAAAACGACCCCAAAGTGGAACGACCCATGTGATTTGGCATCACGATAACGCCCGTCCACACACCTCAAAATACACAAAAAATTATTTAGCTGCGTCTGGTATGAAAATTCTCCCGCATCCTGCCTACAGCCCTGATTTGGCCCCCCACGATTTCAAAATATTCCCCACTTTGAAAGATAAACTTCGCGGAAAAAAGTTTGGAAGTGATGAAGAACTCGAAGGAAATCTTGATAGTGCCATCTCTTCTCTGGGTCGCCGTTTTTTTGTTTCGATGTTCGATGAGTGGAGGGATAGATGTAAAAAATGTATTAAGGCCAAGGGAGAGTATTTCGAAAAAATAAAGTGAATTGTGCGAACCAGTAAATAAATAAAAAATATACGACATGACTTGATTAGGTACCCTCGTACTAACGTATATCGCTGGAAAATTCAGGAGAAACGTGATTTAATTCAGTTTTATTTTACTGAATTTCACTATCACTGGAAAATCGGTAATAATATATTAATTATTTTTTAATAATTAAATCTAATTACGGTATTCATTTATCGTTCATAATCAGTAAATTAACGAGCAGAAACAGCAATCAATAATAAAGTAAAAAAGCCCAAAAAAATGCTCAAAAATTCCCAATAAAAGTAAATAAAATTCAGTGGCGTACCTGCCGCCCGCGACGATGTCGCCGTTGCTGAGCGCCGTCACCGCCCAGATGGAGCGCGCCGGCAGGCGGATGGTCTGCAAGGACTCGGCGTGGCCCAGGTCCCAGACGCGCAGCGAGGCGTCCTCGCTGGCGGTGACGAAGCCGCCGCTGCCGGGCAGCAGCGCGATGGCGTAGATGTAGTTGGTGTGGCCGAAGTGCGTGTGCAGGCAGACGCCGCTGGACACCTGCCAGTGCCGGATGGAGGCGTCGTTGGCGCAGGATAACAGCTGGTCGGGCCGCGGACTCACCAGGCCGCGCACCACGTCCGTGTGACCTGTAAATTTTGGAATTACAAATAATAATAAAAAAAACATAGAAAAAAATAAAGGTGCGAATCAGCGGAAAACGCCGGAAAATTTGCCAATAAAATTCTAAATAAATTAGAAAACAGTCCAAAAATAGTTCCGCGTGACCTGCAATTTTCTGACTAAAATAATATTAAAAAATAGAGAAATAAAGGTGCGGACCAACGGAAAACGCTTGAAAAACTGCCAATAAAATTACAAATAAATGGAAAAAACACTCAAAATAATTTAAAAGCGGTACAGTTGCGAGATTTTTGACTTCATTATTAAAAAGTGAATAATTAAAAAAAACATTAGCAGAAAAACGCCACAGAAAACCACAATAAAAAAATTAGAAATACATAAATAAAAAACAGTCAAAAATAATTTTGAAGCAGTATGGTAGTGTAGTGTAATATGCATCGAAATAAACCGTTATATTACAGTACTTTATTAAAAAATCCCAATTAAATCCTAATTAAACTACAATTACTCAAAATTTTTACCGATAAAATTGGGTATAAAATGGACAAGAAAATTGGAAAAATTTAAATATAGCAAACAAAATCAGGAGGCGGTCAGAAAAAGCTTGCCTTTGAGTGTGCGGAGGGCCCTGCCGTTTTTATCCCACAGCCGCACGGTCTTATCGGCGGATCCGCTGGCCAGCGTCACCGCGCCGTGTCCCTCGCCGCCCTGCACAAACTCCACGGCCCACACGGCCATCTCGTGGCCCTCCAGTGTCGCCACGCAGAAACTGTCCTGCCACACCTTCCCCGTGCCGTCCCACGAGCCCGTCACCACCGTCCCGTCGCTGTTCGCCGCGACGCTCACCACTACACAACGAGCAGAAGACTTCGCAAAATTAATCACCAATTATTGGTAAATTATTATACAACGGCTAGGATAATTTTTCACAATTAACCCGCAAGATATTTTCGTCAATTAACAATTATTGGTAATCATATAACTGCCAGAAAATTTCCAAGACTAAACGGAAAAATCTTCTCAGCTGAATACTGTCAAAAATTAACCATTCGTTATTAACAGAATAATTCGAAAATTAGCCAGAAAATTTTCAAGACTAAACGGAAAAATCCTCTCAGCTGAATACTGCCCAAAATTAACCATTCATTATTTAACACTTAACAGAATAATTCGAAAATTAGCCAGAAAATTTCCATGTACGATACTTCTCCAAATTTTGCATTAATAATATAATTACTAAAATAACAGGAGTAAAAATAAATTCTAAACAGAAAATTTGCCAAAATTAACCATTACGGTCAGTTATATACTTAGTAAAAAAATAATAATTCAAAAAATATTTGTCACATTAGCCAAGAAATAACCAAGCAGAATACCTAATACGCGAATAGCAGAAACTTTAAAAATCAACTTACCTTCAATTAGAAATAACAGAATATTTCCAAAGCAAAATAACCACCTATTTAACTGCCACAATATTTCCGTTCCAAATAAAAAAAATATTTTCTGACAGAATATTTCCCAAATTATTCATGAGCCATTTAAGTAGCAGAATATTCAAAAGCAGTAGCTCACCTGCGTCTTTATGTCCTGACAGCGTATACTCCGGCTGCGGGATTGTGCCCCAGCGGATTAAACACGCGGACGTGCGTGTCATGGCTCCCCGCGAGCAGGAGCCCTGGGGTACTTGGCGGACCCGGGGACCCAGGCGACACAGGAACATACTTCTCAGCGCCCTTCAGGCATGTCTTCATCACGAACTTCCTCTGCACAACAAAACACCGTCAGATTACTTCAGGCAGCAATAATTCATACATCCACGCACCCCTCGGCGGACCACACGAGGACCGTCTTATCCCGCGAACCCGACACGATCACCTCGTCGGACTGGCGCGGATGCGCGGTGCATAACGCCCGCACGTCGCCCGCGTGCCCGGTGAGCGTGGTGCGGAGCTTGTAGCCCGGGTTCATCGTGGAGGAAGGCGAGTTAACGGGGAGAGTAGAAACACGTTCGAACACGTTTCAAACGCGACACGATCAGCGCATCGCCCACTTCACACTCGCTTCTGCTCGTTGGCGTTGTTGATTTTGATTCGATTAAGTAGAAAAAATGCTGGCGGAAGTTTTTAGAATTTTCGAGTTGGGAATTATTACACGACGGTTTGAAAATCTAGTGCAAAAATTGTGAAACGGCGTGGAATTTCACGAAGAAACAACGGCTCTCGAATTTCTGTCGTCTCATCGCGGAAATGCTGCTGTCAAGGAGGCGTGGTTTTCCCGTTCAACCGCACAAGGACGGCAGTTTACTGTACTCTTCTGTTAGCCAATAGCGTTTAACAGCGATTTGACATGCGTTTTTGTTACTGTACGAGTACATTATTTTCTCTTAAAATGGAAAATTCGTTCACATTTCCTGAATAAATTTACTCAATAAATTTTATTTTTTAATCGGTAAAACTTGGAATTATGACCGTATGAAAAAGTAGAGATAATTAAACACACACAAGTCGGAAATAGTATTGGCTGCCGCTTTGGTACGGCAGTCTGCTGCAAAGTGAATTAATTTCCAGTTTCCAAAAATCAGTCAGTGGAATTTTCTTTGATTTTTGATCTTTTCACCTGTAAATCTGCACTACCATCCCCAGCCCGCGGCTTCCCGGTTCTTTCAACAGTACGGGAATTTTCTGTAGTACCTAGCCAGTCTTGTAATACGCGGCAGAAACCCTAGTTCCACGAATTGATCAGCCAAATTCGACGTTGCGACGTCGTGGTATCCTGTCGCAGCGCCGCCCGCCCGGCGATGGAGACGCAAACCCCCGTGATCACCTCCATCAGTCTGCCCCCCGCCCCCGCCTCCCTCTCCGCCTACGACGCCGGGCCGGGCCGGCGGGTGACCGGACCCCCTCTGGAGACCCTCTGGGAGGTGTCCCCCCAGCAGCGCTGGCGGTTGGGGCTCCTACAATCCGCCCAGGACCCCGCGCGCCAACTGTACCTCGATGAATCCATCGTCATCTTGTCCGACTCCATCCCCAAGTCCCGCCATCATTATTTAGTCCTTCCCCTGGAGCCCATCGACACCGTCCAGGATTTGACGGTGGAACATGTACCGTTGTTGCGGCATATGATCCGGCAGGCGCAGTGCTTTGCGGATGAACATATTCGGCCGAAAACGCATTATCCGCTGGTGCTGGGGTTCCATACGATCCCGACGTTTATTCGCCTGCATATGCATATTATTACCGTGGATTTTCAGGGACCGGGTTAGTGCGCTGCTTGTCGGATTGAATATTAATTTTTTGAGAATTTCCTGGCATAATTAATTCTGTTATTTTTCTATGATTTCTTAAATTTTTTTTTCTTTAATTTTGTATTAATTTTTCGTTGATTTATTTTATTACAGTAATTTCACTGTTTTTTGAATTTTTTCCCTTCGCTTTTTTTATTTACCGAACAAACTCTTTTATTTTTCTCTGACTTTTTTCAGTTTTTTTAGTTATATTTTATAATATTTAGTTTAATTGCTGTTTTTTTGCGTATTTGTTCGATGATTTATTTGATTTGATTTTCTCGATGATTTATTTAATTTATTTTTCAATTTAGTCTCTATTACGTTGAATAGTTTGCTGAGTTTTGCAGTATTTTGTTAGTTATTTTTTAAAATAATTTGTTTAATTGCTAGTTTTTTTTTGCGTACTTGTTCTATGATTTTTTTGATTTATTTTTCAATTTAGTCTCCATTATTTGAATGTAGTTTGCTGATTTGTTCCTATTTTTTTAAGTTATTTTTTTCTAATAATTTGTTTAATTGCTAGTTTTTTTTACGGACTTGTGCGATGATTTATTTAATTTTTTTCTCAGTTTAATCTCTGTTAAGTTGAATGGTTTGCTGTTTTAAAAATATTACGTTGTAATTTTTTCCCGCATTTGTATAAATTTTTTATTTTTTCTAGGCACGGTTGTGCCGGCCGATTACCGCTCCTTCAGCCACAGCGCGCTGTTCATGGAACCGGAGCGTGCCATCGCCATTCTAGAGGCGGAAGGGCAGATCGTGGTGGACAAGGAGCAGGCCAAACTGGTGAAGACGGATTTAACGGAGCATCTGCAGTGCGTCTTCTGCCAGCAAGAATTTCCGGCCAACAAGATGGCCGATCTGAAGAAGCATCTCGCCGGCCACGAGGCCGACCTGCACGCCGCTGAGAAAGAGGATGCCGATGCCGGCTACGTCTGCCGATTCCAGGCCGATTAAATTACAACTGCCGCGAAAAATTCGCAGTCAACTCATGATGGATTTTGATGGGTACAGTGTTGCGCCGATCTTGTAACAGTTAATTTAAATTGATAATTTAAATTAATCAGTTCATTTTTAAATTATTCGTTGTAGCAGTTTCTTTTTATTTATTATGGATTAATTATTGGTGTAATTATGGAACAAAAACCCGTGGTTAGAACTGTCGAGAAATTCCAGGAAAATCGCTAAAGAAAAATAAAATGCCGGTTTCTTGTTTTATTGCGCCATTTATCAGGCTGTTACAAATAAAAGGCCGTCGCCAATTTTTTTCGGCGTTCACAGGCGGACTGCAACTTGCAAGAAATAATATGTCCTAATATTATTAGGAACTAGAACAGAAAACTGCCATTATATTATAGCAAAATATAAATCAAATTAATTGGTATAGAATAAATTAAGTTATGACTGCAAGTTTAAAAAAATTTACTGAATAAAGCCATCGCAAAGATTTTATGTACGAGTAGAATATCAAAAAAAATGTCGAATAATTAATATTAATAATTTATGAATAAATAAGATTCATTGAATAACGTCACCGCAAAAAATCTTGTTGAATATTTAATAAAATAACTATGGAATATAAAATTACTCCCAGCTGAGTACTACTTGTACTCGGCTGTATAGCCCGGCTGAGTCGTCATACTGTACGTGCAAACACCGCCAGCACGTGACGTGCTGCACTGTG